TGCTGTTGTCAACATTGCTAAACATTACCTCAATGGAAGGTAACTGAACTCGCTAAAAGTAGACAGCATAATTTTCATGCACCTAATGGAATGAGTACAATGGGTAACCTGCATTATGTTCTCAGAATCTCAATATAAGCTATATAAACTAAGCCCCCAAATTAATTGGAAGATCTGAGTCTGTTGGTCTTTTACCACATGGCGTTTCCATTTGGTAAGATATTAGAAAAATGATAATGTCAAGTGGATTTTCCAGCTTCGTAGTAGCTTCCCCCATCCAAGCTTAGTGTAATTTTCAAAGGAAAAACTGTCCAACTTTGCTGTCAGGTATAAATCTTAACAATACAAAGGGGCTATGTGACATATAAGGAAGATAGTTCAATTTATGAATGAATATTAAGTTTTACTGAAAATTTGTTTGATGTTTTAAAAAATATTGTGACTTTTTGTTTGAAAAATTATCTTCAATCATGGTGTAAGTTTTTAACATCAAATGCTTACAAAGTTTCTGAAAAAATTTGTAAATGGCTGAAGCTGAATATACTAAATTGTATAGCTATTAAGGAGATTTCTTAATCTGACTTTTAGAATGATCAATCTTTGTTGGATTGCAACAAGGAAAATGAAGTCCTTGTTGAGAGTACTGCAGAAGAACATCTAGATTTAGGTTCTGAAAGGAAGAGCAAAAGGTAGTTTGTTTTTGATTTAAGAAAGTTTTATGAAGAGACTGAGACAAGTGCTGTTATTTTTATCAGAAACCAGAAAAACAGCCAAAATTACCCACAACACTTCAATCAATGCCACAACCCAGGTGAAGAACTAATGTGATGATGAATACAAAGTAGTTTCACCATTGTTAAAGTACTTGATTCTGAAGATGATTTTGAGAACTTAACAGACAAAAAGGAAAACAAAATTCAAAATGAATTTGAAAAGAAGAAATCTCGCCCAACTAATGGTAAGGATTTCATATTTAATAAGATTCTATTCTTTCAAAATGTATTTTCTAACTGTTCATTACTAATGAAACAATTAATTTCAGAGTCAATTTCAATATGAATTATGTGCTACTTGTTTTTCTGATATAGATCTCAAAAATGTTCGTTGCACAGCCTGCAATAAAAATATTGAGGTCAAGAAGGGTAAATTTTGCAGACATCCCAGTCTTAATACTTTAATATGTAAGGTAAGCAAATGAAACTCATTTAAACTATCCTTGATGAATACAATCGTTAGTCTTGATCTTTTGTCCTTTTATATATACTTTTTATATAGAAATGCTTTAAGTTCTACAGTAGTGTAAATTCACCAAAGATGAAATGGTGTTGAAGGAGTTTTAAGCATGGTGTGCTGATGGTGGAAACTGATATGTTGTGATTTTTGTGAGAAAGCTTTTGTAAAAAATGCATAAGGCGAAATTTAGGAAATCAAAGCTGCAAGAACTATTGGATGCCGACGAAGATGAGAAATGGAAATGTTTTTGTTGTGATCCATCGCCCATTTTGTCTATCATCAAATTCTGTGATCGAGTAATGAATATGCTGGAGGCAAACAAGGACAGTAAATCACTTTTTAAAGACAAAAAGCTTCGTAATGTTGTTGGCGCACCAACGATAAGAGAGACGAAATATTCTCACTGGTCAAACTAAGGAAAGATCCATCGAAAATAACTCAGAAATAACTAAGAAATCAGATTCAGGTGGAAAGTCGTATTCTCTACGTTGCTCAAAAATCAGTCGATACAACTAAATGTTCTGAAGATAAAAGAAAACGAGGAAGATGAAGAAGAAGAAAGTGAGGAAGATGAAGAGGAAAGTGAGGACGATAACGTGAAAATTATCAGTAAAATAAAGCGATCTGAAGAACAATCTGTTGATGTGAATGTTTCAAAAGAAGAAACTGGTAGTAAAGGAAAATAAAATCAGAAAAAATAGAGGTTCAAAAATCAGACAATCGTTCTGAAAAAATAACTCAGGAAACAAAATCTCAGTTTTAAGGGAAAAACGTGTTGGTAAACAAAGGGACTCGAATGCAAGCTCCGATGACGTAAACCACGTTATGGAAAACGGTAACAGAAGAAAGGCAAAAAATCGTAGTACTAATTGAAGAGTGATCAACAGATGAATTTGTGCTGTTTGAGAAAGTATTTGAAAAAGTTGTCACAATCTTCTGAAGCATGAGGAGATAAGAAAATTGTATAGAACGAACTTTTCAGACGAGGTTCAATTAATTGACGATTAAAACTACGAAAAGATTAATGTATTGAAAACATACTGTAAAAATTTATGATAGTTCTTTAGTAAAGTTTATGTGAAATTTGATCTTCAATAAACGCCGCAAAGAGGTAAGTGGTAGTGGGAAACGATCGCTATGGGACCATTATTACAAGTAATTCTTTCAGCTACAGGATGGAGGAATACTTTACGTATACTAGCTGGTATGCTTTTTGTCCCCACTTTGGCTTCTTTAGCTTATCGTCTACCACAAAGCAAAATGAACAATGAAAAAGACGTTGACATACCTCAACCAAAAAGAAAAATTGTTGACTTTTCTGTGTTGAAGAATCCTGCGTTCTTAGTACTTTGCATAGCCGTGAGTACTTTTATGATGGGATATTTTATACCATTTGTACATCTGGTAAGTGTCCTTTGAAAGTTTAACTTTGCAAAATACTCAGAATTACATATCAGTTTAATTTTCTTTTACATTGTGTCATTATAGCCTGGCTACGCTAAAGTTTTGAATGTAGAAGAATATAAGTCTTCCAATCTCGTTGGAATTATGTCGGTTGGCTCTACAATTGGACGTCTTTTTTTTGGCAAAATATCAGATTTTCCTCGCGTGAATCGTCTTTACCTCTATCAGATGTCATTCTTTTTTATGGGTGGTCTTCAGTTTATAGTTCCACAACTTAAAAACTTCACTGGCTTATCTTTATATATGGCGGGTTTTGGTTTATTTGATGGTTGTTTTGTCGTTTTGTTAGCTATTGTTGTGAGTGATGTTGTTGGTATAGATAAAGTCTCAACTGGAATGGGAGTAAAATTTTTCTTTATGGCCATTACGACGTTTGTCGGGACGCCATTTGCTGGTAAGTAATTTTTTTTCGTTCGAAGTCAAAGTGTCTATGAGCTCCAAGGCCTATAAGTCTACTTTTAAAATTTGATCGCCAGAAATTTAATTTAAGCATTCCTACGTACACATAATCCTACAGACACAAGAAGATTTAATGCGTCTGCTGGTACGTGTACAGTACACAAGTCCATCAAAAAGTCATTTAAAATCACTGTTATGTTATGTAGTTCGGATTTGAGGGATTTGGCGCGAGATTTTTAATCTTACAAAATTATTGGGGAACCCCTGGCTCCTCTTAGTGTCCGACACTGGTTGAGTTAACCTGGAAAATCGTATTAAGCGTCATTTTCGGTACGAACGAAATTTTTTTATTATGGATTTCTAATCAATGATGATCTTGCCTGGTAGTAGTAACCCCATGTATTGCTCGTGACTCGTGTAAACGAATTATGCCCTTGGTGACTATTAAGGAAACATTTTTACTTCGCTGTTATTTTGAAAGACCAAAATAATTTGTTAAATTAATTTAATCTAAAATTTATTTGAAATATACTTAAGATTTTGTATGATTTTGTCCTAGTTACGTTTGCCGTATTCTAAACAGACATTTCACTTTTAGCCTGGTTAGTTGATAAATCTGGCTCCTACGACTTAGCGTTTTACACTGCTGGTTCCAGTGCAATTTTGGCTTCCCTTCTCCTGTTTCTTGTTCCATGCCTTGTGCCACGTGACGTGCGCATGCGAAATAGAATGGCATTTGATGTAGGTATCGAGGAAATTGCTGAAGATGATAGTCTTAACGAGAAACGATTATCATTTGGTGGTTTACCTGTCATAAAAACTGAAGATGTTAGTGATCCAAATTCAACCGATTCTTCATTACTTTCCCCTCCACCGTTGGCAGCACAAGGAAGTTTCCTATCTGTTCGTTCTTGCAACTCTATTAAATCATCTCCAAAGAGTATGCTATCAATTCATTCAAGGGAGCCATCATTAAGAGCTAGTAGGCTGGAAGTTAGTTGTGCCGTAGTTGGAGTTGATCCGCGCATATTACCTTCTGATGTTGTGCATCGAACAAAATCAACTCCAAATTTTCTTGTAGTTGAACGCATGACCACGGTATAACTGTCAAATAGAAATGCACATCTTCATTAGAGTAGCACAGTGAGCATTGTAGCTAGTTTGTGTTGTTGTGCGAGCTGTCGTTTTCTATTTTGGTGTTATTGTTGGTCGTATTACCTCGACATTAAAGTGCGACATTACTTCAACTCGTTATTGAAAAAGACAAAAAAAATAGACTAGAGTCATGAACCAAGTCATGCAATGTTGTGCAATGCATTGTTTAGAAACATGAAAAAATAACAAATAAATTATGTTGATTTTAAATATTGAACATGGATGACAATGGACATTATAAACTGTTGCAATATTCGTGGTTGTCCAGGAATAAAACGATTGGAAGTCTATATGAGCTACATGATTTTACTACTTGAAGTTCATAATCTACGTTGTCCATCTGTGGAACTGTCACGTTGATGGAAAAGAAAACAATTAAAGAACGAAGATAGTCTATGGAAAGAGTACAGAACCCTGTTCTCAAAAATTAGAGTGTTATCTTAATTTTATAGCATAGCATTTGGAAATATGTAGTGATTGAAGCATATTTTCGTTGGGTTGGGATTTATTTATAATTAATAGAGATCAATAGAGATTATTAAAGTTAGTTTCTTGCTGATTTTACTTTTGAAAGACATGTTTCATGTGTGTGATGGTTATCGAGGGATGGCGTTTGTTTATTTTATCAGATCCGAACTTTGTAACCCAATAAAGTTATTGCAAACAATACTTTGATAATTTCCAATATTTATTGAAATTTCTACTTTTTGACACATAGAAAAGGCGACATGACAATTTGAATAATTTATCGTATTTAATTTGATAAAAAAAGTTTCGGATTACAATGTTCTGATCCTGTTATTAATCGTAAAAAACTGCAGTATCAATTGTTTCTTTGGAAATTTTTAATACGACATTCACTAATGAACGACCAAACATAAGTGTGTGGGGGGCGGTGTATGACCCTACATCTTGTGAAATGATCCAGAAAGCGATAGAGAAAGAAAAGATCAGTTTAGTCCTTTAGTCTAAAATTGTTGGTTTTTTTCTATCAATTGCAGACACTACTAAAGTTTGTCCCAGAACGTACAACTGATTCAAATTATTTGACTTTATTTCATTTTCATTCCGTTAATTTATAGATCTTCGGAGTCATCAAATCTCGTTGATAATAGTCGTATTACTTGTATTAGTACATTTACGACGTACTAGCTAAGAAAGTTACTCAGGTTGTTGCTTTATGGTATAATAGATTTCTCTAAGGCATGGACATGGTAATCCTATAGAAACAATGGCTTTTTCACTAAGACCTATGGACAATGAACATTCAGTAGGCCGAACAAACGCCGCCTATTAATACGTGATTTCGTCAAAGTTCAGGCAATATTGAGCTAATCGGGTGATATCATGGATGTTAGCAGTTTAGTACTTTAGTATTCAACTTCAGCAGTTCAGGTTCAGAAGGTGCAACGAAATTATTTTTGTTCAGATGTCAAGAACGAATTTTTTTATTTGAAACCATTGATTTAAAATATAACGTCAAAGAATGAGTGCCAATGATAGATCTCCTTCAGAAATATCAAATGGTATTGAATTAAGCTCTCACGATTTGTTTCCATGTCTTGCAAATGTAAATAGTGATGATGCTAGAGAAATGGATCCACCTGGAATTTTTGAACATAAAATGTCTTACGCGTAAGTAACTGATGTCGAATATCTTACGGTAAATATGATGTTAATTGAAGGAATTGTTCATGGTTAATATTAATTGGCAGATTTCCTTAGATTTATATTTAAAGCTAAATGAAATGCACTATTTATGGATTTCAGTACGATTCTATAAAGTCTCTTTGCTTTTGTTTCTTCACTAGTGCTTTCTAAATATGTAAGGTAGCTACTGCTTGAATATTGAACACTATAGTAAATTAACCTGTTAGGATAACTAGCCCAAGTTCTACTCTTATAGCTGCTGTGCAAATTTTCACTTTCTAGAAAAAAAAATGAATTTCTTTGGTAATAAATTTAGAAATAATTCAATAATTTAGAAATCAGAAGAAAAGAACTGTAACCCAAGCCAAAAGGTATTATAAAGTAGATGATGTTTTCACACTTTTTTATCAATGACATGATCATATTATATCTATTAAACAAGCCATAAGAAAATAAATATATTAATTTGCAGTTTTAGCATTGTAGAGATTAAAAGTTACAATGTGTTCACCCAAGGAAAATGGCAGTTATTATCAAGAAATTATAATTTATTGAGTGCAATGTTTCATTTTTACTCAAGACATCATCAGACTAATAATTAAAATGGGACTATATAAAGATTTTAATATATGTATAAAAGTTCATCTTGACCATTTTAATTGTTAGTCTGATGATGTCTTGTGTAAAGACAAAAAGTTGCATTCAATAAATTATAATTTCTTGCTCAATGGCTGTACTTGGAGTTTATGTTGTGCAATTTTTTTTAACATGAATCCGTTTTCTGCCTGGTAAGTCACTTGCTATTGTAATCAATAAATATCTTCTGTTTTTTAGAAGATGTCAATAAATCCATGCTTTCACACAAAGCAAATAAATCAAAAAAAGTACAAGAAAAAGTACCAACGATTAAGGAAACTTGCAAAAAGAATAATTTTTGTAAGTATTATTTCTTTATTTTACCTTATTTTTTATGTCATTCTACAAAAATAGAATGTAGAAACTTTTTTTAATTTTCCCATTTGCATTTATGTGGTACAAGAACAAAGTATAATTGGACTAGGTATTATAAAACAATTAAAAAAAAAATTAGTCTTTATCAACTGTTGAAAATGCAACTTTAATTGGACATATGTTAGTGTTACTGCTGTCTGTATTTATGTGTTTATTCAACACGTCATAAATTTAGTGTTGTTTGATGAAAGTTTTGATGAAAATAATATATTACAATGTAGAATTTTAAATGACATGTTTCTCAATTGATAAGATTATGTTCTGAAACAGCATTTATGTTCTACATGAGATAGCTGTGTTTATTTTTTCAAATTACATACTGGAGCCTTGACAAGTTTCAGCCACCTTGGTTTGTATTAATGTTATTGTTAGGGGTTATGGTCCACAATATTGCTTTGCTGAATTAGAATGGCTTCTGTGTCTGACTAGATAAATGGGCAAATATGGCAGTGCTGTGTTGCAAGAACAATGCTTAGTGATTCATATGAAAATTTGCCAGAATGAACAGCTTTAGTCTTGCAAAATTTCCACATTTTACAATAGTACATCCTATCATAACTACGAATGTTAGGAAAAAGCGTTTGAAAGACGAAAAAAAAATGGCAAGCTTTTTGGTTAACCTGAAGGAAATAAAACTGTGCAATGATAAATTTTTGTGTTCTTCAAAATAAGTCTTATGACTGTAATAAACCTTAGGTGAAGTAGAAAGAAATGTGGAGAATGAACCTACGTACATATTCACGAACGAAACAACATGATAAAAAACCTCCACTACCAGACCGAGCTTTCTTTCTCAACTTATCATTGGTTGTAATTATGTATTATGGTGTTCAGTTAAATGTCTGTTTAATCTAATTTCTGTAAATATGATAAATGTGCACAGTGCATCTGCGTTGGCGACAAGAACTGTCAAAACAACTGTCAAACACGGAGGAGGAAGTATCATGATTTGGGGTTATGTCATTGGTGTTGCAATAAAGAAATATGGTTGAAAAAAAATTGGCACAAACCGCGCCCATTACCGCATTCTACGTCACCAATTGTCGCTCACTTTAAAAGTACAAAATGCTTCGGAGGATAATTGATTAGCAATAGAACACGACATATTGGAGATACGTTTACACTCTAATGCTTTCGACAAAATTGAACATATTTGAAACAACTCTGGTCTGGGGTCAGTGACCAATCATATAGAAACCGTTGTTCAAGCTACAGAAAGTCTAAACAAGAATTGATCATTTGAAAAAGAATTGTTATGTATCGTTCTATTGATGATAGTGTGCAATTTGCATAAATGAACGCAGTTATATCTTATGTTGCTCGTTTTGAAGCATAACTTATGGATACGGAAACATGTCATTTGAAATCTATACAAGAATTAGTTATAGTTATAGGTCCAAAGCAATCATAAAACATTATAGACTTGGTGTACAATAACATGTGAGGGCACCTGTATTTTGACTTTACTGTCTTACAGAGCTTACTCAATGTGCAAACAAAAACGCTTTTGTAAAATTAAACAAGTTTTGTAAAAAACGGTTTTGTGACATGAACTAAATTTTGCTTGTCAACTTTTCGATGATTTTATTTAAGCACAATTGTCTTCACAGTTTTCCTCGATTTTCAGGAAAATGCTGCCATTGCTGATGAAATAGTACAAACAGATGCAAAGTTTCAACAAGTTAAACTTGAACGAAGGTAATTCAATGCTGTACGTATGTGCGGTATCAATCTTGCAATGGTAATCTACTATTAAAGTAAATGGTTTGAACCTGGGAGTATCGTTACATGTTTGTAAATGTAGATCGTCCAGGTTGGTATAGTCCTGAGAAGGACTGTTTTTGTTGTTGTTGGCTAAGGTTGTCGAAACGTCACTCAACAATAACAAAAACAGTCCTTCCCAGGACTTTACCAACCTGGACGATCTACATTTACAAACATGTAATCTAATATTGTATAATTATACGTCCTACGTATGAAGTCCAATGTAATAACGGTAATCTGTATAGTGGAATAAAATTAATTTTTTAAAAGTCATTCACTTGTAAATCTAATGTCCTACTCTGTAACAATTGCATTTCATCAAACTATTTCATAATACTTTTGTTCATAATATCTATCATTATACATTATCTTTATTTCAGATTTCTTTTAAAAAAATTACTTGACTATAACACAATGCTAAATGAACAGGTTCAGCCTCCACCTTGTATCATTACACCGCACCCTGTTCCCGATGTTTCGGAACATTTTCCTGCTCCTGAAGCTGATAAAGAATTAGCCCCAGTTATAACACAAACAGCTAAAACTAAACCAATCAAATTGCGTATAAAAAAGACTGCTGCCAACCAAAAATCGAAAAAAGACAATGAAAAAGCATTTGTAACAAAAGAAAATGTTGAAGATTCTAGCATTTCGGAAGGTAAGTTTTAAATTTTGAATTCATCTTTAATCTCTCAATTATAAACTTGCTTGGAAGGAATTTATATTTAATTTATTTTGCAGTTTCTCGTAACCAGGATATTAAAGGTGAACCCCCTGTCAAACCTAAACGAAAGAAGCCTGGAACAGCAATGAAAAGGAAAGTTCAGCCAATACCAGTTGATGCTAAAGGTATAAAAAAAAAGCTATCATCTGATGTATTTTTTTCAATAGGTCGTTCAATTTAATTATTTTGTTTTTATTAATTTTAATTATTGATGTTGTTGTGATTATTTATAGGCAAACCAGTGTTTCCCATTGTACTTGGTGGATTGACTGTTCACAGTTTGGGTGATGTATGTTTAATTGTGTTATGATACCGTAGAGTCTCGAAAGTTGCCTACACCCCTTGAAAATAGTCCCTCTTTTTAACATTTACTGAAGAATCGCGAAAGCAACCACCCTTTTGAAAGTACGTAACCGCCCTTTTTATAGAGCTTTAAGAGCTTTATCAAATTTATGTTTATCCAAATTAAATGTTCATTTGTGTCAAGTACTGTAAACTTACACAACTTTAGACACATACTACTCGAAACTGAGCGCCTTCTGAAACTAAGCGCCCCCCCCCTATCTGAAAATAGCCTTTCTCGACATTTTTTTATTTTTAAACGTTTACGCCTGCAATAAGGTAGGCGTTTTCTGAAATTAACAGAAAAATAAAAGCGAAATTATCAGTTTTTTGGCCTATAGAGTTTTCGTTGTAAAACTAAAAAGGAACAAAAATAAAACCGATTTTTGCGGTTTACCTCACAACTCTAACATTTGATGAAGTATTATTTACGTCATAGATTGTGTGGGATCGTCCAGGTTTTCACTCCGAAAGATACATCTGGCCAGTTGGATTTTGTAGCTCACGTTACTACCCAAGTATGAAGACACCTGATACGAAATGTATTTATACCTGCAAAATCTTAGATGGTGGTTATGGTCCTACCGTACGTTTTTTTTTCCGTATTACGTATGTCCTCTTGATAGTGGTAAATTTTAATTGCACTACGAAAATAGATTTAAGCTATTATGATTTGTGGAATTTTTGTGATTCACTGATTTATTGCGATCGCCCCAGTAAATGCTTTAATCAGGAAACTATGACAAGGACTCTTAAACTTGAACTAACGATGATATATTCATGTTTTACTAGGCACAGGAATATGTTTGGTTTTAATTTTTATTTAGTTTGTCATGTCACCTGAAGATGATTCTGAAAATTCAATCGAAGCCTCCTCAGCAACAGCTTGTCATTGTGTTATCCTGAAGGCAATCAATAAAGCCAGGTTATTAAATCATCAACTTTATGAGAGGATAAAGATGATCTTTCAAAGATGAACAACTCCTAACAATGGAAAACACCGATGCAATATTCTAAAAGTGTTTCTCCTTTCGTTGTTTCCATTATTTAGGAGTTATATTTTGCCGTGTTTAAAAAAAACAACCCCAAACTATGGTAGAGCGCAATGATGTCCTGATAGAAATGCAAGTTAACTATTCATGTTCCCACCATGTAATTTAAAAAGATGGTCTCCTCCTTGCTTGTTTAAATTGTATGTCATTGATTTTTTAAGGTTTATTTTGGATTATTTTAGAGGCAAGGAAGCAACAAATACAGGATCAGGTCCGGAATTCTTTGGATTTTCTCATCCAACAATCCAGTACCTTTTACAAAGCCTTCCAAATGCTAGAAAATGTTCCAAGTATCAGTGGGTGAAATTTGAGCTTCCTAAAACGAAATTATTATTTATGGTTATTTTTCCTTTAATCCTTTGAAGTGTCCAGTTTTTCGTTTCAATGCAAACCTCGTTCATCTTGTTATAAAATCTCCTCCCATTTTATGCAGCAGATGATCGTTTGTAAACTCTTCTGGAAATAATAGTTGTTTGATGAGAATTGACAGTTTCTTTAAAGTTAGAACCTTTTATTCTCATTTCACGTTATATCTTTTAGTTAGGAATGAGATGGCGCAAAATGCATAATCGTTCATCATTTTCTGTAGACGGAACATTTGCCTAGTTTCCTGCTATCGTCTCTCAAACGTATTTTTTCCAGGCTGACGAAAGCACTACACAGAGGGCTTAAAGTTTTTATTTACATGATTGATATTCGTGTTTCTTCCATTAGTTTGTTATGAAACAGCTTTAAACAGAGGTGTAGCATACGGGGAATGTTACACCCCCAGATGTAGAATGTTACACTCCCCAGCTGTATAATGTTACACCCCAGCTGTATAATGTTACACACCCCAGATGTAGAATGTTACACCCCCCCGGCTGTAGAATCTTACACACCCCAGATGTAGAATGTTACACCCCAGCTGTAGAATGTTACACCCCAGCTGTATAATGTTACACACCCCAGCTGTAGAATGTTACACACCCCAGATGTAGAATGTTACACCCCAGCTGTATAATGTTACACCCCAGCTGTAGAATCTTACACACCTCAGATGTAGAATGTTACACCCCAGCTGTAGAATGTTACACCCCCAGATGTAGAATGTTACACCCCCAGCTGTGAGAATGTTACACCCCAGCTGTAGAATGTTTACCCCCAGCTGTAGAATGTTACACCCAGCTTAGAATGTTACACCCCCAGCTGTAGAATCTTACACACCTCAGATGTAGAATGTTACACCCCCAGCTGTGAGATGTTACACCCCTCAGATGTAGAATGTTACACACCCCAGCTGTATGTGTTACACCCCCAGCTGTATAATGTTACACCCCCAGCTGTAGCCACACCCCAGATGTAGAATGTTACACCCAGCTGTAGAATGTTACACCCTCAGATGTAGAATGTTACACACCCCCTGTAGTATGTTACACCCCCAGCTGTAGATGTTACACCCCAGCTGTAGAATGTTACACCCCCAGCTGTAGAATGTTACCCCCAGCTGTGGAATGTTACACCCCCAGCTGTGAGATGTTACACCCCTGTGAATGTTACACCCAGCTGTAGATGTTACACACCCCAGCTGTAGAATGTTACACCCCAGCTGTGTATGTTACACACCCAGCTGTAGAATGTTACACCCCAGCTGTAGAATGTTACACCCCCAGCTGTGAATGTTACACCCCAGCTGTAGAATCTTACACACCTCAGATGTAGATCTTACACCCAGCTGTGGGAATGTTACACCCCCAGATGTAGAATGTTACACACCCCAGCTGTATGTTACACCCCCCAGCTGTAGAATGTTACACCCCCAGCTGTGAGATGTTACACCCCCAGCTGTAGAATGTTACACACCCAGCTGTGAATGTTACACACCCCAGCTGTGGAATGTTACACCCAGCTGTAGAATGTTACCACCCCAGCTGTAGAATGTTACACCCCAGCTGTAGATGTTACCCCCCAGCTGTAGAATCTTACACACCTCAGATGTAGAATCTTACACACCCAGCTGTAGAATGTTACACCCCTCAGATGTAGAATGTTACACCCCCAGCTGTAGTATGTTACACCCCAGCTGTAATGTTACACCCCAGCTGTAGAATGTTACACCCCAGCTGTAGTTACACCCCAGCTGTAATGTTGCACCAGCTGTAGCCACCCCAGCTGTAGAATGTTACACACCCCAGCTGTAGAATGTTACACACCCCAGCTGTAGATGTTACACACCTCAGATGTGAATGTTACACCCCAGCTGTAGTATGTTACACCCCAGCTGTATAATGTTACACCCCCAGCTGTAGATGTTACACACCCCAGCTGTGGAATGTTACACCCAGCTGTGAGATCTTACACCTCAGATGTAGATCTTACACACCCGGCTGTGGATGTTACACCCCTCAGATGTAGATGTTAAACACCCCAGCTGTGGTATGTTACACCCCCGGCTGGCAGAGTGTTACACCTGGCTGTAGGATGTTACACCCCCAGCTGTGAGATGTTAGCACACCCCAGCTGTAATGTTGCACACCCAGCTGTAGAATTACCACCAGCTGTAGAGATGTTACCCACCCCAGCTGTAGATGTTACACACCCCAGCTGTAGATGTTACACCCCAGCTGTAGATCTTACCACCTCAGATGTGAGATCTTACACCCAGCTGTGAATGTTACACCCCTCAGATGTAGAATGTTACACCCAGCTGTGGTATGTTACACCCCAGCTGTAGAATGTTGCACCCCCGGCTGTGAATGTTACACCCCCTGCTGTAGAATGTTACCCCAGCTGTAGAATGTTGCCAGCTGTGAGATGTTACACCCCAGCTGTAGAATGTTACACACCCCAGCTGTGGAGATGTTACACCCCCAGCTGTGAGATGTTACACACCTCAGATGTGAGATGTTGCACCCCCAGCTGTGGTATGTTGCACCCAGCTGTATGTGTTACACCCCAGCTGTAGATGTTACACCCCCAGCTGTAGAATGTTACAGCTGTAGAATGTTACACCCCCAGCTGTAGAATGTTACACAAGCTGTAGAATGTTACACACCCAGCTGTAGAATGTTACACACCCAGCTGTAGAATGTTAAACTCCCAGCTGTGAATCTTACACCCCAGATGTAGAATGTTACACCCCAGCTGTGGTATGTTACACCCCAGCTGTGAGATGTTACCCCAGCTGTAGAATGTTACACACCTCAGATGTAGAGATGTTACACCCCAGCTGTGATGTTACCCCCCAGCTGTAGAATGTTACACACCCCAGCTGTAGAATCCTGCACATGTGGTGTTACACCCCCAGCTGTAGAATGTTACACACCCCAGATGTAGAATGTTACACCCCAGCTGTAGATGTTACACCCCCAGCTGTAGAATGTTACACCCCAGCTGTAGAATGTTACACCCAGCTGTAGAATGTTACACCCCAGCTGTAGAATGTTACACACCCAGATGTAGATGTTACACCCCAGCTGTAGTATGTTACACCCCAGCTGTAGAATGTTACACCCCCAGCTGTAGAATGTTACACCCCCAGCTGTAGAATGTTACACACCCAGCTGTAGAATGTTACACCCCAGCTGTAGAATGTTACATCCCAGCTGTAGAATGTTACACCCCCAGCTGTAGAATGTTACACCCCAGCTGTAGAATGTTACACCCCCAGCTGTAGAATGTTACACCCCCAGCTGTAGTATGTTACACCCCAGCTGTAGAATGTTACACCCCCCAGATGTATAATGTTACATCCCCCAGATGTAGAATGTTACACCCCCCAGATGTATGAATGTTACATCCCCAGATGTATAATGTTACACCCCCAGATGTAGAATGTTACACCCCAGCTGTAGAATGTTACATCCCCAGCTGTAGAATGTTACATCCCCAGATGTATGTTACATCCCCAGCTGTATATGTTACATCCCCAGCTGTAGAATGTTACATCCCCAGCTGTAGAATGTTACACCCCCAGATGTATAATGTTACATCCCCCAGATGTAGAATCTTACACACCCCAGCTGTAGTATGTTACACACCCCAGCTGTAGAATGTTACACCCCAGATGTATAATGTTACATCCCCCAGCTGTAGAATGTTACATCCCCCAGCTGTAGAATGTTACATCCTCCAGCTGTAGAATGTTACACACCCCAGCTGTAGTTACATCCCCAGCTGTAGAATGTTACATCCCAGCTGTAGAATGTTACACCCCAGCTGTATAATGTTACATCCCCCAGCTGTAGAATGTTACATCCCCCAGATGTATAATGTTACATCCCCCAGCTGTATAATGTTACATCCCCCAGCTGTAGAATGTTACATCCCCAGATGTAGAATGTTACATCCCCAGATGTAGAATGTTACACCCCCAGCTGTATAATGTTACATCCCCAGCTGTAGAATGTTACACCCCCAGATGTAGAATGTTACATCCCCAGCTGTATAATGTTACATCCCCCAGCTGTAGAATGTTACATCCCCAGCTGTAGAATGTTACATCCCCCAGATGTATAATGTTACATCCCCAGATGTAGAATCTTACACCCCAGCTGTAGTATGTTACACCCCAGCTGTAGAATGTTACACCCCCAGATGTAGAATGTTACATCCCCCAGCTGTATAATGTTACATCCCCCAGCTGTAGAATGTTACATCCTCCAGCTGTAGAATGTTACACACCCCAGCTGTATAATGTTACATCCCCCAGCTGTAGAATGTTACATCCCCCAGCTGTAGAATGTTACATCCCCAGCTGTATAATGTTACATCCCCAGCTGTAGAATGTTACATCCCCCAGCTGTAGAATGTTACATCCCCAGATGTAAAATCTTACACGCCTGAACTAATAAACCGATTTTCGAATGTTGTCTCATTTTCCTAAAATAAGTTTTGTATTTAACCAATTCATTAAGCATGATATTACAGAAACTGAAAAAATTATTTCACCAAATGCGTTTGAAGCTACCTTGTGTTTGTCTGCTTGCCCTTTCCATCCCCTCCCCCCTATTTCAAACTGTCACACGCTACGCCCCTGGCTTTGTCGGTAAAATTACCCTTTCCATCTCCTCCTTCCTACTCCAAATTGTCACGCTACGCCCCTGGCTTTAAACATTATATAATTTAGTGCTTTCTTACATTTCATAGGTAAACTTGGCTCAAATCCTGTTCCTAATGATGACGTTTCTTTAAAAGAGTCACAAGAAAATGAGAAAGACTGCTACGACTCGGGTGAAATATTTAAAGGTCAATTTGTCAAGCAAGTTGTCAATTAACATCCTTTCGAGTTTTTTATGAACATCCTTACGAAGACATTTCTTTGTTCTTCATTTGTTTTTTTTTTCATTTAAATCAGTAAATGATGGAAATTCTCACGCATTCAATTTTTCTCTTTTTACCGAATGATTTTATGTTTAACGTTTCGACATTAAGTTTCTTATCCTTATTTTAGGCAGACCTTCAAGTGAATCGCAGAAAACAATGCATAACTTATCTTTCACAAGTACAGCAAGCAGTTTGTCAGACGTTCCTTCACTTGGTTTTGACACGGATTTACTTGATTGTCAACTGAAGTCAACAAGTGGTGATCCAAGTTTGGATTTAGGTACGACTGTGTGTATGCTTTCCGTTATGTTACTAGAACGAACAATGCAAAGTGTCTGTCTGCAAAATGGGATATTGTTAATTCTGGTCGGTTTATGCAAAATATAATGAGATTAGCATTTTGGTTTCGCTCTACAAGCAGCCAGTCTATGCATGTATATGTTGCCTCGTTGAAGACTCTTAGCTAAATAAATATAATGTGTAGGTTTTATAATTTTATTTTACACCGTAATTTGAGGAATCAAAATTTGGTACGATGGCCAACTTTTTAAATAAGATTTTAATGATTTGCGTTATCGAATATTCTCATTTTTAAACTTTTTAGGTACTCCAATCTCGCCTCCAGGCAGTCTCTCATTACCATTGCAACTTTCACCAAAAATGAACTCAAACATGTCGCCATCTACATCATCTCAACCATGTTTTATTCCTCCAACTTCTCCGTTGTTTCATTTCGGTGATGATACATTGACAGATTAACTTCTCTACCTTATGTTTGCTTTTATCCTATTCACCATCTGTATCTATATTAATATGTAAATGCAGTAAATTTGTCTTTAAACTTGTGCGATCAAAATGTTTCCAAAAAACAAAAATACATGCATTTTAAAGCGACAGTCACAACAATAAAATAAATTTATATTTAAAACGTGTGTAATTTGTAATGAAATTTTGTTCTGAAACATAGGACCATCATAATGTAGTTAAAAACTTAAAATATAGCAATGTTTTGAAGATGTCAAAATATTTCAGGAAAGTTTGGAATAATACAGATTCTTAGGACTGATAACACAACACCATCGGCACGAAAACATGGCTTTAAGCAAACTTTGTGCATCAGTGCTTTTGAACTGAATTGTTTTTGAATGATGTGAAGTGTATAACTACGAATCAAAAGTTTGTTCATGTTATTGTATGATCGCAAAGATTGCATTATTTATAAACAATGTCGATGCGCCAAGTGGATCGACCGAGTTGTCAGTTTGAACACGTTGCTGAAGAGGAAAAACCAATTATTTATGACAAAAATAGAAAAGTTCTATCAAATTGTTTATCCCTTATTTCAGCATCAACCTTATCGGCTATACATGCACTGGCTTTTAATTACAGACTTAATCTAATTTTCTACTTCATTGTGTGAAACTTCACTCATCCTCTTTAGGTAGCTATAAAAAAAATACTGAATCGGACTTGTTTCCTGAGGTTTAAAATGTAATGTGATTAGCCTACTTTGTTAGCTGCTCAATTTTCTCACTCTCACTTTGATCATGCATGAAGTCTTCAATGAGAATGCTTTCCTCGTCCTCAAAATTCAACTATACTTGTAGAGTAGAAGCTGTACTCAAATTAGTTCGAGTTAGCGAGGGTTCAAGTTATTGAGAGTGTTGATTAGCATGCAGTTGTTCATTTACAGTGATTAAATAGCTACTTTGAAAGATTCGAACGTTTACGGAATGCATATAAGGCTATAGCAAGATCATTCATACCAAAGTTTTCACGCTATTGAGGTTTTTTTCTTAATGAACTTTTGAAACTATTTTGTACGTTTAAGTGAGTTAAAATTTCTGGTTGCTTTAAACGAACTTACAATTTTGCAATTTTGATTCACAAATTTTTAACAAATCCAAGGGGAATTAAATTTACTTCAAGTTAACTAAGAGTTTGACTGACTGCATTCATTATTTCTGACTTTTTGCATCTCTTTGTGTACAACTGAAGGAAAAGTAATCTGCAAATGCGAGATTCGTTAATTTTTTGATCCGCACTTCAACACCTTTATTTTTCCTTTAATATGAAAAGTTGTATGTGTGCACTGTGCAGTATTTATTCAAATGATCTATATACATATGATTCATGTTCCTTTTCTTTGCATCCTTCACACAAATATTTAGCTGTATCGACCAGATAACTCACAGATTAGCTACTAGAAATTTTAGTTTCACTTCACAACAGTAACGGGATGAAACAGTAAATTTTATAATTTAGATTATTATGGTATCGAGTAAAGAAATAAGCCCAGTGAGAAACAGACTTTGGTTATCAGCTGTCATTAACACAACGCAAAATTGGCTCATTATCTTTTTGCATGCTGTATTCTATGTTTTCGAATTCCGTCACCTTTGAAAACTACGGTGCCAAACCCAGGACATCCTTCAACAGAGTAAATTGTGTTATCGCCTTCTTTGACACCTTGATAACATCATCCCAGACAAGAGGCTTGATCGACCTACGACATTTTTTCGAGATAACCGGATTTCCTACGTAAAGAGGAGTTTGTTTCAGTTTGTGGTAAATCTTCAGAGGTCCTCATTTTTTGATTAAATGGATTTTTTCATGACAAAAGTTCAGAACAATTTTTGCCGGAACATTTCAGCCGTGTTTCTTTTGGGTTTTTTGACGAAATTTCTAAAAAGGTCGACCGAATAAAACTAACTAAAATCGTTAACTGCCTTAACAGTTATGAAGACTGCAGTCTTGAAAATATATTTGAAGACAATAAATTAATGGTGATCTCTATTTCAATAGCTCCTCAGTTTCGTTGATACCGAACTCAATTCGCTGCCACAGGAAAACATTTACAGAATATTCAAGCTGTTTCTTTGGGACAAATTACCGCGAGCCATTTGAGTAGTCGTGATTACTTGTGACAAAGATGACTTCGATATTTTCAGATTTTTCCCAGAGAGAAAGAATGGTCCAAAATTTTGTACGCAAATGATATTGATGACAATTTATTCATATAAAAACATTTATATATCTCTCTTTGTTTTTTTTTCTCAATTTAAGCTCTTCCGCCTTGAAAATAAAAACGACTCTTTAGTAAAATTATAAATCAAGCAAAAGTTAAATATTAATAACATAATTAGTTACCACTGCTCGGATAAAATAGCTAATTGTAACTAACATCATGCTAGCCTTAGCCGTTGAACTGTTTGATAACAGATCGAAATGGTATTTGCTGACATTAACTGTATCGGTTTGCTTCAGAGTGAGCAGACGTGGTGCTTCCTTTTTAGGAAATAACATAGGAATACCACTACACAGACACAGTCTATTTGCGAAAGAAATATTAAAACATTAGTTTGTACATAGCAGTAATATTATTGATCATTAGTTTACGTTTTACGTCACAAGACAATAACTATGAGCTCAGTTATAAGCTTATACTATCGTTTAAATGTCGAGACTAGAGTGGTGATGCCATCTATTTCCTATTTCATGTCAACATGAATTTTCTTCCATTGACAATGGTTTTGATATGTGATTGTACACTAAAGCTTTTGAAGAGTATGTTTTTTCTCGAACCAAATATTTACAATTTGTTGTTTTGGCAAGAAATCATTGCGGTAACTGATCTGACGTCATTGCGGTCATTTTCATATATTACAAGCACTACTTTGTATTTGCTTTTGTTTTTTTGTCTTTATTATGTTCAAAATTGTGCAATTGCCACAAATTTGTACGTCATCTTTACGTAAATTTTTAATGAAAATTCATGTTAGTACCATTGAACTCAATGGTTACTACTCTTTGTATTATTGAACGTAGCTACATTCCATTTACTATGTAGACGTGTTAATGGTTATAGAAACCTGCCATTTTTGCAAAATTAGTCTTTCATGACGTCAAGCGGGCATGTCGGTGTGATCTTCAAAGATCAAACGATGAACAAAAACATATAAGCAAAGTGAATTCTCTTTTTTTTTGTCACGTTTCCTATCAATACGTCGCCCCGAAGAAAGAACCTCGGATAAACCGACCTGACATAGTGCATTTAAATGACTTAGAAACAAGATGAGTCTTATTTTGATTAAATGCCCAGTTAAATGCGATGGAATTTGTTCAGACCAAGGTATCAATTGAAACACGCGCGCCTTAAGGTGGTGTTACTAAGAAATCATGGACAACGAACAACTTATTCAATATAATTGCAGATGAAAGATAATGTAAAATGTAAAGTTCCTTGTCCATTTTGTATACCGTCATGCATTGTTAAACACTGAACTGCATTTAATTATATTACGTGTTGTGCTTTTACACATCTGTCAACTCTTTGACATGACTGAAAGGTGACATAATCCTTGTTTTTGCGCATAAAAGCCTTTGAAGACATAAGTTAATTTATAAAATAAATGTTCCAAGACATATGTTTATTAACTCAAAATATTGATATTTCCATATTTTACGAACATTTGTTCCCCTCATTCACAACAAAAGGCGCGCCTTGGTAGAAAGTCACGTATTGGACTTACATGAAACAAACAATTTGCTCACGTTTGAAAAGAACGAAAAAGGACGTAAAAAATAACAGGACGTGATGATGAACAGAAGTTCAGAAATGTCTGTTCTAAAACTTCCTGCAGAAATTTCTATAATTTTGATTGGTACAATGATTGGATTTATGAAAAATGGCTTTTCAAAAAGTTTATGTATACTGCATACTTCATTATGAATATTCATTTATAATATACCTATAAATATCTTTTACAGTTTACATAAAGTAAATGTATTACGAACAAAGTTTACTCGTGCATTCTAAAGTTCTTGCCGCTCTTCAAAATTGGACCATAATTGGACCACAAATTTTAAAGGAATAAGAGAAGATAGTTTATAAAGAGTTAATTTGTTCATTATTACTCTGAGATAGCACTTGTTTTAGGATGTAAAATTCAAGGTGCTATAACTTCATGCTAACCATCAATACCATATCGAAGAAAATTTACTTTAAAATATAATCAAAGGAAACCTAAATTTATAAATAAGAATGAACAAACGTTTTTGCTCGTATTTTCATGATTCATGTGCACGCCAACACTTTTGTGCCTTTGATTAAAACTAACGTAAAAACACGACTTTATTAATGAAACTTTACAAATATCTTTGTTTATATGTCGATCTTCATTTTGTTTACTTTAGATAAATCTCCAAGCATTACATTGTTTCTTGCGTGAATTGACGCGAAGATGTGGCAAAGCACTACAATACAAATGATAACATTTATTGAAAGAAGGGACTACCTTTGTTTCAAATTACGTCAAAAGAAAATTAATTTTGTCCTTATTTCGTTTTTGCCATACAAAATTGTACTATTATTATACTCTGCTTGCTGTGCGCTACAGTTAGACAAGTTAAGTCAGCATCCAAGGTTTCTCGCGTCTGTTTATCAAGAATATTTTGAAGAGTTATGTGACAGGCTCATTATGTGAATATAATGATTTATCATCTCATTTTCATTATGTTTATGTATGACAACAATATGGCACTCAACATTGCATAAATTAATTGCTTGTTGTTCGATATTTCCAGCAAGTTACCATGAGATTTTAACGTATTTATATGTATTTTCTTGATTTCTTGTCCTCCAAAGGATTATTATACATCGAATGTTTCCGGCAACTAACTGAATTACATGAAAGAGGTCTTCGTCAAATATATAAACAAATACATGCCATTACCAACCTATTCCCCACTCACGCGGTAAATTCGAGTGTCATTAGATCTCTGATCAAAATGCCACCACTGAGAAGGAACAGGGTAAAAATGGTATTAACCCCTCTCCCTCCCCATCCACATATGATGAAGGATTTGTGAATTGTAATGTTATATTGTGAGCAAAAAAAGAATGGATGATATCGGTATTTTGAGAATAACATATTCACCTTAGCTGTACATGATCTATAAAACTGAAACATCTTTCTCTTTAACGTACTTTGCTGTTGCAAAATTAAGTGTTAACTTAATCAACACTATTTATTAGCATTTCCAGTTTACCTGCTAGTAAACACAGATCAACAATTTCTTCGATGACCTTTTTTGTTTATACAATCCAGCTATATTTAGAAGATACGCCAAAACGCTTTGAATATTAAAATGATGAACATAGGTTTCTATTTTTTTTGGGAGGGGGGCACACTAATCTTCTCATCAATTTGAAACAAAAATATCCTTGACGATGACCTTGGCTTATAGTCATCTACTCATATTTCAGAATTATAAATATCTTTTGCCTCAATGATATTCAATTTCAACCCGTTTTGCCTGTAATAGACTAATAGTATTTTGTAAAAAGCTGAGAGAGAGGAGATTAACAATGTACTTAGTGGCACAAAATCTCCATGGAAAGCAATTTTGCCTTGTGAGGAATGCAATAAATTCATCAATGAAAAGCTGGAATGTTAAAATTACTCGTTATGTCTCAACTGCATTTGAAACATTTTTTTCTTTCTTGTACTGAAATCTATTTTTTGTATTATATGAGTTTGGATAACATAATACTAGCAATCTAATATAGGAAAATTTATGCTATCACTAGGGCCTGTAGCCAAAACCTCGATGGGAAGAATTGTCAAGCATTTTTCAAGTACATTCAGCATGTAACATGTTGCTTAATGTCGCTTTTACCAGCTTGATTTTTACGTCGAACAAAATGTTATAAAAAAATGTTTACAGGAAAAGTATTGGATTAAACTATTTAACATGATAAACAAAATGCAAACGCTATATTAATTCAGACCATGCCGCGCGGACCATCCTTTGATTACTTCATGTCAATCAAAAATACTCCCGCTAAAACCTATAGTGTAGTAGATAACTGAAAGCTTCTGTCTCCTAGCCTATAGGTAACCGGTTAACAAAACAAATATGTGTTTACAGGACAGGAACCATAATATAATGCCAGTAAAACTATCTTCGGTAGTGTAATAGATGTCATATTCAACATAGCCATGTTATCAATAATTTCAAATTTAGGTATACTTATGCTAATGACTACTGATGTGAGTCTAAAGTAAACCTATGTTTTTTGTAGTGGATGTGTTGAGTTACCAATATTATATCCCTTACAATGTAAACAAAGCTTTCTTTTTGCTCAAAGCTTTTCACAAGTTTAAGAGATGATTTAACTCATACACGAACACCATTACGTTTGGATAATATAAATGTTTGTTGGTTGATAAAAAATTGCAACAGAAATGTCTGTTGTGTACGCAATGATAAATTCGAGAAGATTGTAGCTTATTCCAAAATTCATTATGACATCGTTGCCAAATGGCACGAAATCTGCGTCATGATTTTACTACGACAAACTATCTCGTGATGTCACAATATTAACCAATATTCCCAGCAGTATATTATATTCCATTGTGTATTAAGTACACGGCCTTTTCAAGCGCATTTTAATTGAAAATTTAAATGAGTACCATTTCGCTTGCTCTGCTTTTCTTTCAAAGCTAAATTATTTTTGAGCAATAGCTGTAGGCAGTTTTTGATTGGCCGACTTCCCCAGTCATTTGTCGCCAATGTCATTGTGAACTGCCAGCGACCAATCACATTCCATACAATTGACGTATATGGGTGTGTCTACTTGCGTGGGGTGCATTAATAATTCCATATGAAAAAAGATGGATTGCTGACTGTGATTGGCTAAACACCGCAAAACACAATACCCTCCGAGGCAGTTAATAATGATATGCCAATCAAGTTCCGCCCATTTCCGATTCGTAATTATCTTATCTTACAGGTAAGAAAGTCTTATAAATTTGTTCAACTATATCAGCGCTAGTGATAGTCAAAGGAAGTCAGATTTTTGAAACGGGAAGGCACCAAATCTCAACACGCGACATCTACAGGCCCGACGTAAAGTAAAGCTTATTTAATACCATTATCGAACAAGTCGACCATTTTCATCTGTTTTCAACGCGAACGTTGAATTCAATCATCATTTATATTCATACATTCCATCACTTGCTGTGCCCAAAGGGAGTCAGTCGTATCTAGTCAACAGTTCATTTTTTTATCACATCTAAATATACAACTATCCGTCGGGAAACATTTGAGAATATTTAGTCAAGGTAAGTTGTTGACTATCTTATTTCATCAAGAATACGTTGTCGAGTATTAATATGTTGTGATTTGCAATTGTTGGATGCATTCTAAGTATTGTGAGTTGATGCTTTTTAACGTTTTAGTAATACGAACGTATCTTTTTACAGTAAAAAGCAATCATGTATATGAGTGAAGCCCAAAGCGTTCCAGTTGTACCAGATGCATCTCTTTATCCACATGTATGTATATTCTCGTTTACTGTGCCCGAATTTGATCATGCGTGTCGATTATTTTCCGACAGAAATCACTAACACATTTTTATGATTTGATTCTAGCTTATTTAACTTTATGCGATATTCGTATCGCTCTTAAGAAATGTCTAATTTTACACATTTTATCTCGAAGCTAATATCACTAAGAAATGAAAACGAATTAAAAATTTTGAAACTACAATCTTACTAGAGTATTGGTAGACGCAAATTCTAACCAATTTTACTTGTCGCACATTTTGTCATAGTTTAAGTTGATGAATTTATTCTGGGCTCGATTAGTTGTCTTGTCACTTGCTGAAAATTCATTTTTAACGACAATGAAATACGTCTTACAACTATATAATCGAATCATGTAAAAAGCGGCAAGCCATTACTGACAAAGCAGTTGTGTTAGTAATACGACACGTTATAATTTTTGCTTTTAAAACATTAAAATTGTTGTTTGGTTAGCAATGACATTTTAGTAAAATGAATAGCACTTACCTGTACTTCTTGTGGTCCAACATAATGTACTTGGGGTTATTTCTTACAAAAGGTGATTTTGTGATTTTACCTTTGCGTTCATTAAATTTATATGAGATTGACATTTTTTATGGTAATAATTGACTTAACCTATGTATGTTAAAACTTTCAATCGGCCTATTCTAGTTTTTTACAAACTTGGCTAGAAAATTTTTGCTTATTTTCTTTTCTATTTGTATTAGTTTGGTGTATATGACAACAAATTTCAAACAAAACGTGTATATCGAGGTTTCCTCCATTGCTGAATATATATAAGAAATATTCATAATCTTTAGTAACCTTGCGCGAATGTCAATATTTCGATCAAACATTAAAAGGCAATAACGTATATATCGCCGCATTTAAAGTTCACGAATCAGTTCAAAATTACTGGAATGAACACGACAGCCAAAGTCGTCTTGAATTACGACCGAATTTTTCATTTTCGTGTTTTGATATCATATCATTCCCTATTCTAAATTGTTTCTAACATGAAAGTCATGGCGATAGTTCCGAGTAGGAGTATAACCGCTTCACCACAGTTACAAGGTAATTTACTTCAAACAAAATGGCTCAAAGTTTTTTGATAAAACCTTTATCTGTGTTTTGTTTTAAATATTTCGCGATAAATGTCCGAATCACGAAAAGTTGATAATAATACATGGAATAGTCACAAACGCTCTTTGGACAGCACAGATCAATGCACCAAGTTTCAATTAACGATTTTTAAGCAATACCTAATATAACTAAGTATTTACATCGAAAATAAAATGCTCCATGTTTTATGCAAATGGTCAAAGATTTTTTAAACGCGTAAAAATTCTAGTAGAGTATTTTTGCTTGTAGTGATCGAGTTGGCGATGTGCGGTTTTATGTTAATGTTTAAGTTCTTATTTTAGGTAGTTACACTGGCACTTCTCTGGCAACTAGAGCTGACACGAGCGCTGGAAGTGGCCAAATACAATTGTGGCAATTTCTTCTTGAGCTTCTTTCGGATGCTAAGAACTCACATTTTATCACATGGGAAGGAACAAACGGAGAATTTAAGTTGATTGATCCAGATGAAGTAGCGAGACGTTGGGGCGAAAGAAAGAACAAGCCAAACATGAACTATGACAAACTTAGCCGTGCATTACGTTACTACTACGACAAAAACATCATGTCAAAAATCCATGGAAAACGATATGCCTATAAATTTGATTTCCATGGGCTCGCTCAGCTTAATCAACCCATTACGTCCGACGCTCAAGCGCATGCTCAGGCTGTTTACAAATTTCCCGGCGCAGATTTTTATCCTGGTTTTGCTGGGGCAGGTTTTTATCCCGGAGCTGCTAGTCCTGGCCAATATTGGTCAAGCCAATACTGGGCAAGAGCACCAACTTCGCAAGGCCAGCATATGTATGGTGGACCTATAAGAGCATTACCTTACTACCCGTAAAACTAGAAATTCATTCCAACGGAAACTTCAGTGATTTTGTTCAGCCCATTTTCTTACATTGATTCTGGCTATTTATGAACGCTAACGAGCGCAAATGAATTTATTTTGTATTGAAATCTTTATATTTGTAAATAATTCACCGTCATCCGCAAAATGGTTTATGTTACCCATTCATTTTGTATGTAAGGACGAATGTCATCCTTAGCTACCATTGCTGATCAAGTTCAAGGCACCAAGCAAGTATGAGCAAGCAAGATTTTATACCAGTCTTTAGATGGTTATATGTACAGTAAATAGTTAGTGCAAGTACTATTTATTTTATCAGAATGTATAATGAAGAACAAAGAAATGCATATTTTTCTACGAGCGGCCAGTATTTTTGCTCATTCCCCCACCGATAAAAAGTACATGGTTTATTTGTCAATAACTTTGAAAAGAAATGTGCTATTTTGAAATCTATTGTTTTGCAATTTTGGCCGTGTCCCATAAAAATTGCACTCGAGTCAAAACATCTTCAGGGAAGGCTAGATGTTTAAAATAAAAAGTTAGCTACTACGTCCTACATAGTATATTGTTTACTTTAAATCATTTTTAATTGAAGTACGAAGCAACTTCATTTTAAGCAACTATTGATATAGCGTCTTGAGTATACCTTTACAAAGGGCTTGAATTTCAATTTCATAAGCTATTCGTGAATATTTTCTGACAATTTTTTCGGTAAGATTGGTTTGGTTCTAATTTAGGGAGCTGAGCATTTGAACTGTTATGTGTCCCTCACATAAAGTATCCTGCAAAATTTTAGAGAAAATTTAGACTTCAGTGTCTTTATAAAGATCTTATTTTTTCTGTATTAAGTAGTAGTATGGTATATTCCCGTTCAATATTATAATATAGGTGTATGTAATAAGGAGCCATTTTCATTTCCCAAGGTTTGTGGCTCATCTTATGGGCTAATCGCTCGTGTCACATGACATTTGTTACTATAAATGTGCACATCTGGAGAACGCTAACCAATGTTTAGCACAGCAGCTTCTTGGACGTACTTTTATCTCTCCAAATCCAATGTCGCACGGTTTAAGCCATAACATTAAGCTTGACGTTGAAAAAGATCAAGGGAGAAATCAAAATGGCGGTGATGATGAGATGAGTATCCTGATTTGATGCCTATTCCTTTCGGTTACTCCGCGAGAAACTCAAGAGTTCGGAATGAATGTGAGGTGTTGCAAATGCTTGGTTGAAAAAGGAGGGTTTGCTTCAGTTGTCAAGGTAACTTTTTATTACATACAACATCGTTTAAATAGACGGTAATTTGGTCATGTGAAGGAACTTTTGTACGTGATTTGGAAATGCTTTATACACGCTTAAGTATACGTAATAAATTTGACGGTTGTCTCTGTGCGATAAAAAGAAATCTTTTGAATACGAAAAGTGTACTGTTTAATCGCAAGACTACTCGAGGAGAGAAATTACTTTCAAGATTGAATCATGAAAATATTGTAAGGCAGAAACAAATTTACTATCCAAAATGAGTCAAAGTTTTATAACATAATGGTTCTAAGCGAGGTTCAAGTTAAACGATACAAATTGCTCGGCTTATTAAATGTTATCTTTGTAGAAACTACTATAACAAAGTAGATAACCCTTTTTTTCATGAAGCCCATGGATGCTTTCGTTCATAATGAGAGACTCATATTGTATAAGGAGGCTAGCTTTTGTTTGTCACGAGAGAGTTATGAGAAAGTATAAAAGCTAACAAGTAAAAACGTTTAAACATGCTTAGAGTTGGTTTGACTTATAAGTCAAAAAGACACAAGTTGTTTGAACTTTTGCAGTATCCTTGGATATTCTAGTGTCAGAAAAAGTTAATGGAAACATTGCTTGGTTTATTTTACGAACTCTAGTAAAAAAAGATAAAATTCGAAAGCAAAACCCGTTTTCGGTCCATGCTTCCCGATACCTTGTTATGGTTAAGGCACTAGAACGCCGCATGTTAACGTTTCGGTAGGAGATTTCGGCCCCTCCACGCTATCCTACTTGGGAGATGCAATAGCAAGCTTCCGCCCATCGGCTTTGCTCGGGGTACGCAGGGAGAGTGCGGTCGCGACCAAAGTCTGGGCTCCTAAGCCACTGCATACTATATCGCACCCAGCTTCCACTGCTAGTTGACATGTACTATATGAAGTTTTAGCTTTATATATATATACACATATTCAAAGGCTTACGAAAGTTGTGGTATTATTAAAGTCACTACTGCGCATGCTCAGATGATTTCTTCGATAATTTGCGACTAAGTGAGCTAATTGCCACAAATGTAGTGCAAGTACATATAGTTAGTCGTTGCCATGACTATGAACAATTATTCGAATAGACTGCGCATGCGCTTGAGCATGTGCAGATGATTTCTTTATTAAATTGTTACTATGCATGCTATTTACTTCAAAATCCGTGCTAGTAGATGCAGTTGGTCGTTGCCATGACCATGAACTTGGGTAGCTGGTCAAGTCGACTGCGCATGCGCAGATGATTTATCTGAAAATTTGTGACTGAGCGAGCGAATTACTCCATAATCGGTACCAGTACATACAGTTGGGCGTTGTCATGACCATGAACTTGGAGAATTGGTGCAATTGACTGCGCATGCTCAGATTAATTCTCAATTAATTTGTGACTGAGAGAGATCTGAAATCGGTGCTTGTATATGCGCTTGGCAAAGTTTCAATCATGTATTTTTGTCACGCTCTTTGTCTTCTTAAGCATGTTTTGACAAATGCATATCAAATTCATCAACACTTTGTTACGCCATTCGTAATTTCTGTGACAATCTTGGACATGTTTTTATTTTTCTCCATAACTTTGTATCTACATATTTTGTGCATAAACAATGCTCTAATATTTATGACAGATATTATAATTCGTGGATTGAGGTAGAAGATATACTAGAAAATAAAACTTCCAACACTGAAACAAAATCAAGCATGACAAAGGAGAAACAACGACGGAAGACTGAAAGAAGCTTGATGGAATTGAACGTAACTGAAGCACATAGCGTGCGCTCAATAAGAACTCGTGGACCAATAAAAACATGAATGATTCCAAGCATGTTGACGACTATAAAAGCTCTAGCGAGGACGAGGTTCTAATACAAAAACAATCGATTAATAACACCGAGTCTTCTGAAAATATGTTCAAAAGAACTACCGATGAACACATGTACAGTTTGTAAGCTCTTTGGCTCACGTGATATGATGTTGCTGAAGATATGTAAAAATATCTACCAGCGTCTTTCCTTTTGGACGAGGAATCTGATTTCGAAAGTGAAGAGGAAGAAATCACCACAAGAGATTTGCACGAAGATTCAAAGTGTACTCTGCAAACTTTGTGTATACAGATGGAGTTTTGTGAGAAGAGTACTCTAAGGAATGTTATTGACGAGGGACAGTACAAAGACGAACAGAGAATGTGGCGGTTTCTCCGGAGATTGTAGAAGGATTAGTTCACGTTCATTCACAGGGAGAAACTTTCGATTATTGTATGTGCTAACTGTATATATGTGTAGCTAAATATGAAAAAAGTGTGAACAATTTTTGTTATGCTTAATAAATATCTATGAAGACTTATTATTTGCTATTTTTCTCTAATAATTGCCAAAAGGGAATTATTCAAGTAAACGCGTTTGGACATTTTTGGTTTTCCATTATTATATTTTCAGGTGTTTTCTTTAGAAAGTCAACTAATATAAAGGAAAAAGAGTTTGATCTTTGAATAAATTGAAAAGCTCGTTTTGGACTTCTAAGTTCCTTTTCATTGAATCGCAGTGAATATTTTAAAATTTCATCTGGCAACACTGGCGGGAAACTAAAATATATAAACATACTTTAGTTTGGGCATAATGGCAACAACTCGAAAGATTTCCAAAAAAAAGAGCGCAAATAGTTTTATTGATAAAGACAAACTTTGTTCAGAATTGAGGAAATGGGCTGTGGATGAGATGTGCTTTCGTCCACAAGGTCGACACGTAAATACACGCATACCAAATGCTGAAGAATTTAAAACGTAAGCTTTAACATTACTTTTATAAATGAGATGCTTGTATTTAGGAAAGGAATATAGTTTTCAATTTTTGCTTAGCTGGGGAAACAGTTAAAACTGTTAAGTAATCAGTATCTTTGGTATAGTGTGTGGAAGAGAACGTCAAGAACTGGAAATATGCATACTTATTCCCATTGAAATTTACTTATTCTGATGAAATAAAACAATCGTCTAGGTTTGAATAATATTTAGTTGCCATTAGTTCTGAAATGATGAGACAAAATGACCATTGTTTCCTAATTAAAATTTTGCTTTGAGCAGCACACTCCTGTAAAACAACACATCTGAGGGTAATGTTGTAAATTATTAGAGATGCAAATCAGGAACACTTGAAATTATGTAATTTATTCAAGTATCATCTGTTTGTTACATAGTAGGTTATGACAAAGTAGGTAATTGCAAAATTCATTTGTCAAAAGCACTTTTATAACATGATAATTCATAGATATATATCAGATATATATCATCAAATTAAGTTGCTTTTATTTGTTCTGTTGTTTTTTTAGGATCTGCCGAGGTTCGCTTACACAAATGTGGTTGTATTCAATTCAACATGTTTACTCAATTCAGTAAGTATTTTAGTAAATATGGACAACCAATATCTTTCCTATTACCAACAGTGTATACTATATTCTATATCTTAGAAAAGATTTCTAAGCATTTGTATAGTAACCATAATTGAGCAATTACTAATTTTCATTCATTGAAATTTTAGACAGATTATCATGTTCTTTAGTTGAGTGATACCATTAATTTTACAGGGATTGGATTGTGAAGTGTAACTAAACAAAAGATTAATGCTAAAGGCAGTTTGGTGAATGTAAGAGGGAAAGCTTAGAGAGTATAAATAAAAGACAAATAAATCCCAAGTGCTTAATGAAAATTGTAGTGACTGACGGTTTTGCCTTATGATCTTTTAGTCAGAGGGAAAATGTTTTATTACTATTGCCATTGATATGCATTGCTAGTTGATGCATCATATGAAAAAATGAAAATATGAAAGAATAAAAATATAAAAGAAAATAAAAGAAAATATGGGAAGTCTGGAGAAGAGTGGGTACTGTTGTTTACCGAAAGTAAGGGAAAGAGTGGATACTATTGTTTACTTGAAGTCTGGGGAAGAGTGAATATTATTGTTTACTGGAAGTCTTGGGAAGAGTGGGTACTATTGTTCATTTGAAGTCTGGGGAAGAGTGGATTCTATTGCTCATTGTGTGTGTACTCTTGTGAATAATAATTATCTATTTGGTTTCGGAAGTTTAGTAGTTGTTGGTTGGGAGTTTGTAAGACACTGTGATTTTTCTGATTGTTTTGGATGTTGTTCTAAGTTTGTGTACAAGCCTTCTTAAACCGTTGTTTTAAATTTCACTGTATGCTGGCATGGAGCAGAGTCCCAGTCAATGTTGCGTTTTGTTTACAGTAAATGATTGGCTATATTTTTGGCCATATTTTGACCACACGTATGTAATGTGAATAGTTCATTGTTTACAACTACTCGTTTTAGTGATGGCGTAAATAATCCTATGGATCACATATCACTTGTGCACGTTTGGTTAATGTTTGATTGTCGTTGTTTTGTGTGATGTAGGATATTAAAGATAACTGTATGAGTTGGTTTATGTTCACCGTGGTTCTCAGTTTGTTGGTGCCACGAGTTATTTCCCTGTCAATATGTTCCGTTTTTCTTTACACCCGTAGTAAAATATACAAGTTAAAGTTCTATCACCATTGTTATGAAAGTTATCAATCTCTACTTCTTCTATCATACATTCACTGTATGGTCAGCGTAGCGAAAACAAAATGTTCAATTTGGTTTTTAATCAACAAAGGCCCCTTTTCAATGGTTAATTGACATGGGCATTTCGTGCACCACAACGGTGTTTGAATAAACAACGAATAATAACGTTTAATCTCTAATCTCACTAAAATTATTCTATTTACTCTAAGGGTGACTTCCAACAATAAGAACGGCAAAACGTTACTCGTAAACTAGGCGACAAACTTCTACAAACTTTAGGCTTGTTAAATGTGTTTTCAAACCATTAAGATATGATTTTGTCACCCCATACACCTTGCCAACATTTGCAAATTTTGCGAAGTGGGAATCGATGATATGAATTTGTAAAAATGAGGCACTAGCTATATGTTTACTGTCAGGCCATTATTTTGCATTTCATTTTCGTAGGAATGTCCTGAGAATAAAGGAGAACATTAAACTGTATCTTTTGGATTTTTTAATCCATTGAAAGCATAGAGTACGCAAAGTATTCAAACTTGTGATTTTTGAGTAGGTCTAGAACAGCGTTTTGCTCATTGGTAAGAAATGAAGAACAATTTTCTCTGAATTAGACTTTTTCCTATAAATTAGATCTTTGGTATTACAACTTTTTTTTATTTTCTCGCAAAAATTTATTTATTATATATTTTAAGTCGATTATGTCTCTTTAACCTCACCGCAAAGTTATTCGTTACTTCAAAAGAAAAATGATGTTGATCTTTTAAAAGAGAAGAAAAACAAGTGTAAAGATGTTTTGAAAAGAGTGATTGATTTAGAGGATAAAATTAATCATGTTGATAGAGATATCACACAACATGAAAATGAAACATTGTCAATTTCAGGTAACCCAAGTACAGTGTTACATACCACCTACTTTTGTTCCATTTCCATATCCTACATATATGACCATCAATAATAGCAATAATGGGTCACTTTCTGTAATGTTTGCTGGTAGGCTCTAACTTTGCAGCTCTTGCGGGTAGATTAGAACTTTGCAGAGCTTATGGGTAGGTTAGAACTTTGCAGGGCTTACTCATTACTGGTAGACCAGAACTTTGTAGAGCTTACGGGTAGACTAGAATTTTGCAGAGCTTACAGGTAGACTAGAACTTTGTAGAGCTTACAGGTAGACTAGAACTTTGTAGACCTTACAGGTAAACTAGAACTTTGTAGAGCTTACTGGTAGACTAGAACTTTGTAGAGCTTACAGGTAGACTAGAACTTTGCAGGGCTTACTCAATACAGGTAGACTAGAACTTTGTAGAGCTTACTGGTAAACTAGAACTTTGTAGAGCTTACAGGTAGACTAGAACTGTGTAGAGCTTACAGGTAGACTAGAACTTTGTAGAGCTTACAGGTAGACTAGAACTTTGTAGACCTTACAGGTAAACTAGAACTTTGTAGAGCTTACTGGTAGACTAGAACTTTGTAGAGCTTACAGGTAGACTACAACTTTGCAGGGCTTACGAGTAGACTAGCAAATAAGTCATGCGATTTGTAAAAACACCATATTAATTGAACAGAAATTAAGAATTGATTATAAAAAAGTTTCTTTTATTATATGCACTAATGTAGTCATCTCTTTCAGATCAATCTTTTATTAAATTACAAGAGCTTGACAAACGTTGCATACTTCTGTCATCTTATTACAAGAAAAGTGTGGAAAAAGTAAAAGTTTTGGACGAATTTCGTCGCAGGATTGAAGGACGCATTTTACAACAGAACGATCTGAAACGGTAACTACATTATATCGAAGTTAAATTTCAATCTTAGACAGTATGAATACATGTCCGTAAGACCTGTATAACAATCGCTTACATAATACCTTGAACTAACATAATAATATGAACCTTGCACAACAAGTTGTTATGTCGACAATAACTTATGATAGCTTATTGTTAAAAAATTTTATTTGTCATGAAATCAATGGATGTTTGCCTCATTATACATGAATCAAAATCAAATGGAAGTTAATTGAAAAAAACGAAGGAAATTTTATGAATATTTTATGGTTCGTTTAAATTAAAAGTCAAATCTTTAATTGGATCCCTGGTTTGTTATCATTTTTCTTGGAAATTTCTATTGTTGTTAATAGAAACTAATTAATTCTTGAAATCTTTATACTATAGTTCCAATATGTTTTAATTCATTTATATGTTTATATAGAAAGACAGGTAAAGACAGTAACTACTTTATGAGAAAAATTCCTCAGAATAATGTTACTGAAAAAGAATGGGATCAACATAGTTTTGTTGGCTTGGAATCTGCTTGTTCTGTGAGTTTGAGAGTAGCTTTCATAGACGTTTACTTTCATCATATCAAAAGTTGATAAAAATATTTGGGAGGGAGGGGTGGTAGAATTTGTTTTGATAAATGCTACCAATCACTATTACTGAAATGCTAACGAAGTAGAAGGTCATCATTCAAGAGTAGTATTTTGAATTTTTGTTTTTGGAGAATTTATTTTGTGTTGTTCAATGACTTGAGAAATCTATTTTTACTGTCATTTAAAAGAAAAATAATTGTATGGGAGGGGAGGGGTACAAATTTTCGCTGGCTGCACCCTTTATCATCATTTCAAGATTTTTTTGTGTTTCATTTAAAGTGGTGTATAAAGTAATACGATTACTGATTTCAGCGAAACGTTAGAGAGACCTGTGAGGCTATTGGATCATTTTTACATCATCTTCACGATATTAAAATGGAAGAAGAAAAAGTTGAAGCAAAGTATTTATTGTATATTATATGAATTCATCCATTGCTCAGTGTATGAATTTATCAATTGTTCCTTACATCAATGTGTATCAAATTTACCAATTGCTCATTGAAATTGAAAAATGTGCATTTATGTACTTGTAATTTTCCCAGAAATTCTATTGAAAATACCAAAGCGAATTTGTGGACCTCTATTGAGGTAAACTTTGTTAAAATATAAATGTTCTGCACGATTATACATTTTAACATAAAGTTTGTTCTATTATCAAAAGGCAAATTTCAAACCAAGCAATTTATTACATAAATGTACTTTATGATAATACATCGCGATTATTGGTTAATCTCACACACTGTCTTAAAAACCCTTTCATTAAGAGCAATTTGAAATGTCTTCCTAGAAATTGATATGAAATTGAAGATTTATAACTGAATTTTCGGACAATTATTTTGGAAAGAAACAGTATTTGATTCCAACCATTGATATGACAAGTATGACGTCACATTATGCTGATGTGTTCATTTTGAAAATAACGTCTGTTACTCTCGGTGACGTAGCCATCTTGGTCATCTGACTGATTTTTGTGCTCACTTAATCAATATTATTTTTTAAAGAAATTTATAATAACGCAATGAAATACATATGTACTGACAATGCATTCCATGCTTTCTTTGTTACATAGTACTCTCATTTTCTCATTTTTACGTTACGTTTTGCTGTGGTATTTACTGTTATGGATAGTTTGGTAATTTTCCAACACGCCGGTTATTGTTTGTGAAAAAAATGTTTATTTTTAATAAAATTCTCATCTTAGAGTTTTTAAAAAGTCTCTAAATTTTCCTCTTTAGTTAACGAAAGCAAACATTTTCCCAATTAGAAAATGATATAGGGATGTTATAGTTGTTTTAGTAAAAGTTACTACGACAACCTTAGACGTATTTTACTTTTAAGTGATCACCTTTATTAGTTGTGAAAGTCATATTGTTCACTGAATGCTGCAGCGCATAATTTCATTGCCATTTGCTGTGAATTTTTACCAATGTGTATTATGTAGACAATTGCATCCAGCATTCACCCTCTGATGTATTTGGATCATTGACGAAAACTGTTTTGGATTCTTCAACCAATCTTGAAGAATTAACATCCAGAATTGATATCAGGAAAGACGCGAAGCAACTGAAGTAGGACAAACAAAGTATTATTTGAGATACTCATTATGTATTTGTCTAGTGTTTTTTAACGTTGAACTAGGTTTAGGTACGAAAATGCTGGGCAACTATCAGATACATCATCTCCAACACCTCTCTATATTAGTGTGCACCAACTTATTGAGGTATATGCAGATTTTTGCAAATTCAAAACTGTTTGGCATTTAAGCACATTAAATGGGTGAATGGGTTAACCACTGATTATCAATTTCTTCGTATATACTGAGTGAACACCATCTATTAATTTTTAGGAAGGTCAATCTGCGCACATGGAGAACTTTGTTTTAGCTGAAAAGTCAAAAAATCAATTACATAAAGGGCAATTGCTATTGAAGACGTTTAATGAAAAAATCGAGACAAGACAACAAGCTTTATATGGAAATAATTTGGACTCCTTAAGAATCGCGCAGTTAGTATTGCCATTCATTTTCTCTCATTTTGCATCTAAGTTCTTAATGACCAAAAGAAATCGTTTTTTATGTTGTGTTTTTGTGAAATCAGTTTTGTATAGTTATATGAACTATAAAACTGAAATACTTCCCAGCTTTTTTGTGATATTATCATATGCGGTAATATATGTATTTCCAATGGTTTGACCAGTTTATTACATTTTACGTATAAAATTATGTGATGCAATATTGCTTTGGGTAAAACGAAGTGGCTTATTACGGTCTCCTAATGTATGTAAATGTATACGATTTATTACGCTCTCCAAATATGAAAGTGGTTAAATGTGGAGGGAAGGATTTTTTTTGCTAGTAAGAGGTAAAAAGTTGTTTTATAATATAGAATCAGAAGCTTGTGAAATATACAATCATAAGTCAAGACAATCTTAAGGACAGTATTTCTGATGCTAGTGTTTATTAAATAAAGGACCTACAACAAGTTTACTTCATTGTATTTTTGCTTTTCCAGATATTATTCAAGCATTTAAAAACGCATATCCTTTTTATAGGCAACTCTATAAGACAGAACTTGAATTTGTTGCGTCCAAAGCAGTTTTGGATTGTTTGGAAAGGGAATCTCAAACACTTGAAAAAACAAGATTGGAGAAACAATCCCAGCTGGATACTTTGTATGCAAAATATCGAAAGATACAAGATTTTGAAAAAATAGTGGTACGTGTTTCAGTCCAAACGCTTGTTTATGGTAACTGCAAATGGTAGCTGCTTATAGCTAATGTACATTTTTGTTCTATTTAACGTTTGGATTGTTTATTTGAACATTCAAGCTTTCAAACATGATCAACGTCCTTCATTTTAGCAAGAGAAACAGAATATGATACAAATCTTAGTAAAGCATAATTCAGATGCCAAAAGTAAACTTAATCAACAACAAACTGAGGTACGTTATCAGTACTAATAAATAAGAACTTTCGTTTGCTTTTATCATCAATACTTAATATCTTGATGTGTTTTTGTGAGAGGATCGTCTTCTTTTTCTTTTGGATGTATGGTTCTGTTGTTTCGTAGATTTTAAAAACATCTCAGGACAAGGTCTGTTCCCACGAAAGTGAAATAAAAGCTACAGTATCATGTTTAAAAGACAGCATTTCCAAAGAAGTAACATCGTTTGTTTCTCTATCTTTATCTCATATGATGTACTTGGATATTAATGGGTTTGTATCTAGAAGACAATTATAATTTGCATTGATCGTAGTTTGTCATAGTGACGTATAGAAAGATGACTATATATTTCACTTGGATAAATAAACCTTGCTGTCGCAAATATATATTACGTATTATGCTGAAACTTTTTCTTGTAGTCGTGGCCGTGTTCCAGTGTCCCAATTAGCGATTAATCCACTTAATCATGGTTTGAATATGAATTCAACGATGAAGAACATTTTGGTGACCCTTGATTTTCACGATTTCATGGTAAAGTAATAGTTACATCTATATTTTCATGACTTTATGGTAAAGTAATAGTTACATCTATATTTTCATGATTTTATGGTAAAGTAATAGTTACATCTATATTTTCATGATTTTAGTGTAAAGTAATAGTTACATCTATATTTTCATGATTTTATGGTAAAGTAATAGTTACATCTATATTTTCATGATTTTAGTGTAAAGTAATAGTTACATCTATATTTTCATGATTTTATTGTAAAGTAATAGTTACATCTATATTTTCATGATTTTATGGTAAAGTAATAGTTACATCTACATTTTCATGATTTTAGTGTAAAGTAATAGTTACATCTATGTTTTCATGATTTTAGTGTAAAGTAATAGTTACATCTACATTTTCATGATTTTAGTGTAAAGTAATAGTTACATCTATGTTTTCATGATTTTAGTGTAAAGTAATAGTTACATCTATATTTTCATGATTTTAGTGTAAAGTAATAGTTACATCTATGTTTTCATGATTTTATGGTAAAGTAATAGTTACATCTATATTTTCATGATTTTATGGTAAAGTAATAGTTACATCTATATTTTCATGATTTTATGGTAAAGTAATAGTTACATCTATATTTTCATGATTTTATGGTAAAGTAATAGTTACATCTATATTTTCATGATTTTATGGTAAAGTAATAGTTACATCTATATTTTCATGATTTTATGGTAAAGTAATAGTTACATCTATGTTTTCATGATTTTATGGTAAAGTAATAGTTACATCTATATTTTCATGATTTTATGGTAAAGTAATAGTTACATCTATATTTTCATGATTTTATGGTAAAGTAATAGTTACATCTATATTTTCATGATTTTATGGTAAAGTAATAGTTACATCTATATTTTCATGATTTTATGGTAAAGTAATAGTTACATCTATATTTTCATGATTTTAGTGTAAAGTAATAGTTACATCTATATTTTCATGATTTTATGGTAAAGTAATAGTTACATCTATATTTTCATGATTTTATGGTAAAGTAATAGTTACATCTATATTTCATGATTTTAGTGTAAAGTAATAGTTACATCTATATTTTCATGATTTTATTGTAAAGTAATAGTTACATCTATATTTTCATGATTTTATGGTAAAGTAATAGTTACATCTACATTTTCATGATTTTATGGTAAAGCAATAGTTACATCTATTATCGATATGTCTGAAACTACCATATGTCAACATGTTGTTATTGTTCAGATGTCATTAAAAGCCATTTTAATTTAGATGTTTCTATACTTAAGGTGTAATCATGGTTGCTTTAATCTTAAATTTTGATGTTTCCATACTTAAGGTGTAATCATGGTTGCTTTAATTTAAATTTAGATGTTTCCATTCTTAAGGTGTAATCATGGTTTCTTTAATCTTAAATTTAGATGTTTCTATACTTAATGGTTGATCATGGTTGCTTTAATCTATACTTAAGGTGTAATCATGGTTGCTTTAATCTTAAATGAGCTCTTATGAACGTTGAATTTCTTGAACTTGTAATGACGAAATCTCTCTGGTGACGTGACGTAGTTTTCAAAGTAAAATGACTACACATGTTAAAGTCGAGTTTCTTGTTCCATTTTATAGACATCGGATATGCTTTTATTAAAGACTGATGAAATAAAGACCCAGAGTAAGTTAAAATTTTCATAGAAATTGCATACTTGAAACATATTTCTATACGACACACTATTTCTTGGCTCAATCTTAAAATGTTCTTGTCTGAATGGAAAAGAATCTAGGATTTTTTTTCGTCAACAGTTAACATGGAAAAGGAGCGTCTGAAATACAACAAGGTCATCTACAATTCATTATCAAAAACGAAAGCAATGAACGCAGTCAACGATAATCATGCGAAAGGTGATAAAGTCCATTAACTTTTATTATCCAATCATCATTATTGAGCAATTCTTCATACTTTGTTTACTGTGCAGATCTTCAAAACGCTGTAATAGAGCAACTTGAAACAGAGGACAAGCTATTATTACCAAAAATACAAGAAAATATTTCAAAAACTACAAAAGCATTGTCCGAGTGCATTGTTGCCATGGAAACTGTAAATTCATGGTAGGAGGACAAAAATAATTTCGATGTACAATTCCCTTGAGAATCATTTTCAATTCTTTAGTAACTGCATTGCAGTGGGATTATGTACAGTCATAGATTTATCAAACACATTGATTGTGTTATTACTTTAGGTGGGAACAACCTGCTCAGTACTTAGTGCCATGGGAAACAGTGGAAGGTATGAACATGAGAAACTGGAAGGATCAATGGACGGTAATGACAACACGCCTTCGACAATTACAAACGAAGAAATGAACAGTGTTATCTATTGGAAATAAAGGTTGTGTTAAATAATCTTCAACACGATTTCGTGATTTTTATACATACTATTTCAAAGAAATATACACGATCGTTAAAAATTGTTGCTATGAAGGCCTTCGTTATTTTGCATTAAAATTTATCACAAAGGCGGCAGTAAAAATGAAATGATCTTGTTATTTCATGCTCATCTGTCAAGTATGATGTTTTTTAAAGAAACATATGTACCTGTAACGCATCCTAAAAATGCGAGCAATAAAATAACAATGTTCTTAACAGCTAAAAGTCGCGTAGTCTCTTGTGAAAATAAGATCCAATGAAATATTGTTGGACATGCAAACGATAGTAAACAAGCGGCAGTTGAACCAACTAACGTTATTATGTCATTCAGATGTGGAGTTGCAGCAGCCAGACCACCTGAAATTACACAAACACACGTGATAAATGAATTATGTCGAGAATATTATCCACAGCTATGCGAACATTTTGCCTTCAAGTGATAAATCGGAGTAAGAAATGAGGGACGTTATTTTCATGCTTTTCAAGACACTGCGTATCATGTTTTTATCATGACGTGATGAACATAGACGAAAACACGTCATTCAATTACGTAACATTACAGTTGTATGGGTTTATTTTCATCTCTTTTTATGTTTACCATCTTACCAACTACCACTCCCACCAACTTCCACTCTATCAACTATCATCTCACCCACTACTGCCTTGCTCACTACCATCCTGTTCACTACCACCCCACTTCCTTCCACCCTACCCACTACCACCTCCACCCACTTGCACCCTGCTTACTACGACCCCAACCACTTTTACCCTACCCACTATCACTCTCCAACCGGATGTAAATAGACATTCTGTAAGTCAAAAAATAATGGAGCTAAATATGATTATATAAAATTAAGAATGTAAAGGATCTTTATGTGCATGCGATGAAGTACATTTATACTTTGCAACAGTTGTTTGAGCTAACACTGCTATACGTCTACTTACATGAGACACCCACAGTTGTTGTTCGAATTACTAAAATAGCAAATGTGCGATATTTTCTTTGCAGTCGTCGAGTAATGGTTGACTCAAGAATGTGAAAAAATACATAGATCTGTATGAAATACGTGCAGAAGATGGCCACGGAAACCATAAGCTTGACGGTAGAATAGTATCTGTAAAGAAAATGTGATATTCTATCATAAAACCACAGAATAACACATAGATACGTCTTCAATAAATTGCATATTCTTCATGAAACCACAGAATAAGATTGAGGTACGTTTTCAGTAGGTTATATATCTTTCTATGATACTAAATGAAACCAATGCATAGAAATATAAACTCACTTGAATTTTGGTAGGTTAAGCGTTATGCTGCCTCTACATTTGTCTTGAAATGTCATATAACCGAAAATTGCCATATTTAAATATAAGATAACTGAAATCCCCATGCCAATATTAATTATTCGAGGGAAATGATTTGTGTTTTTCATTTTACTTCGAACTGGTAAAATCTGCGAAAACATCAAATCGTTAGCATCAGTGCCCTCATCTTGATATTCACGTCAAACTCGTGAATATAAAAATAATTTTTATATGCTTACGCATGCCACTTACCATTGCTACAGCTTCAAAAGCATACGTACTAGCTCCAAAAAACAGTGGCAAAGCATTCCAACCAGCAAAGTTCTCCAGCTCTGATAGCTGTTGTGCATGACTGAATAGATATTGATAGATGGAGATAAAAACGACAAGCATAATTATATTTGCAAAAGACGAAAGCCAAGATAGAGTTCTTAAGTCGGATATCAGGCAGAACAAAATTAACAAAGGTAATAATATTGGAATATATAGTTTGGCTTTGATATCTATCACATCCAAATCTTGTAATGCCTAAAAAGAGGACATAATGTTATTACTAACGACAAGAAGGTGTAGGAAAGTAATGATCAAAAATATATTACTTGAAGATGGATTTTACGTAAATGTAGTAGCTACTTTGTCAACATATATTAAGATGAAACTGCAAGACTACATACCACAGCATGTTACTTACATCTTGAACATTCTCCACTATAAAAAGAACGTAACTAGTACAAGCTCCCAGCTGCATCATGCACAACAAAACATTTACAATTGTGCTGAAAAAAACATGGAATGAACTTTGCTCTTTTTGTTACATAATCCACTTAATTTTTTTCTGTAGTTAATTGTTTTATTTAAATATCGAGAACGCTTCTTTTGTACTGACATATTTTCCTACCTTCCAATATTTGGGTATCGAGGGATTAGTAGAGGAACGCATTTATCAGCAAGTTCACCATATGTAAATGATGATTTCCCAGTGCTATAATTTTATATTAAATTACTTATAATTTCTCTGCAGTTAAAGATATAGATTAGTAATTATATGACGTACTTGATGGATAGACGTTTTGTACAGCTTACCAGAAGATGATTGCAATGAATTGTAGCTGCAGCAATGAAGACCAACAGCACTGGTCCTACCTATTTGTTACAATTAGTAAAACTCTACATTACTTCACAATAAATCAATAATTTTTCATCTTCAACTTTATGGACCACTTGGTGCAAATGAAATTTGAAAATATAAACTATTTCAGTTTATTAAGGTTGTTTATGCCGCTGCAACTGATCATAATTTGACATTTTGCATATTTTGATCCCCAATCGCTACAAAACTCTGGTCAAACTTTACGTCTGAGCCAGTGGTCTAAGCAGACATCATTCAGGATTCCTACCACAATGCCAGCATTCATTAAAGCGCGAGGCAATCCAAGAACACCAATTCCAATACTGGCTTTAAGAAGATGCATCAATGCCTGACCATCTCTAAGTTAAAAACCAAAAAATTTAGATTGCTATATGTCTTAATGCCTTATTGTGTAGTATATTGCTTGGACGAAGTAAGCATCTTACGATAAATAATCCTCATTCTCTGGCAACTTGATTGAAACATCATCTTTTGCTTCGTTTTGGCTACTATCATGGTATTGAAATGTTCCCTCGGAACATTTGCTGGACGTCAAAAGGGGTGTGCTTTCTTGACTTGAATTCATCGATCTCCTGTCGTTTTTGCTTCAATAGTAAAATAAAAAAGCTTTTGTTGTTTTTCACATTCATAACGAAAAGACACGAAGGACGAATTAAGGCTCAAACGTTATATTTATTTTGTGACTGTGGCACTTGGAATTAGGAACGAATTTGCAAGCTCAAGAGGGACTTGACTAGAGGCATTTAACCCTAGGAGTAAATGATAGCGGTGATATAATCAGGTTTCCTTAAGGTTACATAAATGATTGTGATTTATCAATCGTTTTAAAAATCTCTTCAAACCTTAAAGCTGTGAACGAAATGAATAATCAACAGTATAAACATTAATTCAAAAATATCAAAGTTCACATCAGTTATAAGTGGACCATGAACTCGTTGATTATCACCAGGCAACTTCATGCGCCAAAAAATTGTCTAATGTCTAGTGTCTAGAGAAAAACAGGTGAAATAACCATCTGCATTTTTCTAATTGATGGTAGTCCGTAGTCACTAGTTTAATGTGAAATGCCAAATGCAAAAACAAGCGCAGTTTACTAGAAATTTCCTTCCGAATATTGTACTAAATTTTATTCAATTTTACAATTGTAATTACTGAAATAAGAAAATGCTAGTTCCATACGTAAGAACTCAAAGAAAAGTAAAACCTAAGTTGATTTTCTCAAGTAATACTTGAACCTTGAACGATGCCTAAAGAAAACGTTAAATGTTGCCTATGGGATATTAAATATGTTAAAATGTATGATACTCGGTTTTACTTCTTCATTATTTTAAGTATATTACTCATTAAATGAACATATTCGATGAAACATTCGAATTTGATCCTATGTCACAAATAACGACATAAAAACAATGAAAACCCCCACAATATCCATACTTACATTTGTTGAAGCTCAAAGTATGTAAATCATTAGAAGCTATTGTATCGTCTTGCTACATACGCCTTGTCAGAAATGACATTGATATTCAATTTAAGTGCCTCCGATCAGTTAGTAATACCTTCTCGCCCTTGGCTTCTCCAGTTATGGTTTTTGACTGGAATATGCAAGGATGATCATTTGTCTTACACCAAAGACACTTGACTGTGTACGAGTACGAGTGATTGTTTTGTGTCTGTGTAATTATGTATGATAAAGTCGATTTACATTTTGTCGAGATGGCTCGAATCGAAAATGACTTCTTTTATTGCTTAGATGAATAGAAATGTTTTTGTCTACTTCCAGAACATTTCTGAACCCGTTAATTGCTCAAATTAATATCGAAAGTTTTGCTAGTTAAAAAAATTAACCCAAAAGTAAAACTTTTGCTTAGTTTATAAAATATTCAATGTCTGCATTTGCAAGTCAAGTAAAAAACGTTGTAAACCTTCTCCTAGACCCAAATTGCATCTTGACTCCGAAGAAAAGGTCCATGTTGAGAAACTGTCTTGTTTATTTTATCAACTATTGAGTCCAATATGAACCATTTCTTATGAGTTTGTGTAATATTATACTTCATAAAATTGTCGTCGGGGGCTAGAATGATGTTTGTAAAATTTCATTTGTGGTAGGAGCGTCTCAGTCTCTCAGAAAGATAAGAAAAGCAATTACATGGTAAAATTATACATGGTTAAATGTACAACATGAGTTTGTCATTATGACAGATGGTAAAAAGTGTATAAAATAAATTGAGATAATGAGGTTGGAAGGATTTGAAATACCTAACACATAAACTTCAAATTATTTTTGCAGAAAACCATGATAAAATGACTTCTGCCTTGAACGCTGAGGATGTAAAGGGGAAATTGTTTCATTATCTTAAGGATCGCGGTGTTTTGGATTCATTTAAGGCAAGGATTGTATGAATGTTTGTGGCGGGTTATTTGAATACTTTAGTTCTTATTATAGCAACGTTTGCTGATTTGACTTTGGTACACAATCAAATGCTTGTGAAACAGTCAAATCGTTTTAAAGTTTTGATGAAATGATTTATAGTTTTTAGTAATTTAAGTTTTAAGTATTGCATGGAGACATTGGCATAGATTAAATTCAAAATGGATTCTTATACCAAAATTTATCATTTTTTGTCTTCCTTTCAGACAAAATAAGGTCATTTGTAATTTCATATTTTAACTATTAAAAGTCAAGGGAGCTTGCATATCACACAACAATAAAATACTTGCATTATGATATGTTACATGCCTTCTGTTATTTATGATTGTTTGATAAACAATTGAATAATGGCAGACAATTTTTTTTGTCTATTTCTTGCTTAAAAAGATCCCGAGTTTTTTGCAACCATTTATAGAGAAAAAGTTAACAATTTCATTATAACAAACTAAGTACAAATGTAAAAAGTTTTTATTAATATCAAACTCCTACTGGAGAGAGCTGATGTTTCTCATTTTGTGGGAAATATTTCATTTTATCTTTCAGCAAATTATGGAAACTTGTGTATGTTACATTGAAGCTAATCTATTGATAGATGCCATGTCTTATTATTTTCTTATTAAGCATTCATATTTAGTCTCAGTTAAGGAAGCAGTTGATTGAAGCACTTCAAAATACCACAAGTACTCCAATTTTTCAACCAAATGTTGAAGTACAAACTGGAAATGAAAATAGTTCTCTTCCATTGTTTCAAAGAGCAGCCAATTATATTGTTGCCCAATATTTGCAAAGCTGTGGATATGAATACAGTTTGTCAACATTTCTTCCAGAAAGTGGGACAAACTTTAAAAAGGTAGAACTATGTTTTATTTGATTATTTTTTCGAATTCAATAATTGCAAGTTTTATAAATAATTTCTTAGTAATTTATGCTTTGCTTTAGGAGTTCTCAAGTAATGATATATGTTATTTATTAAACATTGATGCCAAATCGCCTCTTCATCGGACATTGGTAACGTAAAGTTTTTGAATTTTGCTTTTTTTCTGAAATTTAAACATTATTTGTTTTTTGTACTTTGTTAAGGATTCCCAACTTACATCAACCTCAAAAGGTAAATCTTCTTTGTTATTTATGAGTAGATGTATTGTTGAGCTTACAGCAACCACCAGTGGTGGCCATTGTATGAAATATTTGTGGATCTTGACCTCAAAGCATGTGATTTCCCTAGAAAATCCTACACTGAATATGTATACAACAGAAGTGTATCAAATATTCATTATATAATATGACAGTTACCTTATAAAGGTGTGATTTGTGTTGTTTGGTGTAAGATTTTTAATCTTTTGAAATTAGTGGGAGAAGGCTCAGATAGGCATCCATTGGTGGTCTGTCTAGCTTATGCCACTGGACTCTGGTCAGATGGCAACCTCCCCAGTAATTTTTGATTTGTGGGAAAATTTAATACTCTTCACTTCTTCCAGATCTCTTGAAACAATTTACCTATATACAGAACAAATGTCTTATTTGAATGAATTGTATGTTTAGGCCAATTTCTTTGGGATTTTTTACGTGAAGTTTCTGATTTCCACAGTAAAGTAAAATGTGATTCCAGCACTCAAACTACATCAGAAAGTCAAGTTTCATCTATCTTAGGTATTGTGCCTACCATGACATTAATAGAGAAGATACGTTTCTCTGTAAGAAATGACATGTTTTAAATCTGTGTTTCATTTTGTTTTATCTTAAGAATGTTTGCATGTTTTCCACTGAAGATTAAACTTTTCTCAATTATTGTATTTTGTATCAAATACATACTTACATTTGCAAGCTAGCTCCTTATAGTGAAGAAATTCCCGTACTTGTATTTGAAGATACAAGTATTGAAGAAAGCAGTAGTAGCCAGGATGAAACTCAAAGCATTGCCACTACCGATGATGCATCCTTTCCCGATGACAATGATGAGCAGCCAAAATTGTTTTCCAAAACGAACTAAACAATCTTGTTCGCGATTTAAATTTGCCAAGACTCTGCCGAACTTCTTGCATCTCGTTTAAAGGACAAGAACATGCTAAATGGTAAAGTTAAGGTAAGTTTCTTCCGTACCAGGCACCAGGAATTTTTAAGATATTTTGCTCAAGAAAAAGAATTAGTCTATCGCAATGACATAGTAGAGCTACTGAAACATCTCGGCGTACCTGAATACAAATCAGAGGACTGGAGACTTTTTATCGACAGCAGCAAAAGGTCTTTGAAATGTGTGTTGTTACACAATGGAAATCAATTTGCATCTGGGCCATTGGCACATTCGACAACATTAAAAGAACAGCATGCAGCAATTAAGTACGTCCTAGAAAAAATTTCTTATGACCAACATAAATGGCTGATTTGCGTTGACTTAAAATGGTCAACTTCTTGCCAGTCTGGATTTACCAAATACCCATACTTTTATGCCTCTGGGATAGTAGGGATCGTACTCATCATTACGTGAAAAAAGAATGGCCAGTACGTGAAGAGCTTACAAGTTGTAGAGCAAAAAATGTGATAAACAAGCCTCTAGTTGACAGGGGACGTATTTTATTTCCTCCACTGCACATAAAGTTCGGTTTGATAAGGCAATTCACTAAAACTTTGGATAAAGATGGACGGTGTTTTCAGTTTCGTTGTAAAACCTTCCCCAATTTGTCAACTGAAAAATTAAAAGCTGGTATTGATCCCGAAAATCCTGGCTCTTTAAGCGATGAGCAAGGAGAGCGCTTTCACCATGACTTAAGAGAAAAGTGGGACATGGTGATGATGGCGGACTACTGTTGGAATTTAAAAAGAGATGTGCAAGCACCAAAACATTCGCGACAATCAAAAAAAACGAAAATTTAGACCGTAATAATGCAAACATTAAGTTTTCATTTTTAGTTACATGTACTGTACATGAAGTGTACATGATTCTTTCTTCGAATACTGCAATTTTATCATAAAAACTGACATTTTGTTTTGAAACATCTTGAAAACATGTAAATCTTGAAAACATTGTTTTAAAAAAATATAACTAAAGTCGCATAATTTTAAATTCAAATTGGCAAAAAAATTTGACCTCCGAGGGCAAAATGAATGTTCTTTCTAGATTTAGCATAGCAAAAATATAGTAAATCAGTCAAAAAATATCAGACACCTTTTAAAAAGTTTCTTTTTGTTGACCAGTGTTATAGATGGTAACATGTACAACGTGAGTTTGTCATTATGACAGATGGTAATAAGTGTATAAAATAAATTGAGGTAATGAGGTTGGAAGGGTTTGAAATACCTAGCACATAAACTTCAAAGTTTTTTTGCCGAAAACCATGATAAAATGACTTCTGACTTGAACGCTGAGGATGTAAAGGGGAAATTGTTTCATTATCTTAAGGATCGCGGTGTTTTGGATTCATTTAAGGCAAGGATTGTATGAATGTTTGTGGCGGGTTATTTGAATACTTTAGTTCTTATTATAGCAACGTTTGCTAATTTTCACTTTGGTACACAATCAAATGCTTGTGAAACAGTCAAATCGTTTTAGAGTTTCGATGAAATGATTCATAACTTTTAGTAATTTAAGTTTTAAGTATTGCATGGAGACATTAGCATAGATTAAATTCAAAATGGATTCTTATACCAAAATTTATCATTTTTTGTCTTCCTTTCAGACAAAATAAGGTCATTTGTAATTTCATATTTTAACTATTAAAAGTCAAGGGAGCTTGCATATCACACAACAATAAAATACTTGCATTATGATATGTTACATGCCTTCTGTTATTTATGATTGTTTGATAAACAATTGAATAATGGCAGACAATTTTTTTTGTCTATTTCTTGCTTAAAAAGATCTTGAGTTTTTTGCAACCATTTATAGAGAAAAGTTAACGATTTCATTATAACAAACTAAGTACAAATGTAAAAAGTTTTTATTAATATCAAACTCCTACTGGAGAGAGCTGATGTTACTCATTTTATGGGAAATATTTCATTTTATCTTTCAGCAAATTATGGAAACTTGTGTATGTTACATTGAAGCTAATCTATTGATAGATGCCATGTCTTATTATTTTCTTATTAAGCATTCATATTTAGTCTCAGTTAAGGAAGCAGTTGATTGAAGCACTTCAACATACCACAAGTACTCCAATCTTTCAACCAAATGTTGAAGTACGAACTGGAAATGAAAATAGTTCTCTTCCATTGTTTCAAAGAGCAGCCAATTATATTGTTGCCCAATATTTGCAAAGCTGTGGATATGAATACAGTTTGTCAACATTTCTTCCAGAAAGTGGGACAAACTTTAAAAAGGTAGAACTATGTTTTATTTGATTATTTTTTCGAATTCAATAATTGCAAGTTTTATAAATAATTTCTTAGTAATTTCTGTTTTGTTTTAGGAGTTCTCAAGTAATGATATATGTTATTTATTAAACATTGATGCCAAATCACCTCTTCATCGGACATTGGTAACGTAAAGTTTTTGAATTTTGCTTTTTTTCTGAAATTTAAACATTATTTGTTTTTTGTACTTTTTTTAGGATTCCCAACTTACATCAAGCTCAAAAGGTAAATCTTCTTTGTTATTTATGAGTAGATGTATTGTTGGGCTTACAGCAACCACCAGTGGTGGCCATTGTATGAAATATTTGTGGATCTTGACCTCAACGCATGCAATTTTCCTAGAAAATCCTATACAGAATATGTATACAACAGAAGTGTATCAAATATTCATTATATAATATGACAGTTACCTTATAAAGGTGTGATTTGTGTTGTTTGATGTAAGATTTTTAATCTTTTGAAATTACTGGGAGAAGGCTCAGATAGGCACCCATTGGTGGTCTGTCTAGCTTATGCCACTACCCTGGTCAGATGGCAACCTCCCCAGTAATGTTTTTTTTGTGAGAAAATTTAATACTCTTCACTTCTTCCAGATCTCTTGAAACAATTTATCTATATACAGAACAAATGTCTTATTTGAATGAATTGTATGTTTAGGCCAATTTCTTTGGGATTTTTTACGTGAAGTTGCTGATTTGCACAGTAAAGTAAAATGTGATTCAAGCACTCAAACTACATCAGAAAGTCAAGTTTCATCTATCTTAGGTATTGTGCCTACCATGACATTAATAGAGAAGATATGTTTCTCTGTAAGAAATGACATGTTTTAAATCTATGTTTCATTTTGTTTTATCTTAAGAATGTTTGCATGTTTTCACTGAAGATTAAACTTTTCTCAATTATTGTATTTTGTATCAAATACATACTTACATTTGCAAGCTAGCTCAATATTTGATACTCATAATTCATTTATGCATGTTCTGCATTGTTCTGGTGAAATTTTTATCACATGTTAAACTTAATTGTATATAAATACTACCTCCTACTCACAAATTGTTGTTTGTTTTGCAAATTGTTATTACATGTAAAACTTTTTATGTGATATTGTTATTGATTTAGAAACTGTTATTACAAACTTTTTTAAAACTTGATTATATGGAACATGACTCCACACCATTATTGATTTTTTTGTTGAAATTGTTCTAATAAGTAAAACTTGACAATAATATAGCATACACACACAACATGCATGAGCTTGTTTGTTTCATATTGCATTCTTAAAATCAAGTGGAAACATGGAGATACGTAAGCAATAGTAAATAGTCATTGATGACTTGTTTTGAGTTTCTCATTGTTCTTTGTAATAGAGCACAAATTGTCAAAATTGGAGAAAGAATTCGAGGAAAAACGTCAACTATTTAAAACAAATGACTCGCAGGGATTAGAAAATACTTTGATGGCAATTCAAAAAAATTATGAAGCGAGAAAACAGAAAGAGTTAGAGGAAGAGGTAACAATTATTACAAATGATTTTAACCTTGAGAAATTATATGAAAAAAATGGAAATATCTTCATCAATAACAACTTTTGAAAGAATTCTTGTAGTTAGTTACCACGTAAATTTGCGTGCTTTACAAAATGATGCTTCTTTTTGTTGTAAAAATATGTGAACGCAATTTTGTGAAATACTTATAATATAGAAACTATACAGCAGTGTGCATTAATTTTGAGTAGTTGAAAGCTTTTCGAACGTCCGAGTTACTGAAGATGAGAATGGATGAGAGACAAAAGTATGAAACGAAAATGAACGAACTTCGCAAACAGGTACGTAGCTATATATAACATTCCGTGAACTGATGCTTTTGCTTACATTCACTTTGTGTGTTTTTTTTTTTAAATGATTCGTGGTCTTTAATTGTGTCGTTATTTGATTAGTGTGTTACGGTAATACTTGTAGTTATAGTCAGTGGTCTCCAATGGGGTGTGGGGGTGAGAAAGAGGTGTTTATTTGTACAACATAAAAAATATTTGTAGAAAAAAAGTAAGTATGCCATTTACGTGTGATATTTTATAGGGGGGGAGTTCCCCCTGAAACTAAAATCTTTCCGGTGCCTTTGATGGTATAGTAGTTTACTGTACATGGAGTGCATTGTGATAGTATTTCAAAAAGAAAATTCTCAATGCTTTACAGATGTCTGTTAATTTTTGCGTCCTTTTATAGTATGAAGATGAATATATTTTAAAAAATCAAGCGTTGTGTGCAATGGAAAAAGAAATATTGGACAGAGAGAAACGATTACAAGAGGTAAATAATTGAGAATTTTAAATCTTTTTTAAATAAATATTAAGGGGGGGGGGTCAGCTGTATTTTCCCTTCCTCTCAAGTAGCTTGCCTGCCCAATCAAAGTCATTATCAAAACTGTGATTTACGTATTAGTTATTTTTATATGTCATTGGACAAGCATAAAAACGGCTGCAAATTCAGTGATTTAAAATATTTAATACCACTTTCATAAATTTCATGAGAGTGTCTCGTTAGCTCTGTCGAAAGATTTTGTCAAATCGACTCAGTTTCCACTTTTTCTACTCAGTAATACGGCAGAGTACTTTGCTAATCTTTGTGTCTTAGCTTACTGTGTGTTTGCTGCAGTTACTGCATGTCCAAAACCAAACCTTTGTGTTTTTTTCATTAATGTTTAATTCAAAACGTTTTCCTTTTTCCTTACACATACGTGATCATCACCATGTTCCTCTTCGTATTGATGATGAAAAAGCCTCTTTTTGTTGGTAGCCACTGCCTCGGCCATTGCTCTGTAGGTTTCTGTAAGCGACAACTCAAAAAATTAGCGAATACCCTTTAAGCTTTGCGAATTGTTATCACTATTCACGAAGAATTGCAGTGCAAATGTCATTATAATTTTTTGAATACATTGAATTCCATCCATAGCACTGATCTGTATCAAATTTTCTGTTTGACCATTTGCATTTGTATGATATCTTTTATTCAATTTGGACTATTTTCTGTTAAACAGAAGATTATTATGCGGTGCGAACGAAACGATTTTTGTGCAGATTGGAAATTATATTTTTTGCGTTGCATCCCGTCTACACATATCACTTCCATCTATATCAGGCAGATCGATGATGTCAAATTATTGAAGGAATTTGGTATTATGAAAAATATGACCAATTATACTCGAATTACACACCTCGTGATCATCCACCAAAATTTACAGTATAACATTTTGCTTAGCTACGCATGCGCTGTGGCTATCCACAAAAAGTAAATGAATAATTTGATTTATGAAAATAGGACATTTATGTATAAGTATTACAGGATGAGTTTGCTGTGCTTATTACTACCGTCAGTGCAAAAAACTAAACTATTTATATCACGTTTTCTAACTTGTAACCGACTGAACTATTTAATGTAAAAAGTTTTCTTTCTGAAAAAAGCGGAACATTTTTCACCATTAAAGAATTTCCGATAAGTTCTCTTCGTGCAATCATTAACAAATATTTCCTGTTTTATTGAAGATGAAAATGAACATGTACGTGCAGCCATTTTAGTATCGCCCTTATTATTTTATATTTGCAACGATTGTTTTAAAAGGATCGACAGTCAGAAGCCTACAAAGAAAGACAAAAATTTCTGGAAGAGATGCGATCATTTAAAGAACGCGAAGCTGTTTTTAATAGCAAGATTTCAATGAAAGAAAGGTAACTACAATACAAATATACTCGTAAGTCGTAAAATATTTCAAAAGCAGGTGATTACTTATCAACGTCACTATGATAAGTGTCGTCTACGCAGCGTGTAGTCTTTGCAGCTCTTATCTGCATTTTACACCTGTTAAAATTTCATTTCTAACCTGTGCACGATTTTTCTAGAAATTTTGACTCACTAAATAGTATCATTTGATGATAATGAAAATAATAACGAAAAAAAAGTATATATTTAAAAATACTTAAGTTGAATTAAAAATACAATTAGTACATCTCGACATTTTTCAGTTGCTAGTGAGAAACGTCTTTAGAACACTCATCAAATCTTTTTAAATATAACGCATGCAGTAACTAACATAACAGTATTTTATTTATATATTTTCTTGACTGCGATCCATATTATCCTCGTGACGAATTTGTCGAGTTGCGCCCGGTGCTGTCATTCCTTTTTGAGATGCTCCTTTGTTTGAACCCATTTGTAAACCAATAATGTTTTTACCGGCTTTTAACTGTTCTTCACTGAAATTGCGAACATTTGGTGTAGATTCGCCTCCACTCAACTAAAATTGCAGATAATTACGTTTGATTATCTCAGTTATCTTGTACGTTTATTTAAATATTTCCTGTCTTTACCTTTCGTTTTACTGATAAAATACCATCAATGACCTGAAATCATAATGATACAGTTTTGAACTGTAGATTTGAACATTTTTCTTAAAAGTGGCAACACATGAAAGACCATTCCGACAAACTAATTGCAACAGTTACTAATTGCAACTAATTGACAAAAATAACAAAACAAATTGCAACTTATTTAAGTTGGAAAAAGAGAACGAGTTCTATTGCTATTTAAAAAATTTATTAGTACTGAGGTAAATTCAATGGATTTTTCTTGGGCGGAAGGGTTTCCCCTTTAGTCCATACGTGGAGGACATAACGTTCTTGCTCCTCGGAGCATAAAAAATGTAAATCATTTTTAAGTTACCCCTGGTATGTTTTGTGCTTCGTATAAGTCGACTGTCTGAAATAAATCAGCTTTGTTTACTCCTACTTCGCCTGCAAACTTTAGAAAGTTTCCAATGTTTTCCATCTGTAAAAAATCGACAATGGTTCATTATTGATAAATCTTTGTAATAAATTACATTGAGCAAAATTTGTGTTTACCATTTTGAAAGCCATTTTGGATTCGTTAATCTTTTTGACAGATCCTGGTTTTATTGCATTTGCCAATCTAAAAATATTTCAAATATCACAGTTTCAGGAATGAATAGTTCAACTAGGTCACTGTGCAACTTGGTGATGGATATTTAATTAGATTACTCGTTGTGGTCTGTGGTTAGCCAGTTAAACGTTCCTATTTGCAAGAAAAGGACTATAAGAAATTCGTCACATAAAAACTTTAATAGAGTGACCCTACTTTTACTTCAATATACATTTATAATTGCGGGGCACTCACTGACCTTTGCGTCGCTTATATGTAACATCAGGTAAAAGTACCATATTTTATCGACAACACAAGAGCATGTCGTTATACCATATATGGTCAAATTTGGACATGCAAAGGAAAACTTTTTTCATCGCCATAAATAATTATTTTTTGAAATTGTTATGTTTTCAGCCTAAAATTTGCCATTTCTTAATACATCAGCCCTCTGGCCAGTTTGTACATGCAAAAATAATCAATTGTCGTGAATTAAATTCAATACACACTGGCTGTTAAGCTGCCTGTGACGTTTCTTAATTAGCGCTGATATTATTGCACTATGTCATCGTCCACTACCTTCGTTATTTTGTAAACAGTTTCATTCACATCCGGGATCGATAAATGAGTATGAAATGTAATCTGCTATCGTGTCAATTGAGCCAAAGTTCATTGACTACCCTCCAGACATGGGGCAACATATATTTGATAACCAAATAAGGTAGGGGGGCAGACTGAAATTTAACAAACTTACTCGCATAAAAGGGTTCCATCCTTGAGTGTTTCATGGAAACCGCCTTCAAAAGGTTTTCCTGTCGTTTCTGATATAAATGCGATTGCTTCTCTCTCGCGTTCAGGATCGTATTTCGCCATTTTCTATATAAAGGAAGCAATTTTCAACTGTTGAATGTCTGCAATATTATACAGAATATGCAAGTTATGTATCACGTTTCACAGACACAACAAGTGTATTAATCTATTGTTTTAAATTGTTTTGGCTAAATTTTTACTACTTCATTTGCCCATTAGGAAAAAACGCTGTCGATATCTTCAACAATGTTAATAAGAATAGCAAATAAATAGATTGATTGTATTCAGTTTTGTTTTTCAAATTTTCCTTTTTATACACTTGGAAATAGAAAAAATAGCATAGGTTTTTTAATATAGTTTTTACAAAACTACTGGTGCTATTCATCGTGTGCAATCATCCTGAGAAAATGTACATTCAAGAAACATTCATTTAAACAGACGTATATGGTTTACACGTTAAACCATCCACCTCCTGTGGATATCAAAGACATGCAAAACAGTAAGGGATAAATTACTGTTTGTGCATATGAATTTATACATGTACGAACTTACTGTCTGGTTTTTACATACGCTTTCAACGACAGTACCATGCGTTCGCAATAATATTTCTTATTTCGGGAAGGAATTTTCAACTAGTATAAGTGTGACCCCCAGAATATGAAACTTTTGCGTCGCGTATAAAAACCGTTAAGTGTGTGAAATGTTACATAGATGTTGCATTTGTGTGTGATGATTTCTATGTTTTCAATTTTAAAATGAGAAAGATTACATTCGTCTTAGATTTTTTCATTCTAACAGCGTGCATGTTGTTTGATTGACTATGAAGAAACTGCAGTTCCTGGTTATTAACTGGCTACTTGGCCACTACTTGTTTTTGTACTTGCAGACCTGCGTGAACTACTCCTATCCATACGTAACGACTAACAGATGCAAATCAACACATTGCTCTGTAGTAACATCTCTAATGGCATGTCACTAAATAATATTCTTAATCATAAGACATTCTGACCTTTCTCTGCAAGTCTGCGGTCATACCATATCCTCTTGGTCTATCTGCCATCGTGTTTGAATTTTGTTTATTTGGAAAGATTTACTTGGAGTACTTGATCTCTGCAACAGAACACAGGCAATGCACTGCTTCGTATGAAACAACATAAATATATTTGCTTTGTCCACGCCCCAAAATAACTTCAGTGTGACGTGTGTTAATGTGATATCACATTAACGTTACATTGAAACGACCTATTTCGTTTTGTGTTTTAAATTTCGAATTATTTTGGGTGATGTAGTGAAGTGCGTTCGGGGGGTCATCAAACCTGTTTATTTGTAGGTAATTTTTGAGTTAGCAACGGTGATACAGGTTTTTCAGTTAGAAATGATGCGATATTATTAGGAAATCTGTATGTTTTTAATCATCGTGTTTTATCACGATTGTCTGTGATCATGACCATAAGTGGCAAAAAGGTCACATTATTAAGAAATTCTATTGATTATTGGTCTGAAGTATTATAATTCATTTGCATTCTTTTACAAATCTGAAATATCCGCAAAAATTCTCGTTTACACGTGAAACAATGTTGTGCTCAATATTTCAAATTGTATGACTTGTCTGCACTAAGTTCGTAGACAATTGTCACAAGGTCGTGTTAATGATAATTATTCTCATTTTCCTTTGGTTGATGTGAATTATGTAAAGCAAGAATTTTGTAAAGTCGATGATATTTTTTCAGAAAACTCAGTGCATGCCTTCGTGAAGAACAATTGAACATTATCCCTCTGCTACATTCTAAACTTTTTTTGCACGATAAAATGGGTTTTCGCCAATAATACTTCTGCCGAGTATTTTTTGATAAGTTCGTTTTGATTGAAAAGAAATGATGTCTTGACTGAAAGAAATTAACTCTGCTTAACAAATGATCACAGTGGACACCTAATAAAGATCATTAATTGTGAGAATAAGATATGTTCACTGTTCATTAAGGCTATCATGTTATAATGTAGGCAAAAACATGGCACCTCTAAAAAACTCCACTTGTTTTGCACATATACGTTTATTTTCGCATTACCTCATATGGTGTTTAAGATGTATTTTTATGTTTTGTTGGATGCTTGAGCTTTTATTGCTTATCTAAAAGACACTCCTTGAAAATTCTAGAGACCAGAGTATTGACAGAAAACAAAGATGTCGTAATACCTTATATGGAAATTTGGAATGAAAATATTGCCGAGAGCGTGGATTAATTGTTTGACTATTTTTTACGACCCCAAATGAAACAATTTGAATTTTTATATTTTAAGACTTTAGATATCGTTCAAAGTTGACGTTTTTCAAAAAAAAATTAATATCTTCCAATCATGTTATTCAACGTATATTAAAATAATAGCTCCCAGTCCTTTTAACGTACAGCCATTGATTAATCATGGAGATCACTTGGTTCAGGTCATTTCTATGTTTGAACTATAAAGTTCAGTAAAATTAAATGATGCAATCATTAATATTCGACATAAAGGGAAAAGGAAAAGAAGTTGATGAGCTATACCATAAATACTGATTAGTAATAGCAGTAGTATCAATAAATTTTCATCTGATTCCCTCTAAATGGTTTTTTTTTACTTTCTGTGACAAATAGAGGATATGCCAGGCGAAGGCTCTTGTTTAATAAGTGTGATTTCTTTTTGTACTTTAATTTTTTAAATTTCGTAAATATTGAGTTGAGATATAAATTACCTGTGCAAGTGTGAAACTAATGATGCGTTTTTCTGTTCATAAGATCTCTGAAGAATACTGAGGAACGACTGAAAAATGAATACGAAACAATAAAAGCTAGAGAAGATGCTATTATACAAAAGGAAAACATAATGGCAGAGCAAGTAAAGACAAAAGTAGACAGGTAAATTTTTGCAGCTCAAATTTCATGTAAAATATGGTGCTCTTTTTGTGTGTTATTTGTGCTGGCCGCTGTGCAGAATAATCTCTGTGTTATTTTAATATATTTGTGTTTATAATAATTAAGGAAAATCCATTCAATTAGCTTTAAGATGATGCACTGGAACTAGGAAGTTCCCGTTGGAACCGTATTCTGAGAGAATAGTCGTGAATAAATATAGAAAGTCCTTTTATTTTTTTTAATATTTATCTAGTTTTTTAAATGAGCAAGAAAAACAATGTATGAAACGAAACCAGGAACTTACTGTGTGGGAGTCACGTCTTAAAGGTTTGTCTATTTTTTCAATTTTTTAAAGAATGGCTTCGGCAAACTTATTTTGCTTTTTCTCTGAACGAAATCTACCGCAGTTTGCTGTCGAATTTCTTTAACGTTTTGTATTGCGAAGAGACTGAAGCCAAAAAAAAATTTTAGTCGTGTGCATCGCAGTTTTTGTTTTCTCTAATCCATCAATCTCCTTTTAAAGTGTCTCGAAGTCGTTGTCATCAATATTTAAAACACTTAGCTGAGCAACGCTTATTTAATTTTGGCTCGTGCAATTCTTAGCATTGTTTCTTTTTTTACATAAATGTAAAATCTAAAGAATAAAACTTTTGAATAAAGCCATGAATAGAATTTTTTATTAAGTGAAATGTTTCGTCTTTAACTTAAGACATCATGAGACTGACTTAGTGATTTACAGGGTGTTACATTGTAATGATGATAATGTTGTGCGATGATTGATAAAATGGTGTTCGAATGGACTTAGATGAAGTTTAGTAGGATATACGAAAACGTTACACTAAATAAATATCTGATCCATGCTCTTATATAGGACAAGTTTTGCAATGAAAACCTTTTTTTTGCTACTTCACTTTTAATCTTTCCCATTATTTTCTTGTTTAATCATGGCAAAAATCTTTCGTTCACACATCACTGAAGTTTTCTGTCGTTTGATTTGAATCATCAACTTCTCGATCAACCTCATTGATCTCAAAATAAATTTTTGGTAACTGTATTACGGTGTTACATTTAATATTTCCTCAATGAAGCAAATATACTCAGTGTCTCAGTGTTTACATGTTGCTATCAAATTAAACTTTATAAATCAAAGTATCGTGTATACAAAAATTCCTGGCACTTAAAAGTTTCAGGTTTTTATTGATGGTTTACATGTTTTCATGTGCGACATTGAAAAGCATAGTTAAATTATGTCCTTTGGCATTTTATACTATGGAATTGGCAAAATTGTTGGTTTTTTCCGAGATCAATCAACTTATGAAATATTCTTCATCAGAAATTGAGATTTTTTTATCTGAGCGTTTTTCTCAGTATTTTGCATAACCTAAAAAATTTGTGTATTTCGTACCATAACTGTTGGTGATCATTTTATTTTTTAATGTGTTGATTGTTAATTTTATAATTATGTGATATTTTATTGTTGATCTCATCACTTTCAAGATTATGCATGTATTATATTTAAATAATTAGCATGAATTGTTATTTCGTTGAATATTATGGGATGTAGGCGAAAAATGTAATCTAAGCCAAGAAAAAGAAGAACAACTAAAGTGTCAGAGTGAACTTTCTGCAGCAAAAGAAGAATGTGCTCAACTAAAGGTTTTTTTCGTTTTATCTTCAAATCATAGAAACTATTCATTGTTTTTCATCACCTGTTTAAAGTTTTATGTTTTACATGGTCGTTTTAATATCACAGAAAATAAGATGTTTTTTCATTTCTATGTTTGTATTAAATTACATTTATTTTCTGACTGCATATTTTGTAGTTCATTACTTCTAACTGTAACTTTTAATATTTTAGTCATTGTTAGAAGCATCAAAATTATCAACAGAAGATTTCAAAAAGCAAAATATGATTCTGGAGCATAAAATTTTGGAGGTGGGCAAGTGCTTTCTTTGTAACATACCGATACTCACTATTGATGAACATATTTCATGTGCTGTAAAACTAACTGAACTGGTGCAATTTCTTCCAGATGAATGATTATCAGACTTTGAAGAAAAATGAAATTGTGTTGGCCAAAGACATAGAGTATTTAACACAGTAAGCTTTCGATTTGTGAAAACTACTATGCACAGCCCATGCAAATAACGTTTGTATTTCACTTCGTGTAGACGTTTAGTGGAAAGCAATTTACTTTGCAAGGAACAGGAAAGAAGTTGGTTTTCTATTGTGTCCAACGTTATTGTATTGTCATATGATTGTAATAGTTTTTTGTAACATTGAAAAATTAAGCAATTTAATTGGTCCAGAACTATAAGATGACAGACGCACAGAATGACGTCACATATATTACCTGTGCCTTCAATAAATGGACAAGAACTAATTGTAAAGATTTGACTAAGATGAAATTCATTCCTGGATTAGACCAAAGATAACCTTTAAGATGATTTAGCTCAAAAAGTGGAAGAGTTTCAATGCAAAAAAATCAAGTATATTTAATGTTTTTTTTCAACAAACTTTTTTAGTTTTCTGTCCTAATTATCAGAACAAATAGATTGCATTTGTCGTTGTCTGTCCAGGCTGGTAGCCATTTCACTCTACACTACATTTGATGTCATTCTGTGTATCTATAACTGAACAAACAACCCAAAATGTATATAACAGAGAGGAACTTTCCTTTTCCGTCTTTTTGTCTTAAATAAACTTTTGAAAGCTTTTTACGCAACATGGTGAAAATCAGTGTGTAAATCTCGTAATATCTTCGTTAGAACGGTAAGAAATGTTTGTCAAAACTTATTTATTTATTTATAGGGCACCAGCAATTGATGAAGGAAATGTCAGAAAGAAAAAGCAAGCCATCAAAGGAAATTGTTAGTGACTTTTCTCGAACGTGTTAATCGAATTTATCATTGTCCTTCCCTTCCTGAGGCGTAACTAGAACGTTAATTGGGGTGCATATTCATACTATTCCGTCGTGCCCTACTGATTTCTTTTGAAAGTGATTTGAATTTCAAAAGAAATCAGTAGGGCACAACTGAATATATGAATATACACCCCCCCCAATTAACGTTCTAGTTACGCCTCTGTTCCCTTCTAGAGTGGAATAATATATTCTATGTCATTCATTCTCTCCTACGATTAACTAACTATATTGCAGACAAAATTGAGAAAGGAACTGGCAGAAATGAGGGATAAGTGTTTCAAAAACGAGAAAACATTTTTTGAAGAAAAGAAATCGTTGCAGTTACAATTGAAATTTCAGGTATTTTTAATGTTAGCTAATTAATGATAGCTATATAGCAATGATTTCAATAAAATCATGCTATTAAGTATAATGGGAAAATTTTATTCCAAGCTTGAGAAATAAAAGTTTTTTACTGTGTTTGCACAGGTTTGCATATGCCAGTGCATGCAAACACAGAATTCTCTTTTATTTCTATAATAAAATAACAATGAAAAATTATTTAACTTTTCCTGTAACGTGTATTGATGATTACTTTGCAAATTCTTTTTGACTGGTTTATTTTATTGAGTTCAGATCGTATTGCAGGATCTATAATGCAAACTCAGCTGTAGACCAAGTAGCGCATGCGTTTTATTGTTGTTGTTTTTCGTTTGTCTTTGTAGAATTTACAGATAATTATTGTTGTGTTATTTCATACCATTGTTGTCACTCACAGTTCAAAATTTCCCGGGACTTTTACCAGAATTTTGCAACCATGATTTGAAATTTGCCTAACTGTAAAGTGCATATGTTTACTAAGGTTGTTTGTCATCAATATTTGCATTTTAGTCTGAACGAACAAGGCATTTTCAAAAAATATGCGAAGATCAGGTGAACACGCAACATGTACTGGAGACTGAAATTGAAAATTTAAAAATGATGCAAGAACAAACTGAAAGACGTACGTTTACATTACAAAAATTTACATTTTAAGGTATCGTTGTGTGCTCCTCCCGTTTGTGCGCATGTGCGTGTGAGCTCCAATCATTTGTTCTAGCATTTTATATGACGATGTAACTGATTCACGTGCTTAAAGTTATATACATGAGCATGCCTCAAAAATATTTTGAGGGAAAAACTCCGACTGTTAAAACATAAATTTTTGTTTCTTTTTTTTTCAGTGCTTAGTTTAGAAGTTTGTCATGAGGATACAAGGAATGTTCATTTGTAAGTTTATGTTATTGTGTATGAATTTATATTTTGTTGTTCTATGCTATTTACTATTTGATTATTGTAATGCAAAAAATAGCAGATCTAACCTTATGGGAACAAGTGGATATATTTCTGCAGTTAAAAACGCACATTTTGACGAAAGTAAATTCGTAAATTTATTACAAAAACGAGAGTGGCAAACGAAAGTGATTGCTGAAAAACCAACGAATGAAGAGAGCTCGACTATGGACGAAAAAAGCCTTTCGAGTGTGATCGAGGATAAGAAAACTTTTGAAAAGTTTGAAAGAGAGGCTGAGGTATGTTTTTAATAAAGTTAAACATAGATACTCGTGGTTTTAAATTTTAAACCGGGGGGGGGATCGTGATGATCACGCTGATGATGATTGTGAAGCAAATAGAATATTGTATAATCTTTTATAAAAATATGACAACCCAACATATGATTTTTCCATTTTCAAATACTAAATTACATAATAAGTGTCATGGCAAGAGAGGCGAATTGGAAAATCATTGAAATCATCAGTTTGAGACGTGGTCTGCCAGGTGGATTCTCAAGTGTTCTAATATTTTTAAATGGCTTGTTAACCTCATACGACGTGGACGAGCATAAGTAAACAACAATAGATCTGGCAAATCTGGCAACTTTATCCTTAAAAAGAAGAGATGTGTTTATGGTTTGACAGTTTCTTAATAATTTTAAGCTGGGCATGTTTTCGTAGCTAGAACATAATTTGAAAGTTGTATAAAGTAAGCACTATATTAAGGAGAGATTGTAATTCAGGGAAATGATGCTATGAAAATTGAATGATACGGAGAACGAGTGAAATTGAGTTTACGTTAAACTGAAGTAGAGAATTCAATGTTTGTGCGAGTTACCGCAGGGACAGGAAACATGCCGTAGTTTTTCAATTTAGATGTGAATTAGATATTTGGTTGTTGGTGTTTGGGATAGTTATGTAAGAAAGGTACCTAATTTGTTTGATGACCTTAAAACTAGAAGACAGTTGTAGTAGTAGGGTGATGAACAAGTTCCAGGGCAGAAGAATGTCGTAAAACTATAATATCACGTAAGATATACGAAAATAAGTACCCCAACAGTCTATTTTTACAGAGAAAGAGAAAAGTAAAGTGAATTGCACTAAAGCACTCGAATCCTGTCAATGACATGTTTCCATTGTTCTTGAAAATTTTTATTATAGCTATCTATTAAGCATATGTTGGGATGTCATTTATGTTTAAGATTTGCTTTCCGTCTTGCAAATATCTTACCATATATATATATATATATATACTGAAAATAATTCTTCTGCTAGTTTAAAGCTTGGCAAGAGCCTCAAATAATTGATATGATTGTTAATTTATAAAACTGTATCGTAAATTTAGGCACTCGATGCGTCATACAAAGATTTTCAAAGCCGTATGACTATGCTGTCTCTTCATTCTCAATACTCCCAAAAAACTCGTCCTAATTCGTCAACATTTCTCAGTCTCGCAAGTTTTCATTCTCCTCCTCATGAAGTCAACGTTGAATTAGACGACATGAACTCATCAGGTATAATATATTGTTTTTTATAGGTAAGTTTACTCAAAGCGAAAGAGATATCAGAATGTATTAATTGCCTTTTTCATATGATGGTCACGTATTTGTACGATTTTGTAAATGACATAATGTACGATTTTATAAAGAAGTTGAATGAAGTTACGGTAACCGATTCTTCAATTTTGAGGAAGGCTGAAAACAGAAAAGATTAAACATTAGTAATAACATTATTGGACAGTTTACTTCGCTGGACACATTTGTGTTTTGTATTTCCTTTTATTTATTTTAAATTTATAATGAAATCAACTATGGTCGAATTCCCTTGAATATTCTGTTATTCTCACTTTCCTCGCTGATTGTCTTTATCATGTTTCAGGTGTTACTATATATCAGAATATCTGAAGTATTTTTCGAAATATTTTCCACGATGTGTACACTCAAATTTATTTCATATTGTTATTTACTTTATGCAACATTTTTTATTATTTCATATTGTTATTTACATGATGCAACATTTTTTATTAGAGAAAAGAAAAAAACATCGTTCCGTTATCGAGACAGTCAATGAAAAGAAAGAGGTCTCAAAATAACTGCTTTGAACTATGAAAATTTTGGTAACCGCAGTCAACAATCAGATGAAAATGATTTTGAGAATGTCTCTCTGAAGTCTGACGTCAACATGTAAGTTAAAACGAAATTTTAAAAATCTTTTCTTTCTTCAAGTTAAACGATCGTATTATTAGAAACTAAAAACGTGTTTTTTGCAATGTCAGCAAACTCAAAGGTTTTGAACGTTTTGTAATTAAAAGGTCTTAACAGTGAACCTATCAATTACACTCAAAAAGCATTAATTCATAAATCGTGAGTCTGGTCCAATGGTTGATCGTGAGTGTTTGTCTTCCTCAAGAAATGAACACGGCACTATATTAAAGGCGGACAATCCTATTGAGTTGGATCATTCTGTTAAAGAAAACAAACTGGATGGAGAAAATGATAGGTTAGAACTGGCGAAAGATACTTATCCAGTAGAGAAAGATGAAACCCGAGTGCAACAAACATTCAGTGATGCCAATTTTGTTCCCAAATTTTCTGAAAACCATCTTCCTGAACAATCTTTAATGGATGGACATGTATCTCACGACTACAACTTTCAAAATACATATGATAAAATATCTTTGAATGATCTATCAAACAATGTGAAAAATGTGAAAAACGAAATGGATGAAGGGGAAAGTGACCTTGTTAATATTGATAAAGAGAAAAAAGGGATTTTTACTCCACAAAGTATGGATTTACAAGGCGTATCGACTGCTTTAGTTACCAGGCAAAAAGGTTTTGAAGAAAATTTGAATGAAAATTGTAAAATAACATCATACGCAGAAAATGTTGGACGTCATGCAAGTTGTGACAATGATAGTGATGAAGGTGTGAAGACTTTTAAAGAAAAAGTGGATTTCCATCATTCTAGGTAATATTTACTATTAGGATTTTAAAGTGAAGCAATCATTGTAGTGATTTTCATGGAGCAGATGTTCATACATAAAACGTTTAAAAAAGAACTTAAAATTAAATGGCGAAAAACTTTAGTTCAATTTATATTCAATCATTGTACCCTATTACTTTTTTTTATAATTTGATATTTTTGTCATTTAGATCTCAAAATTCTTCAGTAAGTAATATTTCGGAGCAAAGCAACAATGACAAAAGAAAAAACGAGATTTGTGAGGAGCATTCAATCGATCCTATGATTTCCAAGTACATGGAAATGATTAAACAACGTCGAAAAATTGAAGTATGAAGAAATCTGGAAATTTGAATGAATTTGTACATTATAAAGATAAAATAACCTTTTCTTTTAATATTAATATCATTTCAAGATTTCAGAAGAAAAGACTGGCGAAATGGATGTTCCAGACGTTGAAAATGTAATTTGTTGCTTTACCTTCAAAATACTAGTGTGGCTAGATAGAGGCATTGTTTTGCAGCTGTTTTTTGGTTAATTCTTGTTGTATGTTAGTTGGATTAAAGTTTGTACCAATCAGTGTAGCAGCTATCATTTATGAATAATCTAACGATTGTATTAGAAGTTATAATAACATTGAGTAAAATCAACTGTTCAACAAAGTGAACCTACATTCAATTAAAGATATTGCTTTTAGATCAATAGCGATGGCGATAATCAAATCTCAATTGGTCAGGATGAGGAAATTAGGTACGATAAACGTAAAGTTTTTCTTTTCAACGTAGTGATTCAGCAAATGACATTTTTACACCACGTGCATTTTTTATCATTCAAGCATGGAGAAAGTATCAGATGAAGATTTCAACTGGTGATGAGAAACCATTGTGATGTAAAATGTTTGATTATTTTATTATGGTAAATTCATTGGTTAATATAGTTTTTACTTTCTTGCTAAATTTTATGTTTGTTTTCATTTGAAAACTTGTTCTAGGACTGAAAGTAATAATACTAATTTACAGCAACAGTAAATATAGAATACTTAGAAAGATTGGCAGCAAGAAAACTGCAATAAACGGCAGAACTCTTGTTATTTTATGTATAAATAAACCGCGATCGCACTGTTTCTTTATCTTCTCAGCATTCTGAACCCAAAAATGAGTTGGAGGTAAAACACCAGATTTCCAGCGTTGAAGAACTTCGTCAACTTTATCTCTGCACTCTTGGTATCTTTTCTGATGAAGGAGCACGTCAGACAAAAGGAATCTTGCATGGGCACAATTATCAATTTCAATACTTTCCTTTATGGCTGTTTCAGCTTCGTTGATTTTACCAAGGGTAAGAAGGACTTCTGTTTTGTAACGTAAAGCTGCCCCTAAGTTAATATTCTTAACATCTCGAAAAATGTCCTCCGCTCGCTGGACATTATTAAGTGCTAAACTGCAGTTTCCAAACTCTTTATAAGCATTTCCATAAGTCATGCACACTCCAGCTATATAAATATGTTTCTCGCCCAAGACTTTCTCGTAGATTTTTAAGGCTTTATCATGTAACTTTAGAGAATCCAGAAGGAGCTCATTTTTTTGGCTGTCATCTTTAGTCATTTCAGCGTAACGAAGATAGATTTTTGCTGAGTAATTAGCTGCTTGTGCCTTCGTCAAGTTCCATTCGTCCTTGATTGAATTTTCCGCCATCCGCAGCGCTTCGTCAGCTGTTCTCTTTGCCTGAGATATATCTTGCATCTCCCGATAGATAATTGCAAGATTACAAAGTCTCTTGACTATCTCTGCATGTTCTTCGCCAAATGCTTTCTTTGCCAAGACGATCGACTGCTTCATTGTATCCTCGGCAAGGTCGTATTTGCTTTGCAGCTTGTACGTCCACGACAAGATATTCATCAACGAAGATTTCAATGCAATCCATTCGTCAGGTCCTTGCTTAAATGCTAAGATGATTCCTTCGTTCAACACTGTCACGGCTTTGTCCAAATGACCTGCTTCTCGGTAATAGAATCCGAGAGTTTTCAGTACATTGCAATACCCGATACTGTTCATTGCTTCAGGAAGACTTTGTGCAATCTCATACGCATTTTCTGAGTATAATAGACGTTCAGATTCAGTAACACCCGAAACATGATAAAGAGAATCAGCGAGGAAAGTTATAATAACAGAGTATTCAAAGGAATTCGTGCATCCTTGACTTTCACCATACTTCACAATCTTCTTTAAATGGGGGCTTATTAAGATTTTAAGAGCAACGCTATTTTGGTCGTAATCTGGAATTGCTTCATTAAGAGTTTCGAATAAGGACTTCAATAAGAAAACGTATTCTTTTCTTTGCTCATTTAGACTTATACTTTCCGTTGCGATTCGTTCTTCTCTGAAACAAGCAAAAGCATTGCTCATTACTTGATGGAACTTGATGCTTTCTACATTTTCAGGCGAAGAGTGGGCATCAGATAACAAGGAGCAGCGAGAAATTTCAGCTTTGATTTCGTCCAATAATAAATCGCTTTTGATGGTGACTAGAACAAATTTTGAGATAATCACTAAGGGTATGGGATTAATTGTGCAGTACGAAAGAAATAAAAAGGTGTTGTAGAGAACTTTGCTGTGATTGGCGAGACGTTTTGTTGCTAATTCAGCACTAAACATCATTGATAGTGGATAAACATTGTTTTCTGTGAACGATCGGTACGTGAGCTTTCCTTTATTTTCATTGTAATATTGAACAAAGTTTTTCCAAGAAAAATTATACGATGGACGATCTGATATCATTTCCTTTACATAGGTGGCTACGCATGCCAATGATAATGGAAAATATTCCAGATCTTTTGCTAAACATAAAGCAGATTCGTCAACTTTCACCCCACTGACTTTTTGTAAAAGATCCACAGCATCCTCTTCCTTTAGTCCCTTATTGAGGTTGAAAACTCGAGCGAATTCATAGCATGTTGAAGCTATATCGCTATTTTGTGTTGTTATAATGATTTTGCCGTTTCCCCAATCTTCCCAACCTGGCAAAGGTAATATCTCATTGAAACTTTCGCTTGAAAACATGTTATCTAGGATCATAAGCCATTTTCCAGGATATTGAAGTAAAATCTTTCTTAACTCCTCCATGTATAATTGTGCAACTTTAACTTGTTCACTGCTCGAAGTGATAATTTCTATATTCGGTTGTTGCAAATTAACGAGAAGGTCTTTTATTGATATTATTAAAGATCTTATTGATTGAACATTGATTGTCATCACTACCGGGAAATAATTGTTTAGAGGATTATAATCTAAAAATTTGCGTCCAAACTGTCTTGCCAATTGCGTCTTGCCCGCACCAGGTGGTCCCGTTAAATAAATAAGTGTCAAACATTTATCATTTTCAGCTTCCATTTCTTCAAAGAGCGACCACATTTTGTCAATATCCTGAATTCTCTCTTGGCACTTATGAAAAGGTCGACCAGGCAGGGTTGATAATTCAGGCAAAATCTTAACAATCGAGTGGAGAAAGCAGTTAGTTTACTGCAGTGGAACATACTCCAAATAAAAAGTTTATGTTTAACTCAATATTCGAGGGAAAAAACCCAGTGACGTAACTACTATGGGCTCAGGGTCGGCGAACCCACGGGCACGTGTTTGATTAGAAGATTATCGTTCTACTGTGAATTAAAACAAGAAAAATTGCACATCATGAACTTATGAACAAAAGATTTAAATTTTAAGTCTAGACAGCAAAATCATACCAAATGTGGCAGTTGTATTAGATTTTAATATGGTTATCGAAAGGGGGGCCCCTTGTATTATTTTTACCACAGGTCCCCAGCTGTGCTGCTACGCCATTGAAAAACAAAGACAATTTTTATTTTAACAGTAATATTTCGAATCATTACTGATAAAATAAAATTTTCTTGTTTTTCTCTCAAATAGTGAGTTAAACATGAACTTATTTGGAGTATGTTTCATATTGTACTACATAAAATTGTCAGCTGGTAATGGATTTTACTGCAGTGGTTTACTGTATAGTGTATGATAAATACGTAAGATGCCATTTTACTTAGTTACTGCAGTGGTTTACTGTATAGTGTATGATAAATACGTAAGATGCCATTTTACTTAGTTACTGCAGTGGTTTACTGTATAGTGTATGATAAATACGTAAGATGCCATTTTACTTAGTTTGAATGAAGGCACGTAAGTTTTTAGCGCAGTTGGAGTTGATGAAATCGAAAATGCTTGAAATGAAAATAATTTTTAATTTTCTAAATTAAACGTAACCAATTTCGTAGCAAAATGAAACTAAACAGCCATTTTTATGCTTCAGTGAGGTCATTTTGTCTGGATGAGAAATTCCATCATTTCGTTTATGTCTATTATGCGGTGACTTCAACCTATCCTTGGCTATGGATACCTGCATAGTAATTTCATCTTCGCTTGCATTATCTAAAGTAGGAAAAAAGCACCGATCATCAAATTGTCAGCGTAAAAATGCTATTGGTGCTAGTGGCGATACCTCTTTGTTTGAAGATGTTTATCATATTTCCATCTCCAATAATGACGTTTGAATTCTTCGTCTCTAGAGCAATATTGCCAACTTTCCCGTTTTCAGGCATCTTCTCTCTTCCTTGAATCAAATCACTCAGTTGTATACGTTCACTGTGTGCTTTTCAAAGAATCCTTGGATCAAGTCGTCAATTTCTTATTGGCAACCTAACCTACAAAAACGGACAAAAACTGGCTAAGCATCCCTACTCCAATCATCCAGTAAAAGTAGCTAAAACAGCTTTTGTGAAATTGTGATTATCAATCAGACAATGTAGAAGTGCGCGTTATCGTATGTCTTTATTTCTGTCCATCTAAATTCCAGGAATACATATTATGAATTTTAACTAAACTGACTACGAAGAATAAAGAACTTTCTTCTATGCAACCTAACCCCTACAAACTGAATCGCAAATTTCAGCAGTATACTAATGTTTGGCCGCTCAACTTCACCTTTGATATTCAATGAAGCAATTATTCAATATTCAACTAATTTGTGTCGTCTCAAAATATGTGCGCAATGAGCGATAAAGTTGTCATGTTAGGTCATTTTGTGTAATAGCCTCTGCTCTGTAGCATTAGCGTACGTGAAAAGCAATAAGTTTATGTTTCAATAGTTTCTACGCAGATCAGATGAGAACGAGAAACAGAGGTAATAAAACAGAATAGAACTACCGAAAGGAAAGCTTACCTGTTACGTTGTTGTCATGGCATTGTTGCGTGTTTCAAGTCTGTTTCCCTTGAAAATTGACCTTGACGTGATTGAAAGTTGGTAATCTCTACTTATATCCTTCAGAATTTACCCTTCTGACCTATTCTTTGGAGTTTTGTCATTAAGAAAATTTAGGAATGTAAACCATAGCAGGTATTTAATACTTTGCTCATTTATAATGTATTCCCACGTACGCTTGTTTCTCAATAGTTCGCCACAGGCCATCAAATCGACAATACATCATTGTAAAACTCTGTGTATATTTTCATGATTATTGTTACGTTATTGACGTCAAGAATTTATGACATGGCCAACTTCATTTTCACTTGAGTATACAACATTACTGTGAATTGCTTCTTGTTACAAAATACAAAGAAAAGGTTCTATACATACGCTTTTACAAACAGAAAGACACTTGAACAGGACTTGTGCTGCTACACATAGTGATTGGAATACTTTATAATCATGAAGAGGTTTGGTCGTCAGGATTCAAAGACCAAGAAATGGAAGTCACGACAAGGTTTAATTAGCGTAGTCATTTTTGATCATCAGCATGTGTCATCGAAAGCTAAAGAATTTGTCTCATCCATTGCAAATGGTAAGATGATGTTTAGTTAGCAGGGACCGGAAGGTCTTCGCCAAGATATAATGGCGAAGTTTGTGTATTGTCAAGTGGCGTCTATAAACAGAAGGATAAATACAACATCTTCCTGTTGTAGCTGTTCTTTGAAGTAGTTTAGCTGTAGTCATAAACCAAAGTTCACTGCTATTAAAAATATTATATTAGCAGCGGCATAAAAGTATAACTTTATAGTGCTTACTGCCTTAGACAGTCGTAGCCGAAGTACATATTAAGTACATTCTCTGATGATGGCTTTGGAATAAATTGTAGATTAAATCTTTTGCTTTTTGATGGGAATGTTGTTTTAGTGGTTCAAGTGAACTAATGTAAGCGATATTATTTAAAGCGAGTAGAAATTGGTTTAAAGAAAGGCACATATTATTAACCATTTACTTTAATTTATGCAGCTGCTATCTCACTTGCTTATTGGTCAACGAAAGAGGACAACACTGCTATTCAAGATACTTGTGCAAAGATGTATGAATTGTCTATGCTACTGTGTAATTCAATTGATATGTTTGCCAAGGATGTAAGTGTGTCTTGTGCCCTGAAAATATGATAATTTGTTGTTTAAAGAAAACTCTTTTTTAATGAGGTTACTTTTCTTGTAAATTCTTTATTAGTACTCCTCCGTGGCGAGCTCACTGAAAGAATTACTTTGTCAAGAAATGAACCTTCATCAATTAAATAAAAGTCTTCAACAAGCTGCGGGGAAAGTTTCTAAGCTAAAGAAGCAGGTCAACACAAAGTTTTCGCGACAGTCTTACGTCTGTCATTTTGCCGAGTGACGTAATAAAATATGTTTCATTTTATAGAATTTTGAGAAAGAAAAGAATTTGGAAAATCTCGGAAACGTAAGTTTCTAAATCAAATATTTTAACGTAATTTCTAAAGTTGTAAACGTTGGGAAAGTGAGTATTTCGTATTTTAATTTGATGAGGCTGAGCTGGAGTATGAAGAACTTAAAGGTAGTTTTGATACCAAGTACACAAAACATGAGATTTTGAAAGTAAGTTTCTTCACTATATTCTACAGTAATTTAGCTAAACATATAGTTCAATGTTGATGTAAAATTTCCAACATTTAATTTAAAAACTCATGAAAAAATTAATAGTGTAATGTTCTGTTGTGCAGACGCAATGTGTGCGTGCAAACATAATACGTTTAGCTGATGGTACCAAAAAATTTGCTGAACGTATTTCGACCATAAGCGAAGCAGAAAAGAAAATTTCTTCTCTAATTCCTCTGGTACCAACTCATATGCGTCGTAACAAGGAATATCAAGGTTCGTTAAGATTCCCCAATGTTTGTTGAAATTGTTTGTGCGATTGAAAATAATATCATAGCTATATGCCTCAACTTTATTTATTCTAGGCTGGAATGCGACTGATGAACTAGTTAAAGAAACAGCAGATTTATTAAACATTGCCCAACCTATGCCCTTTACTAAATTGCTTGCTGTGAACCAAGTTCGTGGTCGGAGATTGAGAGCAAAATCCTGTTTCGTGCTCGAATCACATGATCCAAACAAACCTGAGGAAATGGATTGGGTCGCTATTGAGCAGTCAATGTCAGCTTCACTTGCTCATCTAGACATGAGCAATACAGATTGCTCAGAGCAGGATAGCCGCTCAGATTCAGAACTATTTTCTTGTTCAAAGGAAAAACTTCATCCTGGTGGAACTTTTGGAAGGTCACACTTTGATAATCCTAGTCAAGGCTTTAAGATGGCAAAGATTAATAGCCGTTCGCTTGCTAACTCATGAACTATCTCACATTATAGAAAAGATGACAGTGACGGCTTAAAACAGCAATGGCCTAAAAACAGAGTTCCTCCAGTTCGTCCGCCACCTCGTTCACCGAAGAAAAAAGGTACTGAGCATTTATTATGTTGATGATTTGTCGTGTTTTTAAGGTTTGTTTGAAGATCGAACAATTTGGAAGTAATTTTAAAAACACTTGTTTTAGCTGTTGGCGTGACGTTTGAACCGTACGCTGTTAGTCGAACAACTCCAGACAATTTTGGACTTTATGCGCAGTCTGATTTGTTTCCTTTAGGTATAAATCAATCATATTAATGGTATAAGTAAAATATACTTGTTTGAATTGAAATCATATTTATTCGTCGTTTTGTAATTTCTTTTGCAGGCCGTAAACGTGATATGGAAAACGAGACAAAAAATCTTTCAGTATCAGATAATTCTGGTGAATATACTCTACCAAGACAATTTAGCATTGACAAAGAAGTCGTCTACGCTGTCTTGGAAGAAAACAGCGAAGAAAACACAGATAAAAATTCGTATGTTGATATCATAAAATGAGTGGTTTGAGTGAAGTAAGATTGTAGTGGAGAAAATTTCAAGAAACACCTCGAAATCATGTCTATTTAACACAGGTCTTGTCATCATAAACTTCTTAAAAATTTAAAAGCACAATTTCATGCTGGTCGGGTCCAAGTAAAAAGCGTGAAAAATTCATGAATATTTGTTGCTTTGTTAACGTGAAACATGTTGTAAAAGAAATGATTACCCAGTTTAGCATTTAGGGTATGTCACTTTGTCACAACATACGTAACAAAATATGCGTCACAACATACGTAATAAAATATGCGTCACAACAACGTCATACATTCATCTTTATTAACACAAAACTCTACCGCGTTTTTTACATTTACAACACAAAGTTCATACTCTAATGTCACATAAAGTTGTGTTTTCAAAAATCCCTAAAATTCAAGATGGATAACATTGAACGCGTTCCTCGTCATCTGAACTCAGCTCATCGTCTTCATCATCACCATCTGCAGTCCAAGCTCCTTGTCGTCTGCGCTACAAGGCAAAAGAGAGCATTCTTTAAGTTTCATTGCACCTGAACAAGGTAACACTCATCCGAGTTTAAAGGAAACCCTATTCCTCTCTTGAGCCAATCAAACGTTTTCTCTCATCACTACATAAGAACGATTCACTTTATATTGACTATTCGCTAGGATAATAAAATATTTCCTTTGGTTATTCATTCTTCGTACAAAACAAAAATGTACTGTTAATGTGTATGCACTTACTCCAGCCAATTGGTTGACCATAAACCTGAAAATATCACTGCTAGCTGGAAGACTTGTCCCTCTTCTGTCGAGATTTCTCTCTTGATCATTGGCAACTACAATCTGTTATTAAATAGGAAGAAAAACATTTTCAAAGTACACAAATACATCAATTTTCTTTGGAGTTTGCCAATTTTCCATCAGTGTTGAGAGGAAGGAGTTTGTTGTTTTGCACAAATGAAAATACTAAAATGCATACGTATTACACTGTATACCGATTCAATTTCATCCAAGTTAATCTTTTCATGTGAGGTTGGACTCCATATTTTGACATCATGATCCAAACCACTTGTAGCCATGAAAGGAAAATAAGGATGTGGTTCTAAGCAATTCACCTAGGACATATGCTACGCTTAAGAAAAGTATCTTTTACCTTCTTAAGACAAAACTCAATGGCAAAGTTATGCCGAGTAACGTAGATTAACTTCATTACAATTATCATGAAAAAAGGCAACTAACCACTCCTGCAACATCTCCTTCTAGACATTGAACAATACTTTCTGTTGTCTTGTCCCAAAGAAAAACATGACCACAGTCGCTTCCACTCACAACAAACTCACTTCGAGGACCATAAAAGTTTACACCCTTAACTAAAGAAAACAACGTTCCTTCGTCAATACATTTTTAAGTTAAAGCACAGACCAAATTTAACTGTTTTCTTAAAATTGTCATGCTCTTTAGCAACAGCACAAATTATCATTTCCAGTATGATAATTTCTGTTATTATAAACAAAATTCCAACCTGTCATACTGTTGCGATGGCCTTTATACTGGTGAATGTAATCTGAATTGGAGCTATTAAAATATATTTAATGAAAAACCCATAATATACTCTGCTTATATTTAGCTTGACTTAATAAAAATCTGTGCAATAGAAGTAAATGATCAATGTTATACAAACCTAGTGTTTGCATCAAACAAATATATATCTTCGTCATTATAACTCACAAGTATTTCTACATAGAACAATATTAATAATAATCAAAATAACATAATACTTAGATAGTTATAGCTATGTATATGTGTTAATATGGTATTTTAATTATTGCTTTAGGTGCAATTTATACCTGAGCCATTATGTGAATAGACTAGGCATGTTATATTGATAAATTGAACTGTATCATTGGTCTAGATTGGAAAATAAAAACATTATAACTTTTTTATGTGGCTCATAAACATACACTACGGACATGTAATGCAACCAACTCTCAGACCATTATGTCAAATGTGAATTGATTTTGTGAAACATTTAAACTTTGCTATGCATACTTCAAATTTATGAGGATAATACTCTTTAACTATTGGCATTTTTTCATTAACATCCTGAAAAATGAAAGAAAATGTTAAAAATTAAATTTGAAACATAACATAATCAGAGACGGTGTTATCAAACACTAAAATCATCAGGTAAAAGACTGTTTTGAACATCAAACTCTACATGAGTTGAATGAAATAAACACAAAGAAAAATGAGACAAAAAGTCCTCAGTTTCTTTTGTTTTAACTGCATTCAGCACTTGTAAAGCTTAATATTATAGATAGATGGGCATAAGTCAACTCCACAAATAATGCACCTCCTTCATTTGTCTCCGATCATAAACCCTAAGCAGAAAATATATCACTCAGTTGACATTAAAGTAAATATATATATCAGTGAAATGACATAATTATTTCAGTTGTTCACATACCTGCATTTTACATCTCGACCACCAACAGCAAATTCTTCATGTTTGCTAGGATTTATGAATATTGAATACAAAGGTACTCTTGCATTCTTTTCTGTTCTGCATATGAAGTGCCTACAAGATTACAATGATAGGCTTTGAAACATCAACATATGATGAGAAACTAACCTATGAATCAGAATGCACAATGCGATCATATGTAAATGTACCGGCAATTTTTGTCATTTTCCATCCGTAAATCAATCTCTATTACTTGTCCATCTTCTCCACAAGAAAGAAATATGTTAGGTGAACCCGGCTCAATACTTAACTACAAAATTAAATAAATCATTGTAGGTTGCATACCAGAATTTACTAAAATGTCTTGTTTACCTTGTGAGCACCATCTCTATGTTGAGTAAGACATTTTGTTTGAGTGGATATACCAGCAGATGATAAAAAACCAACACGAACCTGATGGGTTTTAGTTGAACAGTTTTAAATATTATGATTGAATTATTGAAACAAAATAAGCCATAAAAATCTGTCTATCAAAATCATTTAAAATACCTGGCCATCACGAGCACAGGAAACAATTATGTTATTGTTTGTATTTGGCATGAACTTTGCCTTGAAGGAATATAACAAACACAAAAATAGTTAAAGGACATTAAAAATAACCGAAGAAGATAAAGAAGTTCCATACAAGCTAACACCAAGTCAGCACTGACCTGAAACACATTGCCTGTATGACCACTGTCATAGAGATGTTTTTTCTTTGCAGTAAACCAGTCCCAAAGGATTATTTTCAAATCATCACTTCCAGAGGCTAATAGTTCACCTGTTTCATTGAAATTTAATGTATTAACACACCCTTCATGGTGTGTTAAATTTCTTTCTAGTTTGAATTTTTGGATCATGTTAACTGAGCCAGAAATATTTCTCTCAAACAAACATGGCATGTTCAATCCTAACTCTCTCTTTCGTAAACTACTAAGACTTTTCCATGTCTTTTGTGAGTTGCTTATTGTGATTCCCAATGTCTTTAGCGACTTCAATGAAGTTCCACCTGTTGACTGGTCTGAATTACTATCAGATGACGGTAGCTCAGGTTCATCTTCAGACTCTGAATTATTAAAAGATCTGCTATCACTAGCATCACTTTTTTGGCTGGATATTTCACTTTTCAACCAAAACTTTGGCTTCTTATTATTTTTTCCATTTACAAAAATTTCATTATCATCTTCCATGTCATTGCTAGTAGAAGAGTCATCTTCACTTTCTAAAATTTCAACTTCATCACTTGATTTTTCTTCATCACATGGAGCTTCAGATTTTTCACATGCCTTAGCTTCGTTGAAAAGAATTTCATCTTTCTCTTCTGCTTCCTCCAAAGAAGCGGAGTCGTCAGTCTTCACAGTTGATGTCATTTTGACAGCATTCAAGAGACGTCTTTAATTTTACACTTCTCTTACTGTCGAGTCTTACATCCTGAACTTCAAATTTGACGTTTTTCATAAAAAAATCAAATCAGCTTATTATTCTAATGTTTACCCGAACTTGACTGAAAAATAAACATTCTTTTCATTTCGATTTATGTTTTGTCCCATAAAATTTACTTTTCTACCAAAATTGCTCTCTGTCGTCTTATCAGTGATTGGTACCCTAACCCACCGTCCCGTCACTTCTATTTCCCTCCCTCCCCCCCTGTAAGATGAAACAACAAAATGGCGAACGAAATAGCCGAGCGAATGAAAGATGTACAAGAAATGATCAATAAGAAGAACCAAATAGAAGAAGAAATTAAAGAGTTTCAAAATGTTCTACAATCTGTATGCAAATCATAGCAAAAGATTACCATTTGCGTTCAACTGGTAAATGTCCAGAATTTTTCGCGTTTGTTTACGTTTCAAACGTCAGGTTTGTCAAACGAAACGTCGGGTTTCAACTGGTGAATGTTACGTTTGTTTAAATCGCGGATTTCTAAGTTTGTAACAGCTCGTTCTTGTAGTATATGATCAATTATCAAACTTTGCAAATCGCCAAAGGTATACAGATGTAATTTTCAGTTACTACAGCATTTTATCATTGTAAAATCGTATAAACATGTTAATCACATGAACAAAACCTGTTCAAAATGTTCCTCTAACGTTACACATTCCTGAGCAAACGTTACGTTTCTAATTTGAAACCCGACGTTTCGTCTGACAAACGTGACGTTTGAAACGTAAACAAACGCGAAAAATTCAGGACAGTTACCAGTTGAACGCAAATGGTAATAATAGAAATATTTTTATGTATTATTATCATTAATATCATTTGAACTGATTTGATTGAAGTGACTGATCCTGATCGAACTTGTCCTTGACAAATTAACATGGAACATCTTTCCAGTGTTGAAATATAGAACTTTTTGTCTAACTAAAATCTGATAACATATTGTTTGAGTTACACCCAATGAAATTGACTGTGATCAATTCCACAGTCCACACAGATGAAATTAACTGAAACAAATATTTAATTTAATTATTTTGTAATTCAAGTTTTGTGAACTTTACATGTTCATCACGTTTTATGCATATTTCTTGTAGCAAAAGGATGTTGGTATGAGTGGAAAGTTAGTGGATAATGATGATTATCCGAGACAAGATATTGATGTTTATGCTGTGCGCTTTGCAAGAAATCGTATTATATGTATGTACGTATGATTTTTTGTTTGTTGTTTATTGCTTTATAAGTGTGTTAAAAATTCCATGATATAGGTTTGCAGAATGACCATAAAGCTCTTATGAAACTTATTGAAGATGGAATTCATGATGTACATACTGCTGCTCGCAATAAAAGAGACTCAGAAAATTCATCACAACAAACCAGTTCAGGTAATAGTTTAGTTAAATGAAATCATTTTTAAAAGCCTTGACAAAGTATGTATTTTTGTTGCAACACCATGCCTATACTTTACAGAGCAGTAAATTAGTGAACTTTCAAGTCTAGGATTTATAAATGACATATTTTATTGTGTTTTGGATTTTTTTCATTACAGTAAGTTTTGTATAGTTAAAGTTTATGTTATATTAAGTTATTCATCTTCATAAATTCAATTATTGTATACACACATGTAGGATGTACATATGTCATTTTCATGATGATGATTTTAGAACAAATTCAAGATTTACAGATGGCATTTTTGCAAGTGAATGAGTTGTCTCCACTATCTCCAGCTGAAAATGCAGTAAGTTTAAGTCATTCATACATTGCTACATAATAAATGCATGTAAATCTTGTATGTTGAGAATTATTTTACCAAGGAAATTTTTTTCATAATATCTTATTGAAAGTCAACATTTAAGTAAAGTCAAAATGTCTGTAAGGTACCCTTTTGTTTTTGTATTAACTCATTCTCCGCTGCTGTTTATTAGATATCTTCGCTGTTTTTTCTTTTCACGTACCCTATCCATTTATGTGCATCCCAAATCATTTTTTATTGCATTAGTATTGAAATTTGTTTTGTCAAAACATCCATTACTATTCTGTTGAGCCGAAAAGTTTTGAATTCCTCCACATAATTGGGATATTGCTGATAATCTACTTAAATCCTTAGTCAGAGAAGGACTATATATATTTATGATAAATTTATGAGTGATCTGTGTTATTGTATCTTCCCTTACTAGGGTCTTCGAGTTGGTGATGAAATTATCAGATTCGGTTCCCTAAACATTGAAAATTTTGATAACATGCAAAGTGTTGCTAATGTGGTTCAGCATTCTATGGGAGTAAGTTAAAGCGTGTATACCCAGCTTTTTTAAGTAATTGACTTAGTTAAGTTCACTTGTTAAGTATAAAAACTTAAAATGACTGGACCAAACAGATATTTAGATTAAAATTTGCTATGATGGATCTTTTAATAATTTAACATTTTATTTCTATCAAAACTCATTCTTCAAACTTTCAGATTATTATAGAGATTCTTTTTTTCTATGTTTTTTTGCATAATTACAAGCTGTTCAGTTTTCACTTAAATTTAAAGGACACTAATTACCAAGCAGAGTAGCATATAGTCTAAAACTTTCAGTTCTGTTATGTTAACTTCAGAGGAAATATGTTATTTAGATTGAGTGAACAAAAAAATTGCTCAGCAGAGCTAAATAAGCAGGTTGTCAATGCCAACTGTCTGCTCACTACCCTACCCAGATTATTGCTTAGAGTAGCCATATATTTCTCAAAGGTACAGTATGGAAGAAGATACAATTGTCTTCCTTTTGTTTTAGCAATCAATTCCAATTATTATCAGAAGAGGAGAACATATTCATCACCTTAATTTGATTCCAAATATCTGGCATGGAAGAGGTTTACTTGGGTAATGTTGGATTATCTTATTCTGACCATCAATGGGATAGCATATTTTGTCTTATCTGAAAACTATGGACTATCTTGCTTTGCCAGCTCACTTATTTAATCAAGCCATGATCTGCATTAATGTACTTATCGTGAAAGTAATAAATTTTAAAATAAATAACATTCAAAGGAGTAAAACTTGGAGACGGACTAGGCCACCATTTTGAACTATGCTTTTCATTGATAAGATGTTGTTAAGAGACTTCTCTCCTTGGATTATGAATGTCCAAGCAAAAGCAAAACCTGGACCAAACATAACAGTTACTGTGCGATTTTAATGAGTTACTGCACGATATAATATAGCTTGCACATTTTCAATTAAAATCTTTACTGTAAAACTTTTCACTTGCACTGGTTTAAGTTAGCCCACAATGTTTCTTACATGTTTTGAAGCCATCATCAGAGAAACATCAGCGTAATATGAATCCTATCTTATTATGTGTTTCTAACATCGTTTGCACGTATTTACTATAGACCTCTTAAATTGCTTTGTTTCATTTTATATAGTTGCAATATTGCTCCAATCCATAAAAGATGATGTCAGTGGGCAGTGAAGTTGGTGGTTAAGTTATGGTCAGTGAGCAATGATGTCAGTGGGCAGTGATGTTGGTGGTTAAGTTATGTCAGTGGGCAATGATGTCAATGGGAAGTGATGTCAATTGGCAGTAGTGTCAATTAAGGGCATGTGAAATTTGTTTTAGTCTCCTGTTCACAAAAATCATATGTTCTTTCACACTGGATATAGAATCAACTTACAAAATACAAACTTTCAATGTTGATTATGTACAACAGCATTTTGTAAAATATTATATGTTTGCAATCTAACAAATAGCAGATTTTTGAGACAAATAGTAGTTTAATGATGAATGTATGTAATGCATATAAATCAGTGTTGTTGTAAATCTTGTAATGCTTCATGAATTATTAGAGCAAAGTGAATGACTGATAAAAATGTCAATATATCAGCCATTTCTTGCATAAACAATTCCTGAGGACTGATTAAAGTGTTTTGGTCAAATTCTTCCATCTCTTTCCTTGCTTTCATCTTCCAGCAAGTACGCTGGTTTATACAGTCCATTTTCTATTTTAAGAGCTGGGTTCTGTTTTGTATTGCATTGGCTGCCAATAGATGTATATCCCTGGTCATATAATGATAAATAGGGTATCTTGCATTTTAGCAATATTGACCACACATCAGAATAGTGCCAAGTGAGTACTGGATTTATTCTCATGTATTGTGGCCATCCAGGATCAGTTGGAGAGAATAGGTTTAATTTTTCACCATATGGATCATTCTTTCTTGTTCCCATTAGGATTGCAATGATAGTAGGATGTGCTATCTGTAGGTGTGCTAAAGCATCTTTTATCTTTGACTTGAATTTAATAATGCGCAAGTTATAAATCTCAGTGCATTTCACAATAAACTCTTCAGCTTCAGGAAATGGATCCTCCTCTTGCACATATAACATGTTTAATTTTCCATCAAATGAGGGATATTTGGCTACCACAGCAGCATAATACAATGCCAAGAGAACTGTGCAATCCTTACCACCATTGAAACTAATGCATATTTCATCCAAAGTGTACCTTCTTAAGGTTTCCTGTAAAATAGCCCAAGCACTGAGCACACATGCATTTTGATTACTGAATTCTGTGCTTGACAAAAGTGAATCTATTTCCTTGAGAAAAAAGTAATCAGGTTTGATTTGAACATCACCTAAAAATCAACATATTTTACATTATCAATTGAAGTGTTTGTCAAATTCAACACTATTGTTAAAAGCTTGGTTATTAATCAGTTGCACTTAGCAGACAACTGACACCAATACAATTCAACTTTACCTTTGCTCATTTCAGTTCCTGAAGAAAAAGCCTCAACTGATACAACTGCATTATCTGGTAGCAATGTCTTTAAGTATTCTGAGGCCTGTTCTAATATTTTAGGTTTTAATGATTCTAAAGTTAGTTTAGTTTTAAATTTGCTATGCCCTACTTCGGGATAAGATCCAAGATGAACCTTATTTCCATACTTATCATGAACCTGTTGAAGTTCTTCTGCAATGGTTGATTCTTCAACGGATAAATAAAACTTTTGTAGATAAAACATGTTTTCCTCATTTGAAAAAACTTTTGAAAATTGATCAAATTGTGATCGTAAGTATTTGGGCACGCCTGGAAATATATAAACATTTTGCAAAGAAATTAGAGGGAATGTATTTGCAGGATTTTCAAGGTCTCGCTTCACTTCACTTGCTTCAGGAATTAAAGCCATTTTCAAAACAAATTTGTTTAATTGAGAAGCATCGTGAACGTTGTAAAGGTTTACCAACACTTCAGTTAAACATTTATTTTGAACCAATGGTTCATTAAATGCCCTAGCAATTGCTGCCATTGTCACATCATCGTGTGTTGGCCCAATTCCACCCGACGTGAGAACAAAGTTAAAACGTGAGCTAAAATCACGAACTTGAGATGCTATTTCCTCTATGTCGTCTGGAACAACTGAAACCGCTTTAACTTTTACACCCAGGGACCATAATCGCTTTAACAAGAAATGGGAATTAGAGTCTTGCGTGTGACCCTTAAGGATTTCATCACCGATTATGAGAATTCCTGCAGAAGGAGGTTCGATCGTACTACTCAATCTCCTCAACAGTCCTTCATGGGTCGCCATTTTGAAATGAAATTTGAGAAAATAGTATATGGAAACATCCAATCACGTGATTTAACTCGTTGTCATGAAAGCATAAAAAACAATTTTCTCGACAACAAATTGTTTATAAATGTATAACTTTGTGTTTTTTTATTTTCTACACGTCAGCATACTAAATTTTAGTTATGGCAGAAGAAATCTACTTAATGCAAACTGGTGATACGTGAAATTATTTTTAAATTAGATCTTTGGAAATCTGTGCATGTGCAATACTGGTAGGTCGTTGATGCTTTTAATACCTCATTGAGAAATTTGTTTTGTCATTATTTGATGGTTGCAAAAACGAATGCAATAGCTAAAAGTTCATAGTGAATATAAAATTGCTTTCAAAGTCTTTTGCATGTCTCGTGTGCCCATTATTTTGAACCTTATTTGTGATTACGCAATGTTTTGCTGAAAGTCAATTTTTTGATTTACAAGGCGGAGAAAGGGGGGAGGGGAGGGTGACATTTGGAATTAAGAAAAACGATGTTTCATATTTAGTTTCGTACCATTGAACTAAAATACATGGAACGCTACCTGTAAAAGAAAAGTCTAATAAATTCTTGAAGCCAAATTTTACTCCCAGACACTTGTGTGCAGTCAATGAATTTTCAGAATCTCAAAGCACTACACACGCATGTCTGGGTTTAAGATTTGGCTTCATTTATTTACTTCAGGTACCGTTCCATGTATTTTAGTTCAATGTTTTATACAGATAAGTGAAAGTCTGCCATGCAATTTTTTTTAACATTTTCGTTAAAATTTATTTGGCCAAGTTTTGCACCATACTTTTTTCCATAAAAATTGGTTTTCGCTGTTCACAACTCAACCCGTGGGAAGACTTAAAGGTCATGTGTGTGGGGAGATGGCATATTCCCATCAATAGCAGCAGAACAAAATAAAATGTTATAGACAATGATAAAATATGTTGTGCATTGCTCAAGATGTTTTTAGTATAAATTATTCACCACAGATGGGTATCAAGTATTTCTACTAAGTGATGAGCTTTGGGCACCTAAAGTAAAAAAATGGAATTGGATGAAAGACTTCGTTGGATAGAGATCCGTGTTGCATCTTCATTGAAGCCAAGGGCGGAAGATCTTAAGCGACTTTTTTCAAAAAAAGAAAACAGGTTTTGATTTGTTTGTATACAATATTTGGCACTACCAGAACTATGCACTTTAGGTCAGGTCCATAGTTTAAATAAATATTCATTTAACATTTTTTTAAGAACAAAGATCAGAAAAGAGTTGTATATTACCTATAAATTTTAAGCAAGGTTCATTGATAATTAATATTTCATATTGTATTTTATAGAGAAACAATGTTTGAATTTTGCAATAAAGATGAACGTCGATACTTGCTTGTCTATTTATCAAACGTGACGGACGAAGGCTTCGTTGCATCATTTAAAGCACCAAATTACTTCACAGATAAAGCTATGTTCTTCTGCAAGACAAATGAAGCAAGCAAATTATCTCGAGATAACATCGCGAGCAATGTTGGATTTTGTGACTGCTCAAACAAACCACTGAAACATTTAAAAAGGCTCGTTAAAGATGTGTATTTGCCTGTCCTGAGTATTGAAAATGGTGGTGGTGTAAGTGCTGACAAACTAATGGATCTCTTGCATCGACTTGTCTCTTGCATTCACGTATTTGATGGACACATTGAGGTAGATTTTGGTACTTATTAATAACTATAATTTTTTGTTATCAGTTATATCTTTTTAGTAATTGGCTTTTCTTTACGTTGCTATCAACAATTAACTTATCTCCGATAGGCATCTCTATATCAATCATAAGTCTTGCAGTACTGCTGTAGCCAGCCAGACTATTAATTAGTCCTGCTTGCTGTATGTACGTTAATTTGTCTGTTTTTACTTACTGCAAAAATAATAGATTTCTAATGAATAACGATGATGAAGCTTATTTTTATACATTCGAAAAATGTACTATCCAATGAATAACGTTATCAATGTTTCGTGCAGCCTACGTACCCTGAAATTTATATAGCAGGACAACATGTTGGTTACTAGCTACGCCACTGTAAGTTATATAATCAACAATCTTTTGAATTTTAAAACCAGGCTTTTTTCCTGTTAGAAATAGTTGCATTTAAAGTTTTTTTCTTTTTATTTGCGATAGCTCCTTTTCTCTGTATAGGAAAAGATGAAACTCGGCCCTAAGCTAAATTTTACATTCATCAAGATGAAATTTTATCAAAGTTTTTGTCTCGCTCTGCAATCACATTCTATTATGACAACATCAGCAGAAATACTCGTTATTAAGATCTTTCTGAGAAATTGTGTTTTGTATTAATGTAAGTTAAGTGTAGCTGATTGTTTTGATATGAAAATCACGAGCGATGTGACGCGATGCATCTCTTTCAATTGTTTTTCCAAATAAAATTACACGTATATATAGATTTTGCCCACTGCATGCATATTTATTTTATCCTAACTATTTATTGTCATCATTCTCTTATAGAACAAGGTTGCTCTTGCTCTTCCTTCTATTGAAGTTCTATCTGAAGCTGCGGCTATTACCGGCCGAAGACCGGCAGTCATCCATGTTTTAGAAACGACAGTTGTTAATTGGATTAGACAGATTAAGGTTTGAAGTTATTCAACTTTTCTCTACAATGTATTTAGTAATAGAATTATTGTAACATTTTTGAGAGGTTTTTTAGGGTGCATTAAAACTAGATCCTGAAGCTGAGATACGTAAACAAGCTGGGACATTTCCAGGACCGTTTATTGAGATTGAGGTAAATTTCATCACGTACATATATAGTGGTTCTTCTTAACATAATCAAATAAATAAATATCTATTCAACTTTATTTATTCATCTGCACCAAGTTTTTCAAGCATTTCATTATCTTTCCACAAAGTTTTACGTATTTGCTACTACGTATATTTTATTTGTAGGTGTGGTCACTTCATTTAAGTAGACTGAATTTCATTGATAAACAACTACAATCTCCTATTGCTGTGAACATCATCACGAATCTTGAAGATGCTCATAGCACGTATGGACAAAGCTTTGATTTGGTAAAGAAAGAGTTGAACAAGGTTTGAACTCAGTTTATTTAATATCTACTAATTGTCTCTAACCACTATCTTTTCTCCATGCACTATCGTTTCTTTGCTGTTTGCTGTATTAAATTATACGCTGTCTGATCTAACTAATTTGTGTACGTATTTATTTTAGGCCAATGTAGAATGTAAGGAAAATCTTCAGTATTTACAAACGCTGGTGCCTTGGTTTAAAAAACTTCATCACACAAAATCTTTGTCGTCCATTTTGAAACAATTTCCACCTCTAATGCACACCGTATACCTAGTTTGGTTGCATTCCAGGTATTGAAAATATAATTATCTTCACTGTTTTGATTTATTGGAGATCGTCTACGAAAAAGATGCATGTGAGATAGATAATATTTTCATTTGTTAAGGATGTCTTTTTTAGTTAGAGCTAAATTTATAGCTTTATGTGAGAATTGTTTATAGTGACATCTTTTCTCTTCAAGATACTACCATGAAAACAGTCACTTTCATCGTTAAGGATGTCTTTTTTAGTTAGAGCTAAACTTATAGCTTAATGTGAGAATTGTTTATAGTGACATCTTTTTTCTTCAAGATACTACCATGAAAAAAGTCACTTTCATCGTTAAGGATGTCTTTTTTAGTTAGAGCTAAATTTATAGCTTAATGTAAGAATTGTTTATAGTGACATCTTTTTTCTTCAAGATACTACCATGAAAAAAGTCACTTTCATCGCTTGATATCCATGTTGTCTCATGAAGTTGTCGAGCGAGCAAAATCATTTGTCTGCCATTTTGTTCTTGATGAACCAGATGAGGTGAATGAATGATTATTTTTGTCTATTTGTTTTTTTGCTTTATCTTATCTTTTCCAACACGTCATTTTTGGTGATTGGACCGAAAAGCGGCCAGAATCCTTCTATTTGATGCATAATTTATATTCAAAGTTTACTTGTTTTCACATTCGATAAAAAATTCAGCTATAGTTATCTCTAATTGCATATCATTTAGTCGGCTCAAAGTTTAAAAGATGCCCTTCGACTATGTGCATCTTTCCGAGGAAGTTATTTGGATAAAAAAGACAAAGCTGATGTCTTCAATCAAAAGATGCGTTGTAAAATGTCTCCGTGCAGGTAGAGCTACTAACACTTTGACCGTGTGGGCTGTAAGCAAATGTTTTTACTTTTGTACAGTGTCATTAGATTTTTATATCGTACTATTATTGTTTTGTTTATTTTAAGCGTGGAATCTGCCATGTTTAGGCAGAATTGGAGTGGAACAGACAAAGATGGTCGATCTAGTACATATCGAAAACAATCTGCTTTACAGTACGCTGAAAAAAATGAAACGTGGGTAGATTCCCCTTGGCCCGCGAGAAATAATCACGTGTTTAGCATGCTAAACAATTTTATGGAGCGATGCAATGATGTCTTGGAACTTGTGCAAAGTACAACACATTTCAAAATGTTGAGACTGGCCTCCGAAATTGGCGGAGCTGGAGGGACTAATCTTAACAGCCTTGTTAAAGAAATTTATGGAAATTTTTTAGAAGCGATCGAGAAGATGAAAGGATATAATTTGGTAAATTGTGCAAAAACAAAGCGTTTGAAATTTTCGTTGATCTTCACGACGATGAAAAACTTTGATCAATATATAGGATGTATTGGAAGTGGAGGTGAATGGAACAAACCTTTTTGAAAAAGCGTTTTTTGAATTTCGTTCAGTTTTAAAGGTAAAAATTTACCTGATGTAAAACAATCCCAAATTTTTAAACAGGTAAGTTTTTCCTGTGACATTCTACATGTTTGTGATCTTGAACTTTTAAGAGTCTTGAGCGTCGTTTGGCTGATGTCTTGCGTCAAAGCTTCAAGCAATGTCCTGACACTAAAGCGAAGCTCCGTTTACTGGAGGTGTTTGAAGGAACAAGTGGAAGGGAACTTATTCAGGTTGGAAACTTATCAAACTTAGGAATTGGTTCTAAAAATTAAATTATTGTACAAATCATGCTAATACGTATCTTGTCTATACATTACAGCATTGCATAAAGTTGACAAAGATTGTCTAATAAAAATCGGATAGTCTAACCCTCTAACTTTCTTTATGTTTCTTTATTAGGCCTTTATGAAACTAACATGAAATGTTAGAATGTGAAAATGTGCGTTTATATAAATAAGCTGATGAGATTTGCAAATAGTTTATTTTCCTAGTTATACTCTTATTATGTAAAATATTATTAATTTCCATGGAATAATATTCACGGGAATAATAGTTTAGTGAAAATACAATACTAAAATACTCATCCGACAATTCCTAAACTTAAACGCAAGATATACAGAATGTTTGTTTTCTGAGCTTTCGTATCTGTGATCTCATTCTTCACTTTCTCGTGCTGGTTATTGTTTTAACAACCGATCTTCAACAATTTTGTAAATTTTAGGAGAATCTGCTCGATATAAGTGAACAAATGTTAATGCACTTTACAAAAAATGTCGAAAATATGAAAGATTACTTTCATCTTCGTGTCAACAATCCTCCAGTTCATTCACATCTTCCATTTATCGCAAGCAAACTTATGTGGCTGGAAGGAATTAAATCTAGAATTGGCGTGAGTATATTTCCCCCTATGAGAATATAGTCGTTGAATTCCAATGTGGGTAAGAAAATCCATTCCTTGTTTTAGGAACCAATGGCAAAATTCCGAAGACTTTCTTCAGTTTCATTTAAAGGTGACAAAGGATGGAAATTACGAGACAATTTCAACGATTTGATAAAAGATATTAAACGGTATTTTACGGCAACTTATTGTTCCATAATATCATATTTATGTAGCTCGTATACTATTGAAACATATCTTTTCTAATCTTGTTTAGGACTGAATCTCTAGCAATTTCTTCATGGCAAAATTCTATCCAAGAGGACTTGCGATCAAAGATGAGCGAACCATTACTGGTATGTAATATTTCTTTGGACCAGTAAGTACTAGTAATTCATAATTTTTATCAATAAAAATTTTCGGTACTGTAGACATTTACCAATAAAGCACTTTTTTACGGACTATTTCAAAATAAAATCAAAGACAAGACAGGGTTTTATTTGTTTATATTAGTAAATAAACCAAAGATACGTATGATCAAATTAACTGTAAACTCTCAATATCTTCCAGATTGAAGTAAATGATTGTGAAAAAAACAGTAGGATTGTTCTGGTGAACTTAGATCCCAAGTTGTTGTCTTTGTTGAAAGAAGTTCGTTATTTGACTGAACCGCCTTTTCGTCTTCGAATTCCTGATCCAGCGAAATTGCTAATACGTCATGTAAATGTCGACCAATTAAGACGAACTGCTGCAAGATTAGAAACGATTGTGTCTCGTTATAATGGAATCCACAAGAATATACAACCCAATGAATTTCCTCTTTTTGAAAGGAAACTTACAAAGATAAATGAGGTGTGTATTATATAAGAATATTATTCTATATATTATTTTTGTATTAATTGCTTCATAATATTTAATTTTCAATACTAATATGAGCAGCCTTTATAAAAATCACGTATTTTAAACTTCTTGCTAGCTACTGAATGAAGGAATTCATAATTACAGTTGGAAGACAGCGGATTTGGCTGATTTTGTTGAGCATTTGTGTTCACTTGTTTGTGAAGACGTTCATAAAAATCTCGCAACGATTCAGAATAACTATAAGGAGATAAAATGTATTGTCCACTCCTGGTCTCAGGAAGTTTGTGTAGACGCTATGCGATCACGTGACAAACTTAAGTCCTATTCTATAGATGAACTGAACTCCTTGCACAGGTAATTTTCGTCATAATGTTTTGAACTTTCATCTTTTATGTATATATATATATCTTTAATTGTTTTGTAATTATTTTGATAGAGAAAGTATGACTTCAACGGAGCACTCGATCGCAATTGGAGGCAATCGAATTCACGGTTTACTTGCATCTTCCTTTGAAGTAAGCTCGTATTTATAGTAATAGCTGCGTATGTACGTAATACAGGAGAAAAATGTTGTAAAATTACACTTTACTCGATTCACATCATTGAAATGATGTCAGAACACACGTTTCTATGCACGAAAGTGATCAAAATAACGTGAGAACAATGTAAAAATATGAGGGGAAAAGTTTGTCTCATTACTCGTAAAGCCAGACTTCGATTGAAGTGAAAAAAATGAATTTGTGCAACAGTGATGAGAAAAAATAAATTGCATAACTTTATGTTCATAGTACAAACCAGCTTAACATTAGTAATTTACTCATTATATATGACATATATTAAATAGTGTTACTCTATTCATTTTCACAGGCTGTACAAGTAAGTCGGGCCTCTCCTGCATGGCAAGATTACATCCATTGTATAAGTGAGTTTGTTTTGGAAGGTCTCAAAAAATCTGTACTTGTATCTTTGAAGTCAATGATGAAGGAAGTCAGCATGACTATAGATGCTCAGGTAGTGTGTTGTTTTGATTGTGTTTTTTTTTTGTTAAAAAAATACAACTGTCTTTCAAAGCGCAAAGTAGTACGTAGCTTTCTATAAATTCCAGTCAGAAATTCGTGAACTTATGAAATATTTTGTCCGGTAAGATTTGTTGTTAAGTAGAGAATTTTACGATAACTTCTAACGGTCTTTTGAAAAGCCTTTCTAATATAAATTGTAAGTCTGTAAATTGTTGGCAAAACACTGGTGAGAAATAGATTCCATTTTGCGTCTTTTACGATTGACCGTTAGCCAACAGTTTATGCATACACTAAGCTCATTATATTGTGGTTGTGACAGAATTTGTAATCACAATTTGACAATCATATTTAATGTTTGTTTTTAGAAAATGCAGTCTTGCTATACAAAAATATGTTATTTATTGAGAGCAAAGTTTTCCTGTCAGTATTCTTCGTTAGTTTGGAACTTTGTATTCCCCGATTTTTAGAAGGAGAGTGATTGCATTAAAAGTGTAAGTAAAATTTTTTCATCAGGAAGAGGAAGTTTTCGTGCCAGTCATCACCATTAGACTGGAGCTTTCTGGTTCCCAAGTTGTATTTCAGCCAAAACTTGACGAACAAGACGCAACGTTTAGTGTCCAAGAATTCTTTTACGGTTGGATTGAAGATATTTTGAAACGAAGTCACATAGTCAAACCAATCGAATCTGGACTCAAGGTTTCGTTATTTTATCGTATATTTTTTTTGATAAATTTTTAAAAATGTCTTGTGCTCTGAATGGTGTTACCCATGTATTTTAGACATACTACAGCTTGATTTCTGATATGGAGGATGTCAAAGAATTAATATCTTCAATAAAGATGATCGTTAGAAATAATGGATTGCAATGTCAGGTTTGTGAAGATATTTTCATCAAATTTGCTGGAAGGAAAAGTTTATTATGAGAGACATTAATTTTGCAATTTGCAGTATTAATCTATTTTTTGTGTTATATTAGTATTCAATATTCATCGTAGAACTTGCTGGGAACATTTCACAAGTACGCATTTCTCTGGATGCAAGATGTTGAGAGAACATTTGATGAATTCCTTGCTGGGAATATTGTTGCACATCCACGTGACATGACGAGGCCAGAAGCCCTGCGTTCAAGTGCATCAATTACGTCACTAAAAGTAAAAGAAAGCAAAGGATCACTTACGTAAGATTATTGATATCAAAAAAATTGTTTATCGGTATCTTTTTGTATTATCTTACATTGTTTTACTCCTCTTCGTTGAATTCAGTATAGAAAAACAGATTCTATTACGTATGTTCTTTAGCTCAAGTATTCATACTTTGGGGGCTTATTCTCTTGATACGAGTGGTACACTGGGGTTGTCTGAAAAGAACTTTCTCCTAAACAAGCTTTCAGAGATTGAAAAGGCTACATCCTTGCCATCACTGGATGATTTTGACGAAGAATTAAAAATATTTAAAGTAAGTTGTCAAATCATACATAGTTTTATGGAGTTATGCAACGAAATTCTCGCTACCATGAACTGTAAGAAACCGTTCATTAGGCAACTTTTCCCTTCGCATGTAGACAATGTCACATTACGTAAATTAACTTTTTGTAAGTCGGTGTCTTGTTTAATAAATTTATTTCGTCCGGTTTTCTATTTAAAATGATTTAAAATTTCATAACAAGGGTTGAAAGTGGGTTTCAATTTGGACTATACCAACGATTTGGTTTATGAAATATTATCATTGTAAAAACTTTAAAGTCTTTGCCTTGGAAGTAGATCCAATCGGTTGTTGCTACAATTATGAACTCAAACAGTTGGTCTAGTGAATATCGCATCATCAGATGATTTTGAATTTTTTTTTGACATTAATTTCTTTGTGGCAGTGTTTTTTGAAACTTTGCATTATCCTTTGATGGCTAGTTTCGCTTTTGTTGTTACAAAGGAGAGGTTTTATAATAATATTATATAATGACATGCTAATTATTTTAAATGGTCTTGGAATGTTCAGGTTTGTAGAGATGAAATTGAAGAGCTTAATAATAGCTTGGATATCGGCTTTACACGGGTCAACACTCGTCCTTTACAGCAAGTATTACAGGCATATGCTAGCAAATGGATGTTTACTTACACAAAGTACTTATCTGACCAGGTACGATGAGAAACACCAAGAGCTCCAAATTTATTTCTCACGATCTGCATTTTGTACTAATATGAAGTATACGATTTTTGAATGAGTTTATGCTATATTTTTCAGGTATCAAACATTCTCAACGATTTAGACTCTTTCTTGAAACGGATAGAACCTGGTATTGAGGCCATTACTGGCAAAGAGAGAGATATTACGTCATTTATGCGACTTATGGGAATATTTAATGAGGTACAGACTTGCTCAAAAAGCTTACAAGAATTATTATAAAAAATGTACTTTTGTCTTCACACAAAAATATCCTACTTACAAGATAATGCTTTCATGCAATATCCTGTTAGGATTTATTATATGTATGTCAGTTTCTTATATCTATTTGTAAAATCTCGTATCTATTTTTAGGTGAATACTCAACAAGCAGAAATGGATAGCAAGTTTGTTGCAATGAAAAGGTCTATTAATTTGCTTGAAAAATACAAGCAAAAACTTCCAGGTACAACGCAAAAATTTTATGCTGCAGCCCCACAAAAGTAAGTACAACTGATCTCGTGTGGAATAAACAACGATTCTGGTGTTTTTGAACGAGGTATTTATAAAAAATTGTTGTTTTTATTTAGGTGGAATAACCTAAAATTAAAGGTTGCTCAAGCTAAGCAGAGACTTGGTCCTCGAATACAGTCTGAAGAAAAAGCTGTTACTGCTGTAAGTTACGGAAATTTTCCAGTAATATACAAAAAATATCGTTGATCTCTAAATGAATGATCTCAGCTGCTTGAAGATGGAGTAAAATAGAAAGAACATTTTTAATCTTTAGGAGTTAAATGCGTTTGGGAAACGTTGTGATCTTCTTTTTCGTGAACTTATGGCATCGGCAGTCTTTAAAAGGAAATGTCTGATTTATACGGCTTTTAATGTAATGGAAATGTTTGAAAAGAGATTGAAGGTTTTGGAAAGTGAGGCTCAGGTTACTAAGTTAAAGAATTGTGATGTTTGGTTGTTTACCTCTTGAAGTTTGGTTTCTATGTACAATTTTTGTAAATTGATGTTTTATTTTTTATTAGGATTTGATTGAATTACAAGAACTTCTTGAGAAGAACATTGTCAACTTTTCTATTTTGCCTCAGTAAGTTAAAATAGGAAACATCCAATCGTCAAAAAAAAAGTGTAATTGGAGTCATTGTAGAAATTCTTAATTATTTTTCCAACTTATTACCATGGAATTATTTTACTCAGAACATCCACGGTTACATAAAAATCTCCTTCTAAGCTTTTATAAATTAAGATATTCTGTAGCAAAACTGATAAATTTATTTCCCATTTTTTAAATTCAAATGCATGGGCTGCTCCTTAGCAAACAATTATTTTGAAATATGCGTGAACAACTTTGCCGTCTTTGTAGAGTGGGATCTGACCTAAAAGGTCTTCGGGAAGTGTGGGAAATGTTTAGGTAAGTTTTTTTTTATCGTTTTGTGTATAGCTATTGTAGTAGTGTGTGGTTGTGTGTCGCGTAGTAAATGATTTTAAATAGAAGACGTAATATATTTATTATTATCTCTACATTAGTTAAAATGAACGTACATAGCTATTGTAGTATGTGTTGGTTGTGTGTCGCGTAGTAAATGATTTTAAATAGAAGACGTAATATATTTATTATTATCTCTACATTAGTTAAATTGAACGTACATAGCTATTGTAGTATGTGTTGGTTGTGTGTCGCGTAGTAAATGATTTTGAATAGAAGACGTAATATATTTATTATTATCTCTACATTAGTTAAAATGAACGTACATAGCTATATTCTACACATTTCACAAGGTCGGTACAATGTTTGAGTTTTGCAATAAAGATGAACGTCGATACTTGCTTGTCTATTTATCAAACGTGATTGAGGAAGGCTTCGTTGCATCATTTAATTGCCAAATTACTTCACAGGTAAAGCTATGTTCTTCTGCAATTCTTCTTCTTTCACAAGGTCGGTACAAGAACAACAAAATGAAAGGAAACGACAAAGGTGGTTTACTTTGGACACAAAGAGTCTTCAAATAATCTTAGAAGAACTTTTAAGACAAATTCATTCTTTACCTTCCCGCACTCATCCCTGGGATGTGTACATTGGTATGTTAGAATCTGTTGTTGATATGCAGGTAAAGTACATAATTTTTATCATTCCTTTAGTTATTTTTTTCGTTTATAAAAAAGAAATCAACTTGTTTATAATTTGGGAAGGCGTGTTTACCTCTTGTTGAAGACCTACAAAAGGCGGCACTTCGTTCTCGACATTGGAAACAATTGTTGAGATTGACCGGTGAAAGTCCTCATACAATGATCAATAATGGATTAATGAAGATGTCTTTTGGACAATTTATAGAATTTGGATTTCATCGTAAGTAGTTGTCATGTCAAACTGTTCAATTATTATAGTTGTTAAAGTTTCCTTTTACACAAGACGGTCGTTTACGTATATAATATCGTGGTCCATAAAAACGCTTGATTCTCGCGCAAAAGTTATGTATCCTGTATGTTGATAAATAATAGAATTAGTATTGAAATAGAATTGGCTAAAACTTGTAATGTCCTCAACTTAGATCTTCACAACATAATTTTTTTCATCGTTGTATAGAACATGTTGATGAAGTACGATCAATAATTCAAAAGGCAACCAAAGACGTTGAAATTGAGAGTTCGCTTAAAACTTATGAAGAAGTTTGGTTAAGCAAAGTGTTTGAACTGAAACGTTATTCGAAAGCTCGAGCTTCCTCAGCCGCTGTCGTGAGTGGAAATCAAGAGGTTAAATTTCTCAAGTATTTATAACTTACGTAAAAATATATTGTAATGATACTTATGACGTTTTAATAGATAAATGGTAGTGAAATTGACTCCGAGGTTCACGGTCATAATGGGCATCGACACGGTTTATCTACAAGATATTCAGTTACAAGTCACGGTAGTGAAGGCTTAAGTCATAAAGAAAGTCGAACTCTTCGAACAACATCGTCATTAACATCTGGAGCTTTCTCTCACTCACTTTTAAATTTGACACAAGTATGAAAGAGTTTCACGAACATTTTGTAAAGTTGAGTTTAACAACGATGATCGTTTCTTTTTCAGGATTCTGGTCCACTTTATTTGCTAACGAATTGTGATCCCATTTTTGAAGAACTCGAAACCCACCAGGTCAGTGTGTCTATAAACGTGAATATATATAAAGTGAATTCTTTTCAAATCGTCTATGGTGTTGTTTCAACACTGTTCTTCTTATTGTTATTGTTGTTGTTGTGGTGTTTGTTTTTGTTGTCGTCATCGTCGTTGTTGTTGTTGTTCTTGCTGTTGTTTTTGCTGTTGTTGTTTTTGCTGTTGTTGTTTTTGTTGTTGTTTCTTGGATTGAGTGTATAACATCTTTATGATAAGAGGGTTCATTTTCCTGTAAATATCATGGGAAATTTAAAATGAGTTTTATGGCAATTTTAACCTCATAAGTATTTTCATAGACACAAGTTTTGATCATTATTCAGGCCTGAGAGCTTAAAAGGTTTTTCCTCAACCCATTAGTATGTTTTTTCTAAACATTTTTATTCATTTTTAAACTTTTGAATTTGGGAAAATTTAAAATTCCCATCGAATATATCAATCACGAAAGCTTACCAATTTACTTGCATGTACTCTATTAAGATTTCTGTCTCATATTAACCAACACCTGTTCGCATATTTCTTGTAAAGAATCCTCTCAAACATAGTCACCACATTTTTGTCAGGTTTCATTGCAATGTATGTTATGTGGAAGTTCAGCCAGCTCGTTCACTGATGAAATACAAAAGTGGCAAAAACAACTACAAACTATTGAAGCTGTATTATCCGTGTGGCTTGATGTTCAGGATAAATGGATGGAACTGGAAGATGTTAGTATGGTTTGAATTGACAACTTTATTCATGAGTACGTACGTCATTCTGTATACATTTTATTTCCTTTTACTACGTAGATATATGGTAGTTTTGAAGTTCGTATTACGTTGCCTCACGAAGCAAATGTGTTTGCTGCAGTGAACAGAGATTTTCGAGTGCTGATGAAAGTGACGGAAAGAAATTCTAACGTCTTGCAGAGTTGCTCAAGAGCAAGTGTGTTTTAATATCATGTTCTTTTTCATTTTTATTTGACTCAATCATTTCTTTGTTTGTGCTCACAAAATTGATTATTATGTTGGAATGCGTTAAAAATGAACAATCAACATTTCATAAATATATAAAATGTTGATTTTTTCATTGTTCATTGTTGTTAATTTTAATTAACCATTGGTTGATTTGCAAAAATATTGGATAGCTCTCTCAATGACGTAGGCGTATGAAAAAGGTTGTCATGTCTTTTCCTCAAAAATCTGCGTTTGTCGTCTTTAAATTGATAATCTATTTTTTAAGAGGATAAATGTATGCAGGCTTTGTGAAAGTAGCTCTAGAATGGTATAAAATGCTTGGAACAGCACATAGCCGTTTGGAATTTTATGAAAATTTAAAGTCTATAGTTTTTGTTCACTTTTACGTTTTTAATAATTTCACTGCAGATATCCAGGCAAAACTTGAAAAGATGCAAAGTAATTTGGAACAGTGTTGGAAATCACTTCTTGTTCTTTTGGAAAGAAGGCAGCAAAAATTTCCTAAGTTTTATTTTCTCTCTACAGAAGATGTTCTTCATGTTGTTTGTAATGGTAATTATTTATTTTCAATTTACCTAACTGACTTACTCGGCATTGGCATCTCCAACAAAGATTATTTATATAACAAATGTAGTACCTAAGTATTTATTATTGTGCTAACTGACTCACTCGGCATTGGCATCTCCAACAAAGATTTTTTATATAACAAATGTAGTACCTAAGTATTTATTATTGTGCTATTATCCTGTCCCTTTTAATCCCTATTTATTATTAGGTCATCATCCTGCTCTAGTTAATCCCTATCTATCCAAAATTATTGAGAACGTCAATCACCTTCAATATAAGACTGTTGTAAGAGATAATATGTCGGCGTTTCACGTTTTGGGTGTGGTCAGCAAAATGGAGGAGCATGTGGATTTTGCCGAGGTAAGTAATAAGTATTGGTTTCTTGCATGGTTAGTTGTTTATGTGATTATTTTCAATTTATTCCCAAGGCTATTGTATGCGACAGTACTATTGAGAACTGGCTTCTGGATGTCGAAAAATCACTTGTAGGAACACTGAGTACACAGGTAAAAAATATCATTGAAGGACTTGGCGAGACTTATTCAACTATATTGGACATCAATGATGGCAACATTGAAACATGGATTCTCGAAACTGCTTCCGATGTTGTTTCACTTGTTACGCATATTGATGTAAATTCAAGTGTTGAACAATGCTTCATGGAAAATGAACATGAACAAATGAAATCTATGAACGAACTATTGGAGAAAATCATTTGCACTATAACATCTGTAAGTCGTGTATTAAGGAAGAGTGGTGTTCCTTCTACCCCAAAATATGGTAAACCTCGTTCGACAAGAGGTGAACTAGATGATGAGGATCGGAAATCTGAATCTCGTTTTGAAGTGCCTGGTCAAACTTCCTACCACGACAAGTTATGTCTTCCTCATCAACGTCAAAAATTTGCAAATCTGATTGCGTTGTTTGTGCACACTCGTGATATCATTGGAATGCTTTTAAATTTATCAAATGAAGGTTGCAAATCATTACAACAAACGTTTGAATGGTCTTCTCAAGTGAAATATCATTATTCAAAGGGTGAAAATTCTGTTTCCGTTAAAGTGTTCAATGCTACATTTCAATATGGAATGGAGTTTCAAGGTTCTTGCCCAAGATTGGTCATAACGCCTGTTGCGGATAAATACTTTGTAAATTTAGCTCAAGCAGTCAAATCACATTTGGTGGGAACTTGTATTGGTCCTTCGGTAAGGTTTTACTTCTATTATACTTCATAATTCCTACTTAGAAAGTATTATTTGTACAATCATGCAGGTGCTATAACAATTTATTCAAGTTTTCTAGCCATTTAATGTAAAAAATATTCATCTATCAACATGAAAAATTGACCTCTAGGTAAAAGTAAAGATTTTTACCAAATGTGTTTACCATTCGTGAATATTCATTTAAAGCATATCTTTGTACCTATAAAAAGTTAAAGAATAATATTTCGCGCAAGGCCTTTCCTTGAAAGCAATTCAATTTTAAAAGAAATCAAGTAGGCACAACTGGATGTATGAGTAAACACCCCTCTCCCCCAATTCATGTTCTAGGGACGGCCCAGTTGAATTTATATAGATATATTTATGTTCAGTAAATTGCATATAACATAATGAGCAATAAATCTTTGTGATATATGTATATATAATCTCTATTTTCTCCTTAAGGGAGTTGGAAAGAACGAAACCATTCATGATTTTTCACGGGCTTGTGGTAAACCTTTCTATTTATTTTCTTGTGCTGCTTCAATGAATCAAGTGTTTTTAACAGGAGTTTTCAAAGGATTGGCTTTGACTGGTTAGTGTTGTCCATTGTTTGATTTTATTGATGGTTTTCACTAATTGTATAAGTGTGTAATACGCGTGTCTTAGTTTTATTGAAATGTAATTTTGTCATATAAAATACGCTTTCTCATCAAGTATGTATTCAACATAAATCTTTTTGACTTTTTGCACGAAGCGCTTTTTAATTTGAAATATTTTTTCAGGAGCATGGATATGCTTTCAAAAGATGAACGTCATGGAAAACAGCGTATTATCTTTCATGGTTCAGCTTATCCAAAGTGTTATGGATGGCTTGAAAGCAAAGAAATCTTCAGTTATTATTGGAAATGAAGATGTTGCTCTTACGCCGAGTGCCGCTTGCTTTGCTACCATAACTTCGTCTAGCTCAATTAATGATCCTTTAAGCCGTTCATTTGACTATTTTACATCGATGCCGTCGGATCTCGCTGAGTTACCAAGAGAACTTCTGCAAAGATTACGTGCCGTGTCATTCACTCGACCTGATAAACTTATTATGTGTGAAGTCTGTTTGATGGCAAACGGTTTTACAACTGCATCGCGTCTTTCCAAATTGATACTTCGACTTCAAGTTTTATGCGAAACATTTATTTCTTCCTACACTCTTTCAAACAATCAGATGGAGAATTTTCCATTACGTGTGGCAAAGGGCTTTAGTTGGAGTTCGGTATGTCTAAAGAAGATCATTAATGATGCGGCAAATCATTTATATGAGAACTGTTTTGAAGATAAAATACAATCTTCTGACGATATTAATGTTCTTGATGTTAAGAGTTCCATTGAAGATTCGCAAATTATTGATGAAGGTCTGTATTTACGTTTTTATACATTTGCAATTAGTTCGCTTCTCACTAAGATCAGGGAATTTTTTGCTTGTCCTCAATCTCGAGATCTCTATTCCGGCCAAAATACACGATGCCTTAATTATCCTGTTGCTTTCATTGATGTGTTTTTTCAGTGGTGTAACTAGACTCGATAGTTTGGGGAGGAGGCTCAACATTCATACGTATAACAGACAACAATTGATTACAAAAGAACTTAATTTGCCATAGTTTAGGAGTATTTTGTCTCTACTGATACTCACGAGTTGTGTTGTTACGTATGTTCAATCTGTAGTTTCAAAATAGACAATTGTACTTTGGCTATTTGGCATTGTTTAAATTGTTCAAAATACAGAGCAATTACTTTGATATTTACCATCAACATATTTTCTTGTTGTTTATAATACAGATTTATTGCACACGGAAGATATTACTGCAACAGAAATTGAAATGGAAACAAAAAGCCAAAACACCGCAGAAATTGGAAAGGAAATTGAGAATAATTGTAAATACTCTGCTGAGACTCTGGAGGAGCTTGCACTTTTGAAAGCTATTAGAGATACCTTTGTTCCAGGATTATCTACATCAAATGCTGATATTTTTGCCAGTTTCATGGCTGACATAAGTCAGTATGCAGACACTGTTGGAGTAATTGATGATTATACTGTACCAAGCGAAACTAGTGATTCAAGCAAGACAGACATGACTTCGCTAAAACCAGCTGAACTACAAAAACCACTTGAAGGAAGTAGGTACTTTACATCAGCATGCATGTAGTTTTTTTCCAGTTTTTACTGTCGTCTTTCTTGTAAAGTCACTGAATCTTATTATAAGTGTTTATTTCACTTACTAAAACCTTAATTGTTTTTTCCAACTGCCCATTTTAGTTGATGGAAATGAAAGTTTTGCTGTCATTGCTGCATTAAAAGCACTTGGCTTACAACGTGGTAAATTATTTGAAAATCGAGTCATCCAGTTATTACAACTTGTTGCTGCACACAAAACAGTACGTTACGAAGTGTTTATTATCTGGCAATATGTCGTATGTTTTCTATCTTTATTCCATTTTGTTCACTTTTTTGTGTCAAGGTTATGGTGATTGGACCATGCGGTTGTGGTAAAACAGAATGCATAAAATCTGTAGCTGCAGCTCATAGACAAATGGGTAGAATTGTTCGAAAAGACATCGTATGTACGGGGGCACTTGAATCGTTTGAACTTATGGGTTGTTGCGATGTGGTGACTGGGTAAGATGTCAAACATATGATGGTTTTTATTACATTGTGAAAACACTCGATCTCTCTGCTCACATTTGAAAATGTACATCCTAAGAATAGAATTACTGTTGCTACCTAATATTTGTGTCTTTTGTAGTGAGTGGAAAGATGGCTTTTTACCACGACTACTTCGAAAACATTCGCAACAAATGAGGACGAGTGAACTGTTTTCTCAAATGAAACCAACACCTTTCGCTCAGTGGATTCATTTGGACGGCATTGTATGTTTTGTGAACATATAATTATTTGAACTAATTTATATTGAATTGTGGCTACAATGTGCAGTATACAAAGAAAAAGATCGAAAGGTTTGATATATCATGTTGAACTGGAATTCTCTTTTGAATTTTGTCAGATTGACTCGATTGAGGGAGAAGCTTTTGATGTGATGATACACAACAATGGAACTGTTGTTTTTCAAAGTGGTGAAAGAATTGGAATACCCGAAAATCTTAAGATCATATGGGAGGTGAATCCTTTATTTGTTGTTGTGTGTATAGTTACAACACGAAACTATTTGATAATATACAACATGATAACGTAATATTTCTATTTAGATTGAGCTTTTTTAATGTATTTTGGTCATTCTTGTTATCATGCTTTCATTTGCTTTTTACATAAATTGTTCTTATATGAAGTTCAAACAATCATTTTTAATGTTTCTTAACACATATAGGTTGAAAACTTGCAACATGTGAGTCCTTCAACAGTTTGTCAAGTTGGTCTCCTTAGTATGACCAAAGAAGATGTTACTTGGCACATGTTAGTCAAGAAATGGATCAATAAAAAACCTGATCGTGAAGCAGAATTGCTTGATTTGTTATGTGAGCGTTACATTAGACCAACATTGGAATTTTTAACAGCTAGTACGTCTGTGCCTCCTAAACCTGGTGCAGCTCTTACGAGAGCTAAATATAAACCGTTACAACATGTCGTATGGACTACAGAAATTACTATGACAGAAACTTTGATTGCTCTCTTTGAGGTATGCTTTGTCTGTCAACCGAGACTCTCGTTGCCTTCATTGAGGCATGCTTTGTCGATAGACTACATGAATTACGCATGATTACAACACTATGGACTCATACCCAGGTTACATAGCGTTTAAACGAACTTTCATAACGATTGTTATTGATGAGCACCATTTCTTGCCAATATCATTTTAAAAATATTACAGGCTTCAGTCTCCCATTTTAAAGATTTGACGCCCGTAGAATACGAAAACTACTTCAACTTTGCTGCAATATGGGCTTTTGGTGGTACGTTGATTGAAAGTCACCGCATTTATTTCAGTAAATGGTGGAAAAATCAATGGAAGGATTTCATTACATTTCCTGAAAACAGAGAGGTACATGTTTAGAATTAATTTATTACTCCCTTAGATCACGTAGCTCTTTGCTTCTACTCCATCTTGATGTATCTATTGATACCAAAGGATGCGATCGATAAATTATGCTGTTGTTTTAATTCCAGGTTTGGGATTACTTTGTCTCTACTGATACCCACGAGTTTTCGTTGTGGAGCGATTTTTTGCAACAATACACAATGTCAAATGGAGAAGGGATACCACCAGATGCGTATGTACACACTGTTGGTACAGAGGTAGTTATAATTTATTACATCCTTGCACACATTTTAAAAAAATTCACAATGCATTACGTTCCACACTAAAACGTACGCCGATTCTCGAAAACTGCTGATGTTTAGATGTGTATTTAAAATAGCAACATTTTTCGTTTGATCAGGGATTTTTCCACGTTGCAAGTCTTCTGTGTGAAGCAGGACAACCAGTGATGCTTATTGGTGAACAAGGTTGTGGTAAAACCTCAATTGTTCGTGAAAAGTTGTATAATCAAGATAGCGATGTTGCAGAGTTTTATGCTTTAAGTGTTTACTGCAATCAATTCACTTCATCAAGAACGCTATGGCGAAGTATTAATGATTGTTTGGAATGGAAACATGGAAGAACATATGTACCGAAAGGAAATAAAAAGTTGATCTGTTTGGTGGATGATCTGAATCTTAGCAAGGTATATAATAAATTGCGCCACTTCAGTGGACGATCAATAATTATAGCTAAAGCTTCCCACAAAAGCGTTGTCACTGTAATCGTTACTTTCCAAACAAAAACACACATTTCAATAAAATCAAACTCCGGTATATATTTATTTTATGTTTGCTTTCTTAGACAAATAATTACGGTGTTCAATCATCTACCGAACTTATCCGACATTTGCTTGATCATCACGGTGTTTTTGATCCAGAAACTCAACAATGGCGGGAAATCCAAGATGTGACATATATTACTACTTACAATCCTCATATATCAACCACCGTATCTAAGATTGGACATCGTTTACTTAGGCATTTCTCGCTGTTTAATGTTCCCTATCCTAGGTACGTATCGTCTTTGGTATTGGATCAAAATCATATTATTTTTTAAGATTGTATAAGATCAATCATATAACTTATGAAAATATTTTTTACTATGATGTTTTTGTACCAAAAGAGTATAGTTCTCCGATCACTAATTTATTCTCATATTTCAGTGTGGATACTCTTAGAAATATTTATTACAATTTGTTGAGGACTCATTTTTATGAGTGTCGACAACTGTCATCAATGGCCAGCGTTGCTAAAGTTGTCATGGATACAGTTGATTCCAGTTTTAATGATGTTACCATACCAAATACACTAACCAATGGAAAAAAAAAATTTAAAGAACTACTGTCCACAGTTGTTCGTGCTACGATTGAACTACAAAATGAACTACGTGTTATGTATTTGCCAACAGCTCAAAGATGTCATTATATATTCACAATGACCGACTTAACTATGCTTTTCAGGTAAAGGAGTCACACAAACTGTTACAAATTTCTTTAAACCATGCACATATATTGATATTTTCTTGAGCTTTTGTAATTTATTTTGACATACGCCATATGTGTTCATCTTTTTTGTATATTTTTGTCCTGCACGTTTCCGTAAACGTTACGTGAAGACAAAAACTCCAATTATTCTGTGTCTTTTTGACAACTAAGCTCTCTATATAGGCATCAATACTTGACTAAAAAAGATCTCTTAGTACAGTGGTTGGATTTGTGCCCTGGTTATGTGCTATATTTCCCTGAAACGACCTCTGTTTGGTGAATATTCAAAAATTATTCTGCTGTGAGCCTGGAAGCGAAATCCTTTGTTCCATGTGATATTTAAATTATTATTATTTGTAGGAACCTGTGCCTATCTCTACGACAAGGTTGCTCTGTAAGCGATCTCTTGTTACTATGGCGACACGAATGTGATTGGATATACAACAGACGACTTGTTGATTTTGTTGATCGGGAGCGTTATCGACAAACGTTTTTGAATTCTGTGAAAAAAGAATTTTCTTCCGTTGAACAGGTGTGGCTATAGAGATCCTATTTTATTCATCATGAAAAAGTCCTAGTGGACTTTAATGACACATAAAAATATTTAATGACGAACTGAATAATTGAAAAATGTTGAATAAATGTTGAGTCCAATGCTTTTTTAGATTGATATCTTGTTAAGTAAAAGTGTGATGTTTACTAATTTGGTTGAAGCTGAAGATAACATAGTTCCAGCAACTGGGGAGAGCACGATGGAGACTTCTGATGAAAATGTTCAGTTGATGTATCGTCCACTTTATAACGTTGCAAAGGTTCAATGTTGGGCGTGATCTCCCTAAGTTTGAATTTTACAAATAGTCGTCTATATGAATATATTCATACGAGTTCCACAAGAATATTGTTCTTTGTTTTTAGGTGAAACAAATTCTTTCCCATGCTATTTTGGAGTACAATAAAGACTTTCCTAAGATCAAGCTCAACTTGGACCAAGTAAGTTGAAGTATTCGGTCTTGTATTTGTGATTCTAATTGTTAATGTTACATGCCTATGCTGCTGTAAATATTCTATACATTTTGTAATTCGTTCCTATTACACTCGATCAAGAGAGATTAAGTCGCTCGATCCGTAGAACAAATCATTTGTGAATTTGATAGGTTTAAAAAATATGTTGTCAATTTTAACATTTTACTGTTCTAGGATTTGATTGAGGCAATTTGTCGTCTTGTTCGCGTTGTTCAATCGCCTCATGGCTGTAGCAATGCTTTACTTGCATCGGAAGGCTCTCCCGGTGATATGTTAGGCATGGTAAAACTGACTGGATATCTCTGTGGATTTTCAATGTGCCAACTTAATGTGTCCAGTTTCAATGGATCGCAATATACAATCTCGAACTTTAGAAATGACCTTGTTAGTGTTTACCGGAGAGCAGGTGTAAAGGTAATATCACTCTTTGTTATAAACTTGACCTTGTGAACAGTTTATTTGTATGTTATAATTGTCATATCATGAGAATTGTTTCATTAAAATGTGATATTCTATGACTTGCTGAAATATTTTGTAAATGTTCTTGAATATGAGTTCTTAGTAGTTCTAATTCCACTTTAGCGAGAAAAGATTCTTCTTTTGTTTAATGAAAGCGATATTGTAAACAAAGATATGATGGTGTACATAAGTGAATTTCTCGTATCCTCGTCTATTGCTCATTTGTTTTCGGAAGAAGAGCGAACGTCCGCCATTAATTCTGTACGATCAGATGTCACACAAGCTGGCCTGGCATATAGTAAAGATGTAGCTTGGAAATTCTTTTTAAGGTAATAATATTTCAACTTATTGCGAAGTTATTATTTTATTCTCACTGTTTAAAATATTTACCAAAGAAAAATATACTTAACCAGAAACTTGTTGAAAAATATATGTTGGTATAGTCCGAATTGCTCAATTTGTATAGGTAATATCATGGTTTCGAGTGCAATTTGGGAAAAACATGCACGAGTGAGTTTTTCAAAGACTATCAAAATTGCACGAGTCCGAAGGACGAGAATTTCACTTTATTTCTTTTTTTTTGCACTGTGTTTCACATTTTTGCACTGGTATTCAAGATAAGTTGCACTGCTCTTAACCAATGAGAATTGAGAAATTTTTCATCTATGTTATTAATTAGTGAACAGCAGGAACAGCATAATAGAGGAGTAAAATCATTCCAATCACATGCATTTAAACTCATAAAAACATGTCACTGTATGGAAATGTCTTTATTCATAACTTTCAATTATAGAGCGGTAAAAGAAAACCTTCGAGTTGTTCTTTCTGTGTCATCGTCGGCTTCAAAGTTTCAACAACAATGTCGCGATTTTCCTGGCTTAACAAACTGTATTTCTATTATGTTTTTCCCTCATTGGTCGAGAGAAAATCTTATTTTGCGGGCAAGTGAGCTTTTGCAGGGTATGTACTGCATAGTCGAACATCTTGAATTTAGATTCGTATTACAAGTGTGTATTATGTAATTTTTAACCTTGTTTATAGCCGTAAGATTTTCTATTAATTTTTTAATACAATCTATAAATCCGATATTTTCTTTCTGCCATAGATATTGATCTTTTTGACGTTGTCGGCAAAGAGAATATGGCTCACCTTCTTGCTTCAATTCATTTATGCCTTCGTGAAAATGATCCAAGTGAAAATTCCGGTGGAAGTTTTGGCCACATCACTAATACAACATATAAAAAGTTTGTTGAGCGGTAATGAGAAAGTTTTTTGTGCATTTGTTTTATTGTTTATTTTCATTTCACATGATAAACATTGTGATTTATGATAAACAACGTTGTCGTCAAAATGTACATTTAAATTTTAGATTTAACAGTTTGTTTAAAAAACGCTATCTTTCTATACACGAGGAATACGAACGCACTACCTCTGCTTTGCAAAACGTATCCGAGGCAGCGGAACTTGCTGGTCAGCGTTTAATGCAACTGGAACACGAGAAAATTGTTTTGGAGCAGAAAAAAGAGGTGCGTGCCTTACTTGCCTCACGTCATTGCATGCTATCTTTAAATTTGAACTATCAGAGTTCCTGAAAATGGATTTTGTATTTTAATTACATCTTGTGATCTTTTTATTTCAGAGCAATATGCAACTTCTGTCACAAATTGGTCAGGTTGGTATCAATTTAAAATCACAATATTTAACTAAAACTGTGCGACATTAATGATTGTTTGAGAAATTAGATACTATGTTTTCATTTTGTCATATAGGATAAAGCTATTGCCGAGGAACAAATAAAATTGATTTCGCGACAACGTCTGAAGATTTTACACTTGCAAAAGGTAAAAAAATTTAATGGCATGAGACTAAATGTCGATATTAAAATGTCAAGTATTATAACTGTATTCAATGAAATGTTTTCTACACGTTTAATTCATATTCAAAAATAATCATCTTGTTTTTTAGGCTCTACCTAAGTTTAAAGACGCCCATGAGCGAGCAATTTTCAAAGCAGCCGCAGTTGTGTCTGATGTAAAACGAATGTTAAATTTGCTGGATAGTAAGGCGCTCAATGAGTTACGTGTGATACAGAAACCTGATCCAGAAATTGAAGATATTTTTGCGACTGTTATCATTATATGTAAGTTTAATGTTGTGTTTCATGAACATCATCAAAGTTTCATTACAAAAGAAATAGTTATTTTGTTAGTACCATTAAACTGAAGGAAAAATGCCCATGTGACAAAAAAGATTATAGCGTATTAATTTTGAAAGTAGCATCAGTTTATTAATCTTTACAAAGAGTTTACATCTTCAAACTTGATATGCTGATAAATTGTGTACTTGCGTATTGCCATTTTTAGTAGTACAACGCTCATTTTTTTTGTATCTCCTTCTATACTAGGGAACGTGAATGTTTTCATATAGCTGATTACAATTGGGGCCTTAATAAAGATAATGAATAGTTGCATTGTTCAAAAGAAGCTTTAAATGTATGATATTCTCTTTAGTAAGGTCTCCCTCTTCTGACCTAACATGGAATAAAGGGGCGAAAAGAATTATGGCAAATCTGGACAGGTTTGTATACAGAATTTGAAATCAGTTACCAAAATTTCGTTCTAAAAATATTCACTAATTTAGATTTCGTGATGATCTTGCCAGTTTTGATGACATGGATATCAGTGAAAATACTTTACAAATTTTGGATACATATTTGGGCAAGCCTCATTTTGATCATTTGATGATCACCAAAAAATTTGATAACCCTGCTTTGGCCATTCTTGTCAAGTGGGTTTCTGGTGTTGTGAAGTAAGTTAACGGGTGTGATTATGCTACATGTAAACGATAATTTCCAAGGTTTAAAAAAGCCTTGTAAATTCAAAATACGATTTGCATACAAATAGTATACGCCATATTTGTATATCTATACAGAATACTATATAAGCCATTCAGATGTAAAAGCTAGAAAATACTAATTCCAATAATCCAACACAGTTGTTATCGAAAATCTTACCAAATGAAACGATTTTTTACGGCATTTTTCACGAAAGCTTTAAAAAGTCCATTATGATGAAAGTAGACGATCATTTATTTAATCATGCAAAAAATAATCCAACGTGAATAATTATTTACCTCATTATCCACGTTTTATATAACGCATCTTTATCCACTGGATAGTGATGTACTGGTAAGTGGAAAAGAGATTTTTTCTATAGATAAGACCTACCTGTTGGATGATTTATCTTTCCTTGGTGATTTTTACTGTGGTGGTTATTACCCTGGTGTTTTGTTACTGTGGTGGTTATTACCTTGGTGTTCTTGCTCTTATGATTTATATCTTTGTGATTTAGTACCGTGTTAATGTGTTATCCTGAGTACTTATCACTGTGTCGATATTTTTTTCAGATATCATCAGATGATATTTATCAAAGTAAAGCCACTTCACAACAAAGTCGAGGAGACGAACAAAACAATAAATGAAGTTTCAAACAAAATTTCAATGTTGGAAAATAAGCTGCAAGATCTCCAAACAAGACTTGACTCTTTAGCTAAGGCATACGAAGAAGCTTGTATTGATAAATGTCGGCAAAACAAACTCACCGAGAAATTGAACAAACAACTGGAGCGCGCTAGCTATTTTGAACAGGTTTTTATGATGCTTATTTATTTAGCTGAAGATGGCTCCCTGCAGTTTAGCTACCATATTGAGAATATAAAAAAGCCTTATAATGTCAGCAGTTCCTACTTTTGAGATTGGTTGTTACATTTATCATCTGAGAAATACTAAAACTCATACTTTTTTTATTTCGCTCTCCAAATGGAGATGAACTACATGGAGCCGCCTTAACTACCATCCCTCATTTTGCGTTTTGATTGTTTCTGCATGTGTATTTATTCGTTCATTTTATTCTCTTTATAATTTAGGTATTGGCTAAAGCAAGAAATAAGTGGACTCGATTTCTTGAAACTATTACAAACAGAGAAGCAGCTATATCTGGTATAGTGTGTATGGCTGCAGCTTTTGCTACGTATCTTGGACCTTTCTCTTACTCATTCAGACGTAAAATGCTCACTAATTATTGGCCAAAATGTTTACGAGAGCGTGGTGTTGCACTGCTATTGGATGATTCACCAGACGTTTTAATGGCTACAAACTCTGAACAAAAACTTGTGGAAAAAGAATCTGAAGTGGGTTGATAAATAGTTTATGATTATTTCATCAGTATTCAAACATTAAGTAGAAAGGTCATAAAGTAGCTATTTTAGGTTCTTCAACTTACTATGAATTTCCCATACAGAAATACAGAGATGTGATTTATTTATGTATGAAAACATTTTTAGTTTGTTAAAATGGACAAGCAGAAACATGCATCAGATGTGGGTGTTGACAATAAAAAAAATGAAATAGGCCTAGAAAATGGACGTGAAAAAGATGATATGTTGATTCAAAAAGTGGATTTAGTTGCTGTTGATGATTCATTTGAAATAAATAAAGATAAAGAAAAAGACGACAAGGAGTCATCGAGAGCGAATTGTAATGATGATGCCATGATAAGTGTTAAGGAAAAAACGCAGCAAACATCAAATGAATTTGTGTCATTGGACTCCAAGTATGATGCATATCTTTTATCGTTGATAAAAAATCTTGTTGGTGGAGAAAAAGTTCGCGAATGGTTGATTGCTGGTCTTGGATTACGTGAAATGGAAGATGTTAGTATAAGTGCGTCATCTTGGCAAGGACCACCTTTTCTTATTGATCCGCACGCCAGAGGTTTAAAACTAATACGACAGATGGAAAATAACGATAAAGTTGTTGAAATAGACGCAAACGATGGGTAAGTTTCATTTATTGTTGAAACATGGAACGCTCAAAAACTACATAGCATGCGTTTTACTGCGTTTAATATTTTGTCAAGCGTGGCATAAAATATAAATCCCAGAACCTAAGGTATGGTTACAACTCAAAATTTTTATTATTACGAGAAATACACATTTTTCTTTTAGCGATGTTGGAATATCGATGCAAGTTGAGAAAGCTATAACTTGTGGCAATGTACTGGTTTTATATAATATCAATGAAAGTGTAGATTCACTTTTTCTTCCTTTAATATATCGCCTAAATACCAATACTGATGATGACAATTGTGATGGTAAGAAATTATTTTTATAAAATTCTCTAGAAATTTGTTCTTGCATATCGTGATGACATTCGTTATTAGCTAATTGTCGCGTTTGATTTGATCTCCTTATAAGATTGTGTTGTGCATATTTCTGAATGTTTTTGTTTTGGTGATTTTTTCCTAAATTAAAATGGCCAGTATATAAAATATTTTATTTGATCATGTAAGATCTGGTATATTTATTATTTCCTATTTTTCCAGGTTTACAGACAGTCAATTATGGTGGTCGTCGTCTCAGTTTTCATCCAAATTTCAAACTTTATCTATTGACTAACTTGCATGAAATAAACTTCTCGCCGGAAATAGCTTCTATCACCACTCTGGTCAACTTTTCCCTGGAACACGAAAGTTTGGCTGAAGAGATCTTGAATCGCTCGTTGTTGCGTGTTCAACCAGAAATTTCACAGGATAACAAGAAAACAATAAATGCCTTGATGGAAAACATTGTTATTCTTGAAGAATTGGATAGTAAAATATTAACAAAGCTTAGCGTCTGTCAAGGAACTAATGCTTGGGATGACACTCAACTCATTGCTGATATGGTTCAATGTAGATCACAGGTGTGTTTTACGATTATTTTTTGCGTGTAAGCTTTGAAAAAAAGCCTTTAGGGCAGTTGCTCTTCACAATTTTGGAAAATTTTTCGTCTACATATCACATGATTAATATATAGGCTTGAGTGGTTCCATGTATCACAAAAACCTGGTGATATGAGTGAGATTTAATAATTGATTTCACAATGATTTCCAATATAATACTGCAAAAAATTCTTGTAAATGCAACTGAAATATTTTACAAGATTATGTTGTAAGAAACAACAGTTTTGTTTGATGATAAAGGTTTCATTAAATCGTGATGGAAGTTGTTTTTATTGTTTTATAAATTTTTTAGATTACGAAAAGGCTTGAAGATGAACTGTTTCATCTTGATAAACTTGGTCACATAAAACGAAGATATGAACCTATTTGTCAACTTGCTGTTCTTCTGTTTGACACAATCAACTCTTTATCAGCGATTCAGCACGAATATCGTTTTTCTATCGATTATTTTTTAAACATTTTTGATATTGCTTTAAATGAGGTTATTCCTCTAAGTGATGTCATACAGCATGATATGGTAGAGAAGAAAACAGGTGATACAACATCAAGAGAAATAATGATTCAGGTTTTTGATGAAGAAGGAAACGCTTCTATGCGCAAATGGTTTGAAGGTACGAATTATGTTCAATTTTGAAATGTGAATTTAAATTGTCTAGTGATGCAGTTTTGTAATTTACATTTTTTTTGAGTTTGATCTGTTTAGCTTCTTTTTGTTGAATCAACATTAAATTATTTACTTTATCTTTTTAATAGATGATAAACACGGCTTAAATAGTGAAGTTCAGCATGTTTCTGTGATCCTTCCACATGAAATGAAATTTCCTACCCCTGGTGTTGCATATGAAACCATATCTGATGACGTAATAAAACAAATTGCTGATAAATTAATGAAGGGTGTTTTTGAAAGTTCGTTTAGGTATTAGTTGGTCTTATCAGAGGCGTAGAAAACTCGATAATTTGGGAAAGGGGGGCAAATTTATACATGCATATTGTAATTCGCAGCAAGCAATGCATTTCAGAAGAACTTTACACGGCAGAACATGAATATATGGATATGTGCCCCCCCTGAATTATCAAGTTTTCTACACCACCATGTGTTATTACTACATTTTAATTATAAATTAATTGTATATGTAAACAGACATATTTTTACGGTTTCTCTAGAAGCATATACAGTCACCATCGCGTAAGTTTTGGAGCTTTGTTATCTTCTGTTATTCATCAACATATTTCCTACAACGATGCTTTTGATAAGCTCACGGAAGTCCTCATCACTGGAAGTAAATATAAATGTGTCCAAATTGTTGTTTTTATTGTAATTTCTTTTATTTTACAACATATTATGTTAATATCTTTAGACTTAGTCGGGACAGAGCATCTTAAGTTGGCAGATTTTGATCCAACCCTTCTTACACCTTCTTGGGTCCCAATTGACCGCTGGCAAAGTATACTTAGTCTTTCGACTCTTCCGGGTCCTCTCGAGCAAATATGTACAACGATTGTGAGTGATCCTAAATGGCAGGAATGGTATCATGATGATGAACCTGAAAAACTAAAATTACCTGGACTTGGTGAAGTTTTGGAGAATACAACCAGTGAAGCTTTAAACACAGCCACAGATTTTCATAGTTTATTAGTGCTACGTTGTCTTCGTCCTGACCGACTTGTTTCAGCGACAAAGAAATACGTTGAAGGAATTCTAAACAACTTACATGCACAAATTAATGCGACGTTTCCTGACATTTTGAAGCAAATTGAACACTGTATTCCAATCCTGATTCTGTTGCCAAACAACTCTCTTTGCGATATTTCTACATGTTCACCGACAGAAATGTTATTTAAGTTCGCTGAAGTAACTACATAATCTTATTATCACATTTATTCCATTGATAGATGAATCTCTATGAAAAAAAGATTGTTTATTTCTAACGTTATAATTTTGCAGAAAGAAAATATTCCTTGTCAACATGTGGTAGTCGCTAGTGGTCATGAAAACATCACTGACATTGCGTTAGCTGCAGCTGTTCGCTCTGACAGTTGGATTATTATTGAAAACATTCATTGTGGGACTTCATCCTGGTTAAATCTGTTATATAGCCGGTTAGAAAGATTGCGTTCTCAAACAGGTAACGATCTTAGTTCATTTCTCTTGCCCATATAAATGTTTGAGCGACGAGTTAAGACACATCTATATGAAACCCATCTCACTTTATGACTTTTTCATGTATAAATTATAAATTACTAACAGGTAAGTCAACCAAGAACCTTATAATTAATTTGTTTTCATTTAGGAACTATGTCTTCTCCGAGCCAATGGCGAGTTTTTCTTACGGCAAAACCAAGTCAATCACTCCCCAAATCCTTGCTTTACCTTGCCCACTCCATTGCTTGGGATCTACTTCAAATAGATGCAAGTGAAGTTCGCATTAACTCAATTGATGATTCTTTCAACGTGAATTTAATTTCCTTCTTAACAACTGCTCTTAATGTAAGTGTTTGATGTGTCGTTGATGTTGTTGATGTGTTTGATGTTTTTGATATGTTTGATGTTGTTCATATCTTTGATATCGTAGTTATAGATATACATTATTCACCATAACCATATCTTCATATGACGTCGTTGATATAAACTATTCACCATGACCATATCTTCATATAGCGTCGTTGATATAAACTACTCACCATAACCATATCTTCATATGACGTCGTTGATATAAACTACTCACCATAACCATATCTTCATATGACGTCGTTGATATAAACTATTCACCATGACCATATCTTCATATAGCGTCGTTGATATAAACTACTCACCGTAACCATATCTTACTGTGACGTCTTAGACATAATCTTCTCACCATAACCATATCTTCATATGACGTCGTTGATATAAACTATTCACCATAACCATATCTTCATATGACGTCGTTGATATAAACTACTCACCATAACCATATCTTCATATGACGTCGTTGATATAAACTACTCACCATAACCATATCTTCACATAACGTCGTTGATATAAACTACTCACCATAACCATATCTTCATATAACGTCGTTGATATAAACTACTCACCATAACCATATCTTCACATAACGTCGTTGATATAAACTACTCACCATAACCATATCTTCATATAACGTCATTGATATAAACTACTCACCGTAACCATATCTTACTGTGACGTCTTAGACATAATCTTCTCACCATAAACATATCTTCATTTGGTTTCTTTGATGTACAAATCAAAGACATGTGCTCATATATATTCATTTTTATATTTAGAATATATCCATGGCAACATGGGATGGGTTAAAGCGTTTGTCTCTTTTTTTTCGAACGGCAGTTTTTCGTTTGTGTATATTTCATGGCATCTTATGTATGAGACAAAAGTTCGGCACTCGAGCGATGGTAAAGGAGTATGAGTTTGGTCTCTATGATTTAGAGCAAGCCATTCAACTCTGTATACAGCTATGTGATGATGAGAATATTGAAAGCCCCGCCATTATAACAAGGCACTGCTGTTCTGTTGCTCATGTAAGTTTGATGGATGTTAGTTACAATAGAAATTTTTAATGTCATTGTTGATTTACTTTACTTCATCATGGGAAAAATCGCAGAAAACATTTGCCTTTTTCATTTTTCCCGTGAGTGTAAAAATATGAAAATCAATTAAGTTATTCAACTTTTCACTAAATCTTTAACTCAAAAATTGAAGAAATGCCATAATCTGATGAATATGCTAGTGATGGATTTCTTTTTGTAGATAATTTATGGCGGTAAAATGTGTGAGCCACAAGACAGTGACTACATGAAGTTATTGCTGCAGCAGATATTTTCAGCAGAAACTTCTGAGTCGTCGTTTAGTATAAAAGGAATGACTTTTCCATTACCACCAATGAATGTCGAACCTTCTGAATATGGTCAGTGGTTGAAGGAAAAATTACAGATTGATCATATTAAAGTTGACCTTTCTATGAATGCCGTTTGGCCTGAGGCTTGTGTGAAAAGGGAAAGAGATGAATATAGGTATTTTGATCTCGGTTCCATGTCACTTTATGTGTAAATTAATTAAAAATTTCTTCTGGTATGCAGCAAAGAGCAATTTTATTTATTGTGTTCGTCATCAATACTAAAAAAATAATGCTCAAATTTTCCATTTGGATTTTTAAATGTGAATCTTTTAAAAAAATAAAGTAAACATTTTTTTTACTTTCCAGTGCTGAAGTAGTTTTGAAAGATCTTGGCTTATTAAAGTCTAGTTTTTATAACCTGCACAAGCATGAAGATATAAACAGAACAGCTTTTCATCGTAATCTTGAAATGTGTTTGGAAAACTTACCAACTCTACTTAACTTTGAATCATGGAAGAAGGATTTGGATATTTGCCTGAAAGCATCAGTTATGTCTGGATTACGTGCTTTATCTACGATCTCAGACACAATATCTGTTGCTTCAAGTCTCGACAAGACTCTTCCTAAAACATTGACTCATGCCATGTTGCAGGTAAGTTGCTGTGTGATGTACATTTAAATGCAGGTTGTCAGGAGAGTTTTATACAATTTTAGTCAACTTGGAACGTGAAACTGAATTTTTTGAATGGCTTTTGTAGAAGGACTTTCATTTTTCTGCATTTGATTTGTACAATATGAAATAGATAACTCATTTTGTTTGAGTTGGAGTCAGAACTTGGGCAGTGGGAAGGCAAAAATTTCCTTTGCAATCATACTTTACGAAAGTTTATTTCCAATTTTATAAATATTTCTGATGACTTTGTAATTTTTTTCTTTTGTATTGAGATAAACTTTAAACATCCTTTATTACCTATGCTTTTTACAAGTTCATCTTATTCCAAGGTTTTATACAATATTTATTTGAGGAATGTGAATGGTTTAATGCGATTCTTTGTGACATTCGTCAATCGTTGCATACTTTGGAGGAGTGTATTTTACAAGGAGTACATGCTCTGTCTTATTCACTGAAAGAAATCGTCTACCCACTTCAACGTGGCTTAGTACCATGGAAATGGTTACATAAAAGTTGGCAACCTACTGTACGTCCACTGGATTCTTGGCTAGAGGGTACAAAATTTTACAATATTATAATTTTTATAAAATCCAGCATTATATACATGTAAAGAAAGCTTACTATATCTTCGTAAAATAAACGTACCATTACTGGCAGACATTATCTAATGATTCCGAATAAATCATTTGTTAAATGTTTATGGTTGATTTATAGAGTTTCGATTATGTCATAAGCAACGAGAAACATGGCTTGCTTCTCTTATTTCACCGAACGAGGGAGAGGAATTTGCATTTAAATATGAAGCTTTTGATAAATTGTGGCTTGCTGGGCTTGTAAATCCTAAAGCATTTATTTACTCTTTGAAACATGAAAAAGCTGTAAGTTACGGATGTTCAATTGATGATGTAAGTATACATTCTTTTCTCATTATTACATATGTTTCAATTTTGGTTGTTTAAATGTATTTGAAAACTTCTGTTGAATTACAGTGACGTCTTTGTACTCATTCTCGTTGTACATACAGATACAACACGAGAAGTACTGTATTATACATATATACACACACATGTATACGCATAATACGAGAAATAATTGATATTTTCGGTTTAAGAACGAACGACGATTTTACTAAGAAATGAAACTTATTATTCAGTGACTGAGACAATTATTAGCTTTTGGGAACTTCTGTCTTTTTTTGTTAGCTCAGGAATTTTTTGAAATTATTTCATTAGTGTAAACTCTTACGTAGTGTTTGTCTTATAATTTTGTTCAATTAAGATAACTTTAGTTTGTGATGTTGGAAAGGATCCTGCTAGCGGTGATGAAAATGAAGACGAATCTATTGTTTTAACGGGTCTCTATCTTGAAGGTGCACAATGGAAAATAAATGAAGGGATCGTACCATGGAGGTATTATGTCAGTTATTGTAATTAGAGTCTTTCTTATGTTTGGAGTAAAGCTGTAATGAAACGGGAAAGTGGAAGCAAAAGTTAAATTTTTATCCTTTAAAACGTTTTGTAAATATTTCGTTAACTCTTCACTTCCGGTTTGTAAACATATTCGCTGCAAAGCATGACCCGGAGACTCATTCATCCTCAGATTGGAGAGCTCAAAAATTATGCATGTGGTGGATGCTTATTCAAGTTATTTGTCTGAAAGTTGTTGATATATATGTTAATTTCAATTACCTTCTTAGTACACCGTTATTCAAAATGTTTGATATACACGTGAAAGCAATTCATATTCGTAACAGAGAGGCTGAGATCGGAAATATTTATAACTGTCCAGTTTATCGGAATAGGGTAAGTTCTTCAGTGTCATGACCATTTGCTTTGAATTATGAATGTGTTTTGATTAAGGCAAGGTTTAGGTTTAAGTTTTAGGGTTAGGTTTAGGTTTTAGTATTGGGATTGAGTGATCAAGCTCGCACTTGAAACGGAAATATTCACAAAATTTCGAGAACAAATTTTTCCAAGTTGTCTTTTTTTATCTTTCAGTCTCGTCGATTTAGTCCTTTCAAACTCCCTCTAAAATGTCATGGATCGCCTGAAGACTTGCTTTACCGAGGAGTTGCTCTTATTATTGATACTGGTGAAATCTTCAATTCTTGGAAATTACAAAGATTCGTGACGAAATGAATATCGTCTTATCCATTTGTACATTTTGTAAGTTTATATAAAATTTGTTTATGCATCAATTTTATTGTTTTTATTTATATTTTTATAGTTGTGACACTTCTTTCGTAAAGTCATTACAAAAGTTATAACGTTTATTTTTATTGCATTAATGTTTGGAAATTGTTTTGTATTCATATCGTTTTTTACTTTAAAGTTTTATGGAAACTTTGGGATGACAAATAGTGTAAACCTTACGGGTGGTGTTCCTAAATGCATGTTTTAGCTTTTATCAATTTGAGCGATACAAGTCACTTGGATTATCTAGAAGCATATGGAATTTAGAAATCTTTCGTCTAATTTTGAAGCATAAAGCCTCGCTACAAGACGTTTGTTTAGCGATCCCTTTCTCAAGAGCATGCGTTTTTTATACTGTATGTTGAAATTTGTGAATGTTCGTATTGGAAATAGAAGCTAACTATGAGCTATTTCAATTCACAAGTTATCAATATTAAATTTATCATTTAAAATGGTATAGAAATAAGCAGCATTAATCATTACACTTCAGACAGCGTATAATGTTTTGTTTTAAATTCGTTATCGCGCTGTTTGCCTCGTTTTGGTTTATCTTGAATCCGTTTCAATGCACAATATAAGTGGTATAATGATGATATGCAACAAAATTTTAAACTATCATTGTACTATCCTTGGATATTTAGTTTATTTTATGCGAAGAACTCTTGTAAACGAAAGAAAGCTTTTAAAACCAAAAATCACGTTTTCGGTCCATGCCTCTCGATACCTTGGGAATGGAAGGCGATAAAGCGTCGCATCCTGACGTTTCGATAAATACTTTGCAGTTGTCGTCGAGTGTAGCTAAGTTTTGGATAGATTTATTAAAGTTTTCAACTGAGCTGAAGGCCAAACGAAGATTTAGAGAAAAATAAATCTGTACGTCTTTTTATGTTGCATATCATGTTCGTACGCACTTTCCAACATAGTTCAACATTGTAATCGATCCTTGCTTGAAAAATTTTTCTTTCAATCAAAATCCATTCTCAGCTCATACGTTTCACATTCTTTTCTGTCAACATCCTGTGAATCATTACAAAAAAGGTACCATTCTAGGATTTACTTAAATAACGGCAGTGGGACTTGACATTGAAAATAAGATTACAAACTTTGTAAAACCATATATTGTAAAACCAAATAACATTTATTTGTTGACATTATTGAAACGTCTGTATTTGTGCATCAAACCTTTTTTGCTCTTGAATAACTTACAAATTACTTATAACTTTATGTTGCGTGAGCGACCTTGTATTTGACATTAGATTTTAGCTTGAACATGCTTTTCGTTATCTTTTGTTCCTTTACGAATATGCAGATCACCTTTGTCTATCAAAGCTTTAGAATCTTTGAAAGGTGCAGGTTCATTAAATAATGTTTCGTTTATTGGACTACTGAGGTCATCATCATCAGCTATGGAAGGTGGCCTTATACACAAAGGCGGGCATCTTTCTCCGGCAGTTGGCAACATTGAGTCCAATATCATAAGATTTTTGTTTGCATCATCCAAGCCATACTTTAATTTCTGAATAGAATGCCCTTGAAGTAACTCGTTCGTACGCTGCTCAACGATACCCAAGAAAGACATTACGTTACTATCAGTCAGTCCAGCAGTATTTCCTAAGAGATCAGTGATTGCTGAACGATTGCATTTAATAGATTTGAAGAGAACATCGATCTTTGGTTTCAGTTGATCTAGAATTTTTTTCTCGCGTTTGTAGCGCTCTTGAATTTTTTGACGCTTTGAAGCAACTTCCGTAAATCTCTCTTCAAGTAGACTGAAAATTTCCTTTCTTCGTTTGTCAGCTTGAGTGCTTGCCTTATTCATCTCGGCCATATCGGATTTTTTCTCTCTTATCTCTTCTTGCAAAGCTTCGTTTTCTGTGTACAACTCGTTCACATAATTGAATTGAGCAAAGTTTTCATCTTCAATTTTAATGAAACCTGATACCAACTTGTCAATATCATTTATACCTGTAACCTACATAAATAATTTACTTTATCATCAATTCCATCAACTAAACAGTCTGTTATAATACTATTGAAACTCTGTATAATATTAGACGTAAAAATATTAGTTTGAGGGCAAGTAAAATTTTGATGTTAAAATCATAGTTTCGTGAAAAAGAACTCGTAAAATGACAGTGGACTTTCTAAAACAGTTCAGTCATATCTCTTTGTATTCTCAAGATACTGACGTTTTGTGACGTGTGATTTTTTAGAGAAAGTGACGTCACATTGCGTAATGAATTGTTGCAAAATCATAAAATCCCTTAGTTTCCTTCCAACCTTTGGATGAAATACCTACGCAGAGCTTTAGGAAAATAGAAACTCTGTGCGGTTGACATGACGCATAAACAATTATTCTTAATAATTCGAATTCTTAGTATGCAATTGACAAAACTTTCTGTATGAATTGGACATCACAAAACTTTTTAATATCTTGAGAATATAAAGAGATGTAACTAAACTGTTTTAAGTTTAGTTCTGTGTCATTTTACGATTTCTTTTTGATAAAACTATAATTTTAATAGCAAAATTTTTTACAGTGTACAGTTTTGTTAAATTTCAAGTTTCAAAATGTTGAAGAAAAAAAGTAACACAACACTCAGTCACTCACCTCCCGAATCTTGCTGAATATCTCTTCATATTTACTCGCCTCCACTTTAAGATTACGAAGAAGATTTGTCATACGTTTATTGTGTCTTTTATAAAGTGCGTCATCTAATATTGTGGAACGATCTTCGGTTTTTGTGTTCATGAAGTTACGTAATTTTTGATCGTGGTCAATGATTCTCATCACATCCTATCAAATGCAAATAATTTAAAGTTTTGATTATTTGGTGCTTAAACAATAAAAAGATCACCCTTTCTTTGGAGATGCTATGTTTATGTGAGCAAGGAGCAATTTCATGCAGTATTTGATACTATTGGTCAGCGTTGGATAGTAACAATCGGCGTTGGATAATGTTGATCATTGTTAGATACTTTGGTCAGGGTTGGATAATGTTGATCAATGTTAGATAATATTGATGAGTATTGAATAATGTTGATCAGTGCTAGACAATGGTGCTAGATGATGTTGATCACTGTTGGATAATGTTGATCAGTGTTGGATAATGTTCATCAGTGTTGGACAATGGTGCTAGATGATGTTGATCACTGTTGGATAATGTTGATCATTGTTAGATAATATTGATCAGGGTTGGATAGTGTTGATCAGTGTTACATAATATTGATGAGTATTGGATAATGTTGATCAGTGAATGTTGATCAGTGTTGGATAATGTTAACTAGTGTTGGATAGCATGTGTTACAAAATATATACAAAATATATATTTAACTGTCGTAGGATAATTAATGCAAACCTTCAGCTCGATATTATAAATGGACAGATCACGTTCTGCTTTTTCTCTCAAGAAAGTCATTCGATGTTGAGCTTCATCACGAGCGTTAAAAAAACTTAAACTGGACTCCACTGCATTGTCCATCTCTTTTTTACCATTTTGAAATTCCCTGTTCATTTTTCTGTATAAGTCGCGAAATCTCATTTTTTGAACGGAGATTTTGTCGATGGTTGATTTCAAATTGCCGTTCTTCGTTAGTATCTTATTGAACCTGTCAGAAGTATTAAGACATCTTCAACATCCAGTATATAAGATAATTGTATTACTTATAGCAAAGGCATCACGAGATATTGAAATATGTCGATTTCTAAAAAAATTGTCGTGTTTATTCAATGTGCTTCAACTAAAGTGTTTTAGCCAGTTATACAAGTATTTTATACATTAAATGAAACGTAGTAGTTTTTTCAAAGTTTGAGGAAAGTCTTCAAAATGAAAAACTTCTTTTTTGATAGAAGTATTTGAAAATTTTGCTGTGAAGATATTATGCGACAAACATTCTTGAAAGAAATCATAATAAATCGACTAACTTTACATTTGCTGCGTACACTCTGTTTTCCATGATGCGAATACGCCTCTGTATGGCGAACGGATCTAAAAATGGCATCTTCTTATTGGAAATTTGTTTTTTCATAACTTCCTCTTCAGTTGCAATGATTCGCTTATCCAATTTGCCCAAAATCTGATTTCCTTCAACAGAAGTTTCTTTAACGAAAATGTTTTTTTCCAATAACTGATTTAGCTTTTTAACGTTTTCTTTATCGAATTTTTATTATATCTGCTCTGTGAAAAATTTAAAAGACCCTTCATTTCTTCATGCTCCATATTCATTTTTCTATTTCTCTCTCTTGCCGTCGAAGGATATTGTTTGTCTCTACCTTGAGACTTTTCTTTACGTTTTTCATCTTACGATATTGACGTTTGAGGGCTTCCAGCTCATGTTCATACTCAAGCTGAGCCTCAACAATGTCATTTCGACTATCTGACCTCGACATTATTTGAAGGAAGACTTATTTAGCCAATACTGAATATGCTTGCAGTAACCTCACAATTCGTGATGTTAATTAGTCTTTACGACATGTATAGTTTATTAATGACGTAATTAATTAAATAAATACGTGTTTCCGTGCAAAAAAGGCGTGCGCATGAATTTCTAATTTTAGAAATGCCACATAAGTGATTTTACGTATATAGCAAATTAAATAACTAGATTTTCAGTGTGTAATTGATCCAGTGGAATAATATGAAAAAAGTATATACTGAAATAAAACTAAAAACAATGAGTATTATAGATAATCAAGTATTGAAGATATATAAAACCTGTTATTTACATGACATAATTTCTCTCTCATATTGTTTGTACATTATAGCTATTTAGCTCATAAATATTCGTCTAGTCAACATGAAGAATTTTGTTTAGAACAATTTAAGTTAAACCGTCAATCTCCTATAAATTGCATCTATGAAATCATTATCATCTTGCAAAAAAGTTTTTCAATGTGTTCATTCTTCCATTACCGTTCTTTTTCGAAATAACTCTCATCTGTTTGACAAGATCATGAAATATTACTGGGACATTGATATTGTTCATAGCTGATGTTTCATAAAACGTGCATTCGTATTCAACTGCAAAGTTGCGACCTTCTTTTCTTGGTACAACTCGATCGTATTTAAGATCTACTTTGTTGCCAACTAAGACAATCGAAGAACCTTTAGCTTTCTTCACTTCACGTATGAGCTTGACCAACTGCTTCGCAGTTTCAAAACTTAGACGATCATTGATGGAATAAATAACAATAAATCCTTGGCCTTCATTTAAATATACTGGCTCAGTCTAAAGAAATGGAAAACATAGCTAAAACCAATGAGGATGAAATGCAGTATGCTATATCACTACAAAGTCTTACGAAAAAATAGTCAAATGTCAGCACACGTAGCTGACGTCAGTGTATGATGAAGAGTACAAATTACAAAGTATAACTATGTTTTCAATTATATTAAAAGCGTGTTTTGCATTTGGTCAGTTGATGGATGTGTCATTTGGTATCACATCACTGTAAAAACAAACTTTTTTATTACTAAATACTCAAGACGAGCTTTCACTGTGGCCCAGATAGTAATCTGTTTAGTAATTTCGTATCTATGCGACCCACCCAAATGAAAAGACACATTGATATTTTTATCTTCATTAGCTATATTTAACCATGGCTATTTTTGACTTGACATGTATTGCGACATAATGTATTTTATTTTCAAGATCATGTATTAGTTATGTATGATCAATATAATTATATAAGAACTAAAAGTATTCTTTATTCATTATTTGCAAATTTCAACCAAATATCACGTTTTTAGAACACACTGTCGCTGACATATATCATGTGCAGTCTATTTATAAGTATGCACGCGTTGTTTGTCTGCGTTGACATTAGGCCCATTACACCAACTTCTTTATTTTGAACAAATATCATGAATAAATAATACCATTCAAGTCTTATTTTGTTTTACCCGGGAAAATTGAAGGCCTTTGTTTTCAATTAATTTATGTCGCTCAGCCGTTGAGTTGTCTCTCTATTCTCTACTCCATTCTTAAAATAGCGTAGTCGATCCCACTTAAAAAATTATCTTCATTGATTTATGACTGGCTAATTTATTTTAAGAATGTGTGAGCACTTTAAATCAAAATGACTAGAAAAGGTTTAAGTCATTCACAAATCAATAGAACATGGTATTACACAAGTATGAATTTTTTCCTCATACGTTAGATAAATATCAGTGTTCAAAAATCGTGCATACTTCGATTTTAGTCTGGTGACCTCCCACAATGAACGTCGTTAAAGTGTAAATTAATTAATCATATTGACGCCTCCGCAAGAAATTGACAAATTGCCTTTTTTAACGATGATCATTATTAATTACGCTTCTGAAGTTTGTTCATACAAAAGCGCCATGAATATTTCCAGTTTGAATTTGCGTGCATGTGAGTGTTGTCCTTCACATTGTAGTCAAGGAAAAAACAAAAAACCAAGATCTAAATGTTTCTGATTACATGGACACAATATTTCCATGATGTCAACTTATTCAAAAGTGATCAAATCTTTGCTGCAAAATTTGTTCATGTAAGAAAAACAAAAAAGGGAAACATAGCTACTCTTACTTTCTTTTGCAGTAAACCGCACTTGCTGACATTCACTTTAATAAAAAAAAATTGCTATCAGCAAAATAAGAACTTATGACAGACAAACATTATTTGTCTACATATCTGCTGTTTTGAAAGTAATGTAAATAAATAAACTTTGAAAAATGATTAAAACTAGACATCGGTTTTGCATTGTAGCTAACATATCAAATTAAGCCGTATCAGTTGTGGCCTCAACAACTCGGTCAGTATGATTGTTATATAGAAAATTTTGAATCCAAATATTTGAGAGATAGACTACGCTAAGCTGTCCAAACAGCTTTACTTCGATCCCTTGATCAAGGAAGGGATCGTGAAAGAGGTATAAATAGTGTATTCTGTATCGATATGAGATTTGAACTGTACCGTATTAGCCGTGTCTAAAATATGAAGATCTCCTATCTCATCGTCGATCTCTGCAAGCATTTCATAGTTCATTTCTAAATGAGAAAAACATCTTAATTCAATCATTTGTTTTTGTAATTAGTACATTGTCATGTTCCGGCAGTGAGTCAAAAGAAGATCACATCACAAAATCAGTCCTACAGCGAACTGTCAGAAAACATTGGTGCTAACTTTTTAGCTACATGTTTTGAGTTGCTTTGCAATTTATGTCCTGTCAATAGTGTAGCTGTACTATAGCTACACGTTACAACAAATAGAAAGTTCTTACCCAACGTAGGATGATATTCATAAATGAATCTTCCAGTGGAAAAACGTACTAGCAGAGCTGAAAAAATAATTGAAGAAAAGATGTAAGTCAACTGCTCTAGGAAATAACGTGTGTTATTTTATAAACTTTGACGGTTGATATTTTATTTGCGGACTAAACTGACGAACCCTTGAACACGCAAATATAAAGCAAGATGGTTTTCAATTTTCATGCAGTGAAGCAAACATTTTGCATTTTCTCAAAAAGAATCGTTTTAAAAAAGTTGATACGATCAGTTTGTTGATTAATTCTCATACAAACAATTATTCAATGATCTAATTAACCATAAGTCATTTTGCTTTAGGATATCAAGTGACATAAGTTGAGATAAACTAAAAATGAATGGTATGTATATTATAAGCATTAGTGATCAACTTAAATCGCTGTCATAACTTATTAGCTTGGCTTATTTTGATTTGATAGTTATAAAAGATCATAGAATCGTTTTTTACCTGATGAGTAAGACAATTGAATGTTCAATTACTATTTCTTCATTATATTATTTAAAGAATCGGAAGTAATTTTATTAAATAAAACCGTAGATAATAAATGAACAAAGACTGACGAACTACAGGAAGGAAATCCAATAACTGATTTAGACACAGGAAATTTAGTGATCTACATCATGCAGTGCATGTAATGATAAACATTATACTTTAAAAGACAGTAATAACAAGAATGCCATTATTATAAGTCGAGCATTTAAATAATAAATCCACTGGAAAGAAAGTCTGTACACTACTCAATTTGCGCAAAATACTACGATACATCTAATAACGACGACTAGTTTGAAAAAAACGCAATTTCTGATAACGTGATAATTTTTTATGAATTTTCATTCAGCATTATTGTTTCTGTATTTGGATTTTCCTACTGTAAGCCGGCATATATTGATAAAATAGGTGGCATACGCTTAAAAATGCGATAATAGGGCTCATTTGTTAATACAAAGAGCACAAAAATATCTCTAAAATGTCGGCAAATCCCAAAGAAAACATGGTTTTTTATCTAAAGTGTATGTTGATGGGAAAACACGCCACAGTTCAGATTCAGCGGGAGGTAATGGCCTGGTGTGAATCTTAATAATAACTGTCGAGAAGAACACGATTAGTTGCGATTATTTAAAATGAGTTCGAGCTCTCGATCACAAATGAAACAGTGCGTTTTTCTAAAACAGTATATGATTAACATGAGGCAGATCATCAAACCAGAATAGAACAAAATGTTTTGTAGCTACTGATACTTATCGGGAAATTCCACAATGTACTGGCACAATTCGTGCTGCGCAAATTCATAAACGAAAGAAAGGCAATTATTCTTTTCCAAGTAAAAGAAAAGACATTCTACAATCAGAAGTGCTAAAACCTTGCAAAATAAATTGAATTTAACGTGTAACGGTTGAACATAGACTCGTGTCATTTTTTATTGATGACTTGTGTTTGGTGTTAGCCGTAGCGCAAAACACCCCAATAGAAAAGCTCATTCTTCAAATAAAGCTTAGTTGACGCGGTAACAGTAATACATGCAAATAGTGAAGACCTACCAGATTTCCCTACTCCACCTTGGCCCAATAAGACTATATGATAATCTTTTATTGACCCAGTTTTTTTCATATTATTTCGAGTAACACTGGCTATCTCGGTTGAACAATAATGCTGCCCTCTTATTGTTAATCGTTTGCCTGAACATTTATCGTTCCTGCGTTCGTTTGTTGTTGGACTCGACGGTCTTCTTGAAAGGCTATAATGATTGTTCATAAAACCATTTGCACAAATTAAATTGTTGATAGAAGAATCACTCAAAGTTTGTTCTTTACTTTTATCTTCTTCGCTAAGTTTTTCCATTGGAGGAAACATTGGACTGGTGCTTCGTGAAAAATCACTTTTTGAACTTAATTTTTTTCCCTTTAATTTTTCTTTCTTGCCATCTTCGGAGATGAAACCGTTCTTATCCCAGTTGTTATATTTTGAAAGTTGTTGGTGTAAAATAACAGCTGGAGCTGACCCACGTCGTCTGTGCATCTTGTCTAATGTGCGTAGAAGTAATACATTCGCACCATAGTACTTATTCCTTTTTTGAACCTTGTTACAGTCAATAAATTTACCACAACACAATTCTAACTCTCATGTGTAATGATGCAATTCAAATAGCTAGTGCCTTTTTTGACTCAATTGAAATAGTTATAATATCTCACAATTTAAACTGCGTGTGTACAAATTTCACTATGTATACTGTCTTTCGCTTTCTCTACAACCGCATTCAGGTACAGTACGATGATATGACGATTAAAGTTGATAATTCTACCAGACGAAAGACGCCGTGTTATGTTATATTAGAAGCCACTTTATCTACCAAATGATATTCATATTTTGTATGACGACTGATTTTGTTTGTTTTTATGTATCTTTTCTCTCGCCGCTTGCTGCCAAGAAGATAACGTTGACAGAGAATGAAAGAAACTGTCTATATCATGTCTAGTTGCTTCCACATGTTCTTACCATGGCTATGACACTTCTCTTCCTCCATCATATACCATATGGCTGTTCTAATGCGATTTGAGACGTCAGAATGTCAGATTTTTCCCTGGAGGTAAAATGATGCCCTTTGGTACACCATAAACCAGATAATAAACAATGACTGCTGACTTCTTAATTTGTCTTTACTATTTCATATAATAATTTTCAATTTTTAAAAGGAGAACAACTTGATTTTTGAACGAGTGATTTCTTACATTGTACAATTTTGTTGGTTGTAGGCTTCTAGTTGTTAGTCAATAAGAAAATTAAAACGCCGTTCTGTGAAAAAAATTAGTATAAATTTCAGTTGTTTTTACTTTCATACTCAAATATTTCACATCGAGAGAAATTTCTAGGACAATAAAGCCTAAAATAGCCAGAAATTTCAATAAGCGGATAAGCTATGAATAGCCTCACGTGTAGAATAAAAATACTTAATCAACTTGTATCAATGTATCTAAGATATCTTGCTCTTGAGAAGTTATTTGATCCCTTACATGTGTTAGATGATATAAATTCTCTTGGAAAAGACTTTTTTCGTTGTACCGTTGCAAAACCTTTATCGTAAATACCTAATTTCATTTATTATGTAATTACAATATAACGTGTACATTGAAGTGTATCACAATATCTATTCTACTGTGTGATACTGTTTGATGGTTCTTGGTTCCCCATTTCGTCACCTGGCATTGCATTGCTTTTGCTTTTCTACTGTATTTGACCATTCTTTTGTATTTGTCTCTCTCTTTTACTGGGGAGATCTTATTTGAAATAAATCATGACAGACATGTGATGATTCGTCAGAACAGCTGTTGAGTTTCTACAAGCTTTTACAAGTGTGACAATTTCTACAATATAAGTTCTCCATTTCCACTAGTTTTATTAGAATAAAATACTTTTATGTCAAGAATATTGAGTATACTTTTTATTTTAGTCATTCTGTCTTTTGTTCCTAAAATGATAAGTTAATTTTACAGTGCAGACTGCTTACGTAAATATAGAAATGTGTTGACGTATTTCCGGAAGTCGAACGCTTAGTACCTACCTGCCTACCTACCTGCAGAGTAAATCAAAAAATTAGAAATGTGCTGAGTGAGCTCAGCTCCAGGCAAATTACCAATTTTGAAAAATAAGATTCTTCTAGCAGCAAAAAACAGTCCATCGATTGGTAATGCATGGCAATACCACCCCATACTTTTAGGGGCTGTTTACATGAGCCCGGGTAGCCGGGATTCAGCCAGGCGTTAAATGATTTTGGCGAATGGAAACTCAATACTTATCATTAGATAAATCTTCTTGAGCAATTTGACAATAATCTAATTAAATAACTACGCACAACATTTAAAATTAAAACAACCAATTTGGCCTAATTTGAGAATTACAACAGGAATGAATTTAAGAAACAGTTCTAATTTTTAACCTTGAAGTTTTGCCTCCTATCAATCCCTCAAAATCTTTTCACGCCTCACTTAATCCCGGTCAACCGGGATCATGTAAACAGCCCTTAATTATTACAACAATGCAAAGTTTTCGGCAAACTCGCTGTTCATTCTTTAAAAAATTAATGCCATGGATTGTTATTCAAGTGAATAAACACAGAAATATTTGCATTTTAGAAATAAAAAATGGTTGGCTTCGCTTACCTATAGTCCCAGCACAAGTTTTTGTGATAAAATTGTGTAAGTTATTTAATTGTCTGTAGGGACATTTCAGTACAAATATTGTGAATAAAATTAACTACCATCACCATATTTAGTTATACAAGAATTTTAATGAGCTATAAATTCAAAATTACGTTTTATAAATCTTCGCTGTGTAAACCTAGCTAAAAGTTTTTTGATAATTTTTACCATCTTATGATATGTTTTACAGGATGGGAATTTTTCAATGATATGCGTCTAGTTGTGAACACTTATAAGCAATTTTTGTTTAAAATCATAAAAACAAATGCTTCAACAACGCTTTCTCTTCTGGAACTTGAAAGTCCCAATAAGTGTAAGAAGACCATAAAAGTTTTTAAGTTGCATTCCATTCAAGTTAGATGTTTGCTAACACGTAAATAGTTAAAGCATTCAATTTTATGAGTTATAGGATCATATTTATTCGTCCAAACAGGTTTCTTAATTATGATAGGAAAGTCTTTTAAGTCATTGAGTTAGAGTGTCAGAAAGAGAGGTCTGCAAAGCCTGTTGGGACTTAAAGTCCCGAGTGTTGACCCCCGGTGGCGGATTTGGGGTTGGTCAAAATAGATTCTAAAAGCTCATTTTAAATTCAAAATAGTTTTTTAACAACGCCGTTGGGGTACTACCTGTAGGGGGTATAATAACCACAAATAAAATATGATTTTCATTGTTACTATGCACACCTATCTACTTTAAGAAAATGAGAAAAAACATAAATTTTGACATCATAGCAAACGAAGGGTTCGCTACTGTTATAGCAATCGTACATGTTTCACCCTTCACTCTAACTGACAATTAATCATTGAATAATGAAATATATGTGGTCCACAAAGTTTTTGTTACCTTTGCCTCATATTTCTTAAAAATTTAAATATTTTTGATCGTGTATAAATTTGTTTCATAATATCTTGGAGTCTTGGGAGAGTTTGATACAATTGTCTTATAAATAAATTTGCCGTTTCTTTATCTTCTACACCTTATGCAGAGGCGAAACTAGAACGCTAATTGAAAGGGGTGTATTTCTTTTCAAAGTTAATTTACTAAAATGTATTTGATCAATGCTCATAATGCTATTGTGACACCAGCCGTCATGCGGTTGATGATTCTGTGGAAGTTGGTTGCAATCCAAGAATTGGTGGGTTGCAATCATCACCCTGGGAGTAAGAGAATAATGGAATGCTCGACATGTTGAATGGAATTTGCATTGTAAATAAGGAAAATCCTTTGTTAAAATCATCCTAGCTTGCAAACCAAGAATTAGATGCGATGATCCACATCGCAGCATCAACGTCTTTAAATCAACAAATTAATTTGGGCTTCCTATTGATTCTGAAAAATGGTCTGCATCGATTGCTATTCTCACTATTGGCAAAGGACTCGTGTTTCATGGTCGTTTCTTGTCTCAAGGTCGATGTGCTTGTTAGCTTCTTCTTGAGCAGGCAACATGCCAACGGGTCATATCTCAAATTCAATTCGGGGTAGAGTCACAAGTAACAAATCCGGGTGTATGACAAATGCCTTCATAAAAATCTTAAGTATGAAAAACAGCTTTGAACAACATTATTTATGGTTTTTTATATTGGTTGTTAATAACAACTTGTTTTCATAAAAGTCTTAAGTATGAAAAACAGCTTTGAACAACATTATTTATGGTTTTTTATATTGGTTGTTATATAACAACTTGTTTTCATAAAAGTCTTAAGTATGAAAAACAGCTTTGAACAACATTATTTATGGTTTTTATATTGGTTGTTAATAACAACTTGTTGTTAAAAGTAAGTATGACAAACAACATTATTTATGTTTTCAACTATAAAAGTCTTAAGTATGAAAAAGCTTTGAACAACATTATTTATGGTTTTTATATTGGTTGTTATATAACAACTTGTGTCTTAACAAACATTATTTATGGTTTTATATTGGTTGTTATATAACAACTTGTTTTCATAAAAAGTATGAAAAACAGCTTTGAACAACATTATTTATGATTTTTATATTGGTTGTTAATAACAACTTGTTGTCTTAAGTATGAAAACAAACAACATACTTATGCAACTTGGTCTTAAGTATGAAAAACAGCTTTGAACAACATTATTTATGGTTTTGTCATAAAGTCTTAAGTATGAAAAACAGCTTTGAACAACATTATTTATGATTTTTTATATTGGTTGTTAATAACAACTTGTTTTCATAAAAGTCTTAAGTATGAAAAACAGCTTTGAACAACATTATTTATATTGGTTGTTAATAACAACTTGTTGTCATAAAAGTCTTAAGTATGAAAAACAGCTTTGAACAACATTATTTATGGTTTTTTATATTGGTTGTTATATAATCAATGTTAGGTAATCGACAGAAGTTTTCTCGTATTTAACAAAATAATTACACGAAGTTTTCCTTGTTTTCCAGTCGTGTTATTCTCCAAGTCAACTACAGCAATGACTATATGCAGCAAATGCAAGCACTACTTCCAGGTTTAGTAACACCCAACGTGCAAAGCACTGAATAAAACTGTACGATAGAGACGCTCCGGTTGCATCGATACCAAGTAATCGATAATCGTCCATCACTAATTCGCAGTTTAGGAAGAAAACTGACGCAATACAAATTGATAATGCTGGCTACCTGCATTAGCAAAAAATATGGTCGAAGATTGGATAATGAATCAAGAAAAGATAATGATTGGAAAATTAAGAATGAACAAAGAGAAGATGGCTTTGAAATGGAGAATAAACCGAGAGAAGTTAATGGCTGGCGATACTAAAGATGAAATAAGGAAAGTAGATGGATTGGAAGTCAAAGATGAACTATGTGAAGAAGGTTTTGGGAAGCTGGGGAAGGACTTAGAGAAGATGGAGTGGGAGTGAAAGATGAACTAATGGAAATCAATGGCTGAAAATTGAGAATGAACTGAGAAAAGAAGATGAATTGAAAGTAAAGGATAAACCAAGAGAAGAGAACTGCTGGTAAATCGATGATAAACTAACAATAGAATTACAGAAGTTAGATTGGAAGTGTAGGATGGACCAATGCAAATCAATTGCTGAAACAAAAGTGCATGGTTAATCCAGATGCAGATTTTCTAATTATCGTATAACATTATTCTTTTCTTGTGCGTATAATTCGTAAAATGCTAAAGCATATCTTTCCATTGAAAACTCGTTGTTGAGTCCGTTAATCATAGAAATCAAATAGAAATCAATGACTTCAATGTTGCAGGCGGTTTCAGCCTTGCAGGCTATTCAGGCATTGCTTTTGAAGTTGAGAAAGAAAATGGACGCAATACAAAATTCACAAAATGAAATGTTAGGCGATTCTACACAGATGTTGATGATTCAAACAACTTCGGAATCAAAGCAA